AAAAATAATTTTTATTTAAATATTTTCTTAATTATAAAAGATTCTCCATAAAAGATAAGTTAGTTCGACACAAAATATTACAAATTTATAGAAGTATATTCAGTGAAAGTTAACATATATGTAGTAATATTATATTCATATTTGAATTGATGATAGAATTTAAGAAACATCATCTGGATATTCTACTAAATTTAATTCATTTAGTAATTCATTTTCATTAACAGTAGGATATTTCAAAAGATGAAGTGTACTTTCTAAATCCTTAAATTATGAAGATAACAATTTTAATAAAGCAATACCAGTTTTCCACAAAACATTAGTTCCACAAAAAAACATTCTATCCCAAATTCGCCCCACAATATCAGGATTTAGGGGTTTAGCAAATAATGTTATAATCCATTCTAATAAAAAATTGGAGCAGTCAATATTGTAGTTTTTGAGCTAATAATAGGTTTTGGGTATATTTATTTTGATCAATTTTTAAAATTATTCAAAGATAATTTGTAGTATATTAGTATCAACCAAATAAATTGGGAGTAATTAAGGTTGTGTAATAAGGCTGCTAAATATAATAAATGTGTTATAATCATCTAAATATGTCAAAAGTATTGATGCTATATAAGTCATCCCTTAAATATATCCAATATCTGGACGGTACATACAAAATGTCTCTAGAATTGATTATAAACTTCCGCTAAGGGGTCCACCTATTTAAAAGATGTTTCGAAGACCTATTTTAAAATTTTTATACTTGGAACATCAAAAGTTCTCCCTAAATCTTTCTAAATCAATTTTATTGAGTCTAATCTTCCATAATTATATTTTCGATCAATTATAATGTTTTATACTTATTCTTATAATATTTCAAATAACTCCAAAGTTATTTAATGTTTATTACCCACTATTAAAGGCCAAATATCTCTCCTTGCACTAAAAGGAATTCCAAATTCAACTAATTAAACTATTTTAACGTCTCTTTAATATTTTTGCCAATCTTAAGCAATCTATTGCCATAATGATTTTAATTTCTATTTAAATTAAGTTCTTACTTTTTCTTATTCTTATTTGTTGTTGTTTAAGTTTTTTGAGTGATTAATAAATTAATAAAGATCATCATTATGTAAACCTTCTATAAATAATTATTGTTTATTTTTTAAATAAACTTTAGAATCTGAATCTACTTATTTATTTTGAATTGAAAGCATATTTAATTTTTAAAGAGTTGAAGAACTATTGTTTTTAATTTATAATTAATAAATGATTATATATTTCAAACAAATTAAAGTATTTCTTGTTTTTAGATTAATAGATTATAAGAATATTTTGTCAATAAAAATAATATCAAATTTTAATTCTTAATTAGGATGTTCTACATACATAAATCAAGTATATTAATTATATTAATTTTATCAAAATTAATATTATCTTCTTTAGCTACTTGATGTTTTCCTCATTGAAAAAGATCGATTTCTGATTGATTCAAATCTTTCATTAAATTTCCATTTTTTAAAATTTATTTAAGTTGGCAATTAGAGTTCATAATTTTCAATGTAAATTTTATGTTTTTATTCTGGTTATTTAAAATATTCTTTTTATGCTCTCAACCATTATTTTGGATCCCCAAATGTATTTGTGGTTTGTTGTGTTGCTTAAATTCTTATCTATTTTGTTTCATCAATTGCAGTTTTAATAAAATTTTTAAATTCTTATTATTTTTCTTTTCCTATTTAGATTCTTTGCATTTGATCCAATTTAAATTTATTTTTGGTATATCTCTAAGTAGTAATAAAAGAATCATTAAACTATTTATAGGAATAGTCTTTAAATGATATTTCTGGAAGACAAGATTTATTTCTCATTTTAATATAATTTTTATTGATTATTAGAAAATAAAGAAAATGAGATAAAAATATCAATAATGGTAATTTATTAATTTAAAAAATTTTCAACAATTTTAGTTACTGTAATAAATTGAAAATGGAATCTATTGTGATTTCTCTTATGATTTTTTCTTGACTAAAGTTTATCTTTTAATCCTAAATTGCATAACAACTATTTCAATGAATAAAATCAAATTGCTTCTAATTTAAAAACTAAGAATTCTGCAAATCTTTTTTAAGTAAGGCTTTTTATCATCATAAAGTTATCAAGCTCCATTTCTTTAATACACCGCTTTTAATTTAAGAATTTGTATGCATACTCTCTTTAACTTATCCTAAATCCATAGAGATTTATTTAGCTATGATTATTAACACATTATCAACATATTACCCATCATCATAATCTTTTTATAAAATTTTTATGATATCATTTTTATAAATCATCCATTATTTATCAGTTATTTATACTAATATCAAACATTTTATAACCTTTTTAATTAAAAAGATCGTGCAAATTTCAGTTTTAATCTTGGCTGACCAATTTTCTAATTATTCAATTCTTGTCTCAAATTATCAAACTATGAATTGATTTAATAATTTGATGCAAAGTTTGAATTAAAATTTGCAAAACAAGAAGTTATGGGTAAGTATACTTAATCTTCAAGAAATAATTTTTACCTTTTTGCTCTTTTATAAAAATTAACAGATTCACATTATAAATGATTAATTAATATTATATGTAAACATTTTTATTAGATCAGAAGTTTTCGCAATCATAATCATATTCCATAGGAGGTTGCTATTACATTTAAGGAGCATCAATAGTATGAATAGGATTCAATTATTTATAATATCTCATTGCTACTTCATGATTACCCATTTAATTATAATGTCTAAAGTAATCTTAAATTTGCTTTTATTTTTGCATGTCTTGTGCCTTAATAAATAAAAGTTTAATTACAATATTTTAGAATTCGTGTAAGTGTTAATATTCTCGTTATAATTTTTACTTTTTTATAAATTCTTTTTATTCCTAATATTCTTTTCTATTAATAATTTAAATTATTCAATACTGTTTTTCTTTTTCATCATCAAAAGTTTGCATTTCTAATTCTGCTTATTATATTTTTTCTTTAAGTTATTCCTTTTCAAACCATACTTTAAAATTATAGAATTTTTATGATGGAAAAGTTGCTGTATTATAGCATTCCACATATTCTTCAAAGTATTTCTTTTCTTCTTGAGGAGTAATTGCTTCAACATTTAACATTTTCACATCAGATAACCACATTAAAAATTCTTCTCTTTTTAAATACATGTCTGTATGACTTTAATATTAAAAATACATAACCTAATGGTACCATATTTGCCCCACTAATTCTTTTTTGGTTTTTTCTTAATCGTTTCATTCTTTTATTTTTTATCCTTTTTTATATTTTTTTCCTTTTTTTCCTTCTTTTCTTTCTTCTCCTTTTTATCTTTTTTGTCTTTCTCTTTGTCTTTCTCTTTCTTTTCCTTTTTTTCTTTTTTCTTTTCCTTACTAAATGATCTCTATTAAGAATAAAAACATTTTTTACTTAATTTTCTTTAACTCTATCCTTTCCCATAAATCTAAATTAATTTGATAATTAATTTAATAATAATAATTGTAATATTTATATATTTACAATATATACAAAAAATAATATTGATAATCCATAAAGTCTTTATAATATTAAATAGATTATTAATATTATTGTAATTAATCAAAACAATTTGTTAATTTCAATAAAGTTTAAAGTATATGTAAGTAAAATTAAGTATTAATAAATTAGCTTCTGAATTTATTTTTATACGTTAATTATAATCAAGTTATTTACAAAATTTTATATGACAAATTGCCATCAAAATAATTGGATAACTTTTAGAAATAATTCATATTTTTATGAATACCTTCAGGATCTCTATCTCATAAGTGAAGAAATATTTGTGCTTTATTAACAACATTACTATTATTAATGATGAATCATTTATACCTAACCAAACTTATCACAACTGAGTTTTTCAAAAATAATATTAAAATTTTGATGATCTATATTTTGAATAATTTCAAAAGTGCCTTTTTAGAGTATAATTTAAATAATATAATTACAATATCAAGATAAACCTAATTCATCTTATAAAGTCTATTATTCTTTGTAGATATAATCAAACTAATTTAGGAATATTAAATTTATGATATACCTAAAGGATAGCAGATTACTCTAACATTAACTGAATTATCTGTAATCATGAGAGACTCATTAAATACAATTTAGATTCTCATAAAACTCTCACTATAAGCCAATCAATTTTGATATAAAAATTTATTGATTAATAGTAATAACAAGATTTATAATGTAAATGATTGAATTGAAAAAATCTTTATCGAATAAATTAGAATTATGAAAAATTACTTATAACTTTTATACTCTGCATCCGTAAGTATTGTATAATGAATTAAGAAGAAAAGTATATTTATTTAAAGGGTTATAACAATTACTAAGTATTAAAATAAATGAAGATTATTGTTCAAATATTAAATCTCTTTATTTTTGATTTCTTGTTCAAGATTCTATAGACAACATAATTTCCCAAGTTATGATTTGCTAGACTATTCCTAGCAAAAATAAAAAATTATTCTTTTTATCCATTATTTCCTTTTTAATATTTTTCTACTTTTTGATTAATCTTAAAGATTTAAAAATCTATTTGATGATTATAAATACTAAATTTCCAACAAGAAATGGATCTTCATCTAATTATAATGATTGGATTGCCCAAAAATCAACTTTAAATGCAGAAATAGAATTTTTCTTTTAATTATTGAATATTTAAATAGAATGATAAGAGATTACAATAATTAATGTTAACTGCGTATAATATAAGAAGAATAAGTTCAGTAGGTTTCAAGATTTTGTAATTGATTGAGAAAAAATCTATTTTAATCACTTTCAAGTATTTTAGTTCTATTAAATATAAGGTACTATTGAGAATAGAATCAATAATTTCTTTATTATCTTCTTCAAGATCTATATTATTAGTCATTTTATTCTAAATTTACTATTTATATTGGATATCATAATATTTTATTATTAGTAGATATTTAATATAGATATAAGTTTAAACAATGTATAAAAAACTAAAAAAGATTTCGAATTTAATTATATCCATTATTATTGAAATAGATATAATATATTGTTAATAAATTAAATTAAAATATAAACTGGCTACTCAACCATTATTAGAAACATTACCTAAAGACTATCATAAGATGCCTTCTAATTATGATTTTTCACATAAAAGTATTATAAATCAATTGAGTCTTAGGAATCAATTGGAAAGAGCATGAAAAAGATTTTGTATTAAGGACTGATGCAGTTTGGGAAAAAGATTAATTAAAAGATTGGTTTAGATTGTATACAAAAGTCAGAAACTATTAAAATTTTAGTGTTTTTATTTTGATACAACAGCAAATAAATATTCTTTGATGGAACCTGATGAAGTTTATACTATATTGTTTGAAGGATGTAATTAATTATTTACAAATCTAATATAGGGGCATTAGAAGATTGTTTATTTCCATTTAGAATTACAACTCTAACTGGTAGAATTAATTGTTTCTAAGTTGGATTATACTTAATTATTATATACTATGCCACCAAAATAAAAAGTATATGTCCCTTATCCAACATATTAATCATAATAAGATTACTTTACCTTATGTGCCTTAAGATTTCAAAAATGGTTTGATTGTGATTGAGCTGAACATTTCAAAATGGATAAAACTGAAGATGATTATTTAAAAAGAGCTAAAGTTTATCCATGTTATGCAATTTTTTATGAAGCTGCCTATGCATGCACTGTTTTTATTTATTTTATATTCTAGGATGATATGTTTGATTTCCTTATGGAATTAGCATATACTAGAAGATCGAATAGAACATTTGAATATAATCATTTCCAACATAAAATGCGTAGACTTCCAACTGTGTTTATGATTCACCTAAAAATGCAGAAAGAATTAAAAAGACATATTGAAATACATCTATCCAAGTAAATTGTAAATTATATCATAATGTAACTTCATATTATATCTTATTTATTTTATACATTCAACCTAAATTTATTGTTTTCATTCCAATTCAATTAACCTTTATTTAATACTAAATAATCAGATATTTATGAGTTTTATTATGTTCCAACATTTTATTCTCACTTTTTCTAATTTACATTATTTTTTCTTATGAAGATAAACATTTTTATTCTACAGTTTTCATATTAATTCAATCATCTCAATTTAATTAATACAATTAGTTCATAATTATATGCTAATCTATATCTTTCTGTTACATTTTCTTATAGCAAACAAAATAAAACATATAAAAAATTAATTTAATTGATTTTAAAATTCATTTATTTATATATTAAAAAAGTTAATTTACTCCAAATATATATTCAATAATGTCAATAAATAATTTAAGTTTGGAATAGATAGAAAATCCATCAAAAACAAAATTCAAATAACTCTATTTAAATAAATACAGAATAAAATTAGGATTAGTATCTAATCATAAAGAATAATTACCAAAATCAGTATCAATAATAATTTAACTTTTTAGAGACCCAAGCTAAGAAATATTTCAATCAAAGAATTAGATCATTTAATAAAACCAGAAATGATTAAAGCTAAAATTATGCCAGATAATTAAAAGGTACTCACAGCTTAATTGTTAAGCAAAATTGCATAAAAATAATAAGAATAAGAATATTTTTGTAAATTTCCTGAAATCACTAAATAAAAGACAAAAAAAAGATCAAAAACTGAGTAACATATGGATAATTAATACAATAAATAATATAAGACATTTGCTAGAACTGCTTATTTAATTGTGATATGATATATGACCAATCATTATTTAGTAACTTATTTCATACTGTTGATACTTTATTCAATTAATTTCACCATTGCAATTATATCATCTAGTAATTCATTTCTATACATTGCTTCTATTTTTAATTTAGGTCCACATTTAAAACATTCTTTGTTGTATCCTTTTTTGCATTCAAAACAATAGGAATGTCCACATGGAATTATTGTAACAGGTTATTTTATAAATTTATTACAAAATGTGCAAGATAAATTCTTCTATATATCTTTCTAAAATATTAAATAATATATCTATACATCAGTTTTTTCTAATTATAATATTGTATCTGTAATTTATTTTGTATTTTTTGGTTTTGATAACTATTCCTTTAAAGAATCTAATTAGGTATTCAAGCTATTAATTTCAGATTAATTATTCTAATTTTATTAATCCAATAATTATTTTTAATTTTTTAATTATTCTAATTATTATAATTTGTCCTACAACTATTATTATATTTCTTGTTATTTTTGCTTTAATTTTTCAAGTTGATTATTCACTTCAATTGAATTTTTGGATTAATCATCAATTTTTTACCTTAATTAACTAATTTCTTTCTAGATAATTATATAATCATACATCTTTAATCTTTTATATTTCAGAAAGTTATAATTTCAAACTTAATAATTATTCATTTAATTTACTATTTTAATCATTCTAATCTTTTGATTTTTTTAAATTTTCCATGATCGAAATTTTTTCTTACTCTAGTTATTTTATCTGTATTAATGAAGCTGATATTTCTTTATTTAGATTTTGCTCTTTCAATTAACTATCATTTCTATATTAATCATATTATTTTTTGATATTATTTTTATCATTAACTTCCTTATCAATACTTTTTTAAATTTCAGTAATTTAATGTTCTAATTTACTTTAAAAATCCTTTTTAATTAAAAAGAATTAATACTTCAGCTTTGTGCAATTAATCTTTTAATCTCCTAAATTCTTCGTTACTTTCTTCTTTACTTTTTAACTTATCTTAATATTAAGATATTTATTATCTTAATTATTCTACTTACTATAATAACTCTTATTCTTTTGCCTGTGATTGTTTAATACTAATTTCTAACGAATTAATTTTCTCTCTATCTTTTTCTGCTTATAAATTAAATTTAGATGAATCTCCTGCTTATTTAAGTCTTAATTATATTGCTTAATAACTAGCTTATAATTCTTAAAGTTATTTAGATTTTTCTTCATTTATTATTTTTTCTTTAACTAACTCTTATTTCATAGATTCAAAGCCTTTCTCAATTGATATAATCATATCATTTCTTTGTTCAATATCTTTTTTATGCATTTCTAACTTTGTATCTATTTAACGTAGCATCTATGATTCAGTCACAGGAGTTTATTTCTGCTTTTTATTTAAAGATTCTGAAACAGTAGTATTACTACTTATGATATAAGTATTGCTTCCAAATTTTAACTTTCTTTAAATTGTATGCAATCTTCCAGGATAAGAGTCCTCATCATCAAGAGATGGTCTATTGTTAATTTATGGTAAAGGTTTTATTGTACTTCTCATGATTATAATAAATTTAATTATAAAATTCTTATTAACTAAAACTTAAAATAAGAGTCATTATCCTTATATATGAAAGTAAAATATATTCAAAAAACAAAATTAACTCAAAATTATAATCTTAATGGAAATTGTTTTAAACTTAAAGTAAATTAGCATTTTATACTTCTTCTTAGTCTATATTCAGTTAAATCTTATAAATATCTATATATTTCATTCTCTTTGTTAGCATGACTATATATCAATGCTTAACAACCATTTTCTATAGTAGGCATTAATATGATAATTGCTTACTTCCATTTTTATTATATGACTAACAATATTAAGATAATAATAAGAAATATCTCATACAAATATAAACAATACCAAAAATAATATTTACAATATTTATTTAAAGGGTAAAGTTTATTTAATTTTTCAAAATACCATATATCTAATTCTTCTTTTAAATTCCACCAAATAATGCCAATTAATTTCTTTCCTGTATAATTTTTCACAATCCAAAAATTTAGAGATGTTAGAGTTATTATAATTAACATTAATTTTTGAATATTTACGTCTTTCAACTCAAAATAAAAAAGAGTAATTATTATGATTTTAAAAAGTATGTGTAATACAATTGCAACATAGTCTACAGTTTTAGTTAAATCAATTTTACCATTTTATAATAACTCTGGAAATAGAAATCTAATATTGTTTCTATTTTTACGTAACAGGATTGAAATAAGAGAAGGAAGTATGCACCATATTGCTAATAACAATATCTTCTTGATTATTAGGTTAACTTTCTTCTTTATGATAAAATTTTGATATCATAAAATATATAATAAAATTTTATACTGTTAGGAACTATTATTTATTAGTTTTTGTATCAAGGATAATAGACATTTCATAAAATCTGATTGATAATTATTTTTGGATAAATTAATAATTAATAGTAAATTAGAATAGCCTAAATAAGCATACTAATATTTATTATTAATTTTTAAAAGTGTTTTAATATGAGATAAGAATAATTGGAATAGCTAATAAATCTGAAATAGTATTAGATTAATCATAATAATGATCCTAACTTTAACCAATTACCTATATAACCAACTTATTAAGAAGAAATGGAAAAGGAAGTCCAGAAACTAGAATAATAATCTCTTTTTGCAGATTCATTTGATGTTGATATTCCAAGTCTTAAAAAAAATAGAGAAGAAAAAAGATTAAGGAAAATGGCTAAAATATAGTAATTAACAGAGGGTTGGTTTGGAATGAAATCTTAAGATTAAGATGAAACCATGAAATAAGAATTTATGATTATGAAATTAAAAAAATATCTAGATCCAAAATAACCAGTTAAATCTAGTGATTTTAAAACTATGCCTAAATATTTTTAAGTTGGAACATATGTAGATGGAATGGGTATTTATGTATTTTATTTTTATAGATAATTATAATATAAAAAAGAAAAAGAGAAATCAGAGTAATTTGATTGACCAATTTTTAGAATATGATAAAGAAAAATAAACGACAAAAAACTCATTTTAGAAGATTTAATAAAGATAATAAAGAATTAGTAAAGTAAATTCAAAATTAAGAAAATTGAAGAGAATGGCAAAATCTATTGGAAGAAAAAATAAATGATGATTATTTTATTATTCTGTATATATCTTATTTTATGTAATCAAAAAACTGTATTTTCTAAATTCAAAAAAGTATTAGATAATTAATATCATAAAGATAACTATTTAATTAAAATGAGTATTTGTAATGAAATGATTTCTATTGATTAATGATTATTAATAATAAAATATTAGAATGACAGAGGAATTAAATTCAAGTCTTGACTCTTTGGAATTAGAAATATATCATCGACCTAATCCAAAGATTCAATCCATTATAAACTACTTAAGAAAAATTGAATTAAAATTTTGCACTGATCCTAGAAAAAAATAAGAAGAATACAGATCTCTAAAGTGTACAACTCCAAAAGAGGACTTTGGGTTGCAAAGAAATAAATTTTTTAAAAGAAGATAATCAAATAAAACAATTGACTGTCCCATTCTCTGAAAGTCATTTTTTGATTATCTATTTTTTTTATCTCAATCTATTAATTTATCTAAGCTTTAAATATTTAAAACTAAATAAATGAATATATATACTCATAAACGAAGCAAGCAGTTAACTATTTTTTTTATTTGATTTTTAAATTTTTACTTGTGATTTCTTAGTATATGTTCTATGTTAATTCATTTATTCTGATTTAAGCAATATTTAATTTAGAAATTTAAAAAATCAGGAGATAATAGCAAAATAAATTAAAAGAACATTGTTGAAATAAATAGTTTTTAATATTATCAATTAAAACAATTAATAATATTATCGAACATTTTATAATATATAATCATTTATATAATTTATGTCTGATATAATCCATTTTATTAGTTATAACTTACAATAAATCAGCCTTTGAATACTTATTTAAAATTGTAAAATAGTTTTGTTGTTCTAAATCTATTTATTAGATGTCCATGCAATTTTCAAAAAATTCGTCTAGAATTAAGGATTCTAATGTTTTTTCTATATGCAATAATTATCTTATAAATTAAAGAATATTGATACTTGCTTCCAATTGAAGAGTTTTTATCCAAGAATTACTGGAGATATTAACTTTTCATATCCTCGCAATATTTTAATACTAATTTTTTCATAAATGTAATGGAAATTTCAGATGTAGTTAATTCCCTTTATAATTCATTTTCAAAATGAGCAAATTCTGTTCCTTAATAGATGTGTTATCCATTAATTTAAGATTTAAAGAACTTATCTGCTTCATCTTAATAATGTTTAAACATTTTTCTAGCTGTTTCAACCTCTTTTTAAATTAAGGTACAAAAGCTTTTGTATTCAAAAGTTTTAGTAATATCATTTTATAATTCATATTTTTTAGCTAAATGGGGAAAAGCTGAAACATTAAATTTTTCAACTAAATTCATTCTAATGATTTCTATTAAATAGCAAATATATTTAACAATTAAATATCCACAAAAAACACTTTAAGATTCTCTTTATTCATCCCTCTAAAAATGATAGAAATGTATATACTTCATCTTTACTCAATTCTAAGACTTCTTCTACAACTTTATAAAGATAAAATATTTTATTTCTTTCCATTAATAAATATTTAAAGGCTTTCGATTCTTTATTCCTTTAAGAATTTAAAGTAAGTTCTTATTAAATTTAATTTGGTTATTATTCAGTATTTTTAATTCCTAATTAATATAAATAATGATTACGTTCAGCATATGTAAGTTCTCTTTCAAATAAGTCTTTCCAATTGATTCTTTTATTGTAATCTTTTGTTAACATTCTCAATAGTAAATCTTTAGTAGCTTATGATACAACATTAACATTATCTAAAAACTATATTTCTTTTTCTTCAACTGCTAACATTAATTATGCCATAGTTTTTTCTTCAAATGGACAGATTCCATATAATAATTCATATAAAACACAACCCAATGACCAGATATCGGCTTTGATAGTATATTCTTATCCTTTTAAAATTTCAGGTGCCATATAAATAGGGGATCCAACCATAGTTGAAGATAAGTCTTAAGGAGTATTCAAAGCTTTGCAAAATCCAAAATCACCTAATTTAATTTAACCATTATGTAACATAATGTTACTTGGTTTGAGATCTCTATGCATAATATTTTCTGAGATTAATGATTAAAAGGCTTAAACTAATTATCTAAAATAATATAAGGCTTCTTTTTCAGTTTAAACTCTAGATAATATTAAATATAAATTGTTTACCCTTATTCTTAAATGATAGTTTCAAGAGTAGAGCCATTACAGTATTCATATACAAAATAGTAATTTCGAGAACTCTTTAACATTTCAATAAATTTAACAACATGAGGATTATTAATTCTAGCAAGTGTTTGAATTTCATTCATTGTGAATTCTTCTAGTTTAGGAACTTCTTTAAATTTTTCTATTTTTACAACTTTTACTGCAACTAAACTATTATTCTTAATATTCACAGCTTTATAAACTTTACCATATTAACCTGAACCAATAACTTCAAGAAGTGAATAGTTTTCAACAACTTTAGCACTCATTTATGTTTTTTATATTTTATATTATTAGTCTTTTTATAAGCAATATTGATTTAATCAGTAATTATTCTAAATAGAAAAGTAACCAATTAAAATAAAGGATATCATGTGTTTTAGTGAGATTGTATTCTTTTATTTTAATTAATGAGAAATTAAGAAGTTTAAACTATAGAGACGGGGGCCTATAACTTCTTTTTATTACCTCCTATTACTGAGCCTTTAAAATCAGGAAAATCCTAAATCATAAGTAAGAACTCTTAGTAAAAATTCAAGTTAAGATCAATTGATACTAAACCAACAATTTTATTTAAATAGGAACAATATAAATAAAAAAAGAAAAATTAAGACTTGGTTTTACATCAGCTCCATTTACCTTTAATAAAACCTGAATTACATATTGTTCAATCAAAAAATAAAGAATAAAATATCTCAACAAATAGACTCATTGATAATATTTAACTTATAAGTTGTATATCAAGAGTAAGAAATCTATCTTATAATGAATAAATAAATAAAACAGAGAGATCAGCTCAATTTACGATTCGAGGAACATAAAGTTAAATACAAAGTAGAATACTTGTATGATTATATAATTCAATAATAAATAAATATAAAAATTGAATATTATGAATTTTAAAGACTAAAGTGGATTGTAATAATATTGTGATTCAATTATTGGACATTATAGAAATCATAGTAATGTAGATTTTAATTAAAACAATTCTAATTTTAACTCATTTATTAGTTTACAATCTCCAACTCATAGAAAAACATCAGAATGTAACGGATTAGAAAAAAAAATATTAAGTTCAAGAAGTTAAATTCATAGAATGATGGAAAATTTTTCAAGAAACTATGATTTAATTTAATAATCAGATCCGTTAGAACATATTATTGAATACACTCCTTAATTGTCCCCAATTGGTAATATTAGTGAAATAAAGAGACAGGTTGATATTAAACATGATGGTTCTTTGACATTATAAGAATTAAAATCAAATTAAACAAGCATAATATAAATAACAAGATTTAGATTTAATTATTTCTATGTTAGAATTTATGATAGAGAAAGTCCAATGCAAACTTATGTTAGAAGTGAAAATTCAAAATTATAGACTTTTAAAATGTATATATCTACTATTGCATAATTTCCTACAAGTTTTAATTGTGAATAAGCTATATAATCTAAATATTTTAAATTTGCGGATTCCTAATAGAGAGATATCTTTCATGTAAAGAATTTATACATTTCTATGTATTCAGAAGAAGATTGTCTAATAGCAATTAACTTCATTTTTGGTCATTATTTTAAAAAGAAAATTAGAATGAATAAGGATGAATTTGATACTGAAAAATATAAATAAAGTAAATAAAAATCTTATCCTTAGAATTGTATTCTTTGAACACTCCAAGATTAGATTCAATTCAAATTGATAAAATTACTAATAATTTAAATACCAAACAATATTAAAAGGATTGTAAAATTATATTTTAAATCAAGAGATTGAACAAAAGATTAGAATAAATTAAAAAATGTTAAAATAAAGAATAATACAAGCAGTTGAACGAAAAAAAGTCATTTATGAAGACAAAAGATTAGAGATGATTAGTAAATTAAAAGCAAATGAATCTTTAAAAGAAATTAGAAATTTTCAAAAATAAATTGAAATTTAATAGAAATTAAAAATACGAAATCAAATTGTTTGGATTGAACTTTTATTAATTTCTTAATATGCAGCCAAAATAAAAGAAATGTTAGATGTAATTTATTTAATACTTAAATTTAGCAAATGAAATTACATAATAAATATTTAGCCAAAGGTAGATTGATGGTTTGGTAATATAAAACAATTACTATGATTAAAATTAAAGGAATGGGAGCAACTGTTGAAGAAAGAAGCAGATTTAAAATGTGTTTATCTATTATGATTTTTACTCAGCAATTGAAGTAATTTTCAAAAATTAGAGCCATTAAAGTAGTCTTATAATTCTTACATGATACTCATTTATACATTTAATGTTTGTAAAAGCATCGATATCTTGTCGAGAAAGTAAATTATGTTAAACGGGTGTTTAAGAATTTGAAATAAAAGCACAAAGCTTATAGAGATAGATTATGGAGACTATTAAATAAGAATGGATAGGCTATAATTCTTGAATTGATAAATAAACATTGTCAAATAAAAAAGAGATAATATCATATAGATAAGTATAGAAATATTTAATATTTTTGATAGTATATTACTATTGAAAATAATGGAGGATTTCATATAAGAAAAGAAATAAAAATGTTAACAATATGTTCAAAATTATATAAAAGAAAAAAACAAAAAGAAAAAAGTGCTTGATTTGACTTTAAGTATGATGCAACCAGAGATGTTTAATGCACCTACCTATGAAGATTTAGTGGAGATATATAAATAATATGCAATGTAAAAACATATAGGAATAAATGATGCACATAATTGATCTTCTAATGGGAAAGTATAAAAATAATTATGTATAAATAAATAAATAAAATTATGAATGGCTATTAAATTTAAGAAAGTGAAAGAAATCAAATTGACTATATTTGGAATATAATGTATGTAATATTTCAATGTTTTTATTATTACTTTCTCATGGCTCTATAAAGGTTTTAGACTAATTCAATCTTTCTTTTTCCTCTTCTATTAGTACCCAATCTCTTAGCTGCTAATTTTCCTGCCTTCTTTAAATCTTTAGGTTGATTAGTTTTAAATAATTCAATAATTCTCTTTTCATATGGACTCAAACCAGCAACTTCTTAGATAATCTTTCTCACTTGTAAAACTCTCTTACCTAAAGTTCCTTTTCTTTATGAAGGTCTTCTTCTTAATTATTTCTTTGTCAATGAAGATGTTATGAATCCCCTATTTAAACCAACAGCAATTCCTGTTCTGCCCATTATTTTAAAAATGATATTTTTATTTTTAAATATTAATCACATAATAACTTCATTATTTTGTAAACTAATTCTTCTAATTATCAATTATGATTTCAATCATCTATTCTTAAATTGATATTTAAATATAATATTTGATATTCTATAGCTCATAATATAGATTTATTTAATTTTATTATAATTATTTTACATTTTGTGATAAATCATTGTTCATAATTATTATTTTAATCAAAATTTACTAAATAAACACTAACCATCATATCTTTTGATACCATTTTATTATTAAAATTCACTCCATAAATATTATAATAATTATATTATTTCCTATAATTACACTCGTCTTTCTAACTATCTGACCTATATTATTAATTTGCAATATTATTTTAAATAATTTTCAATCCCAACAATAATAGTTATTTACAATATTTTTTTACTTATTAATACAAGGTGATTAGTATATATGGTTTCTATACCCATAACTTAAACCTCTCTTAAATTTATATGATTTTCAAATTATTGAATTTTTCATGAGTTTATGAAATGAAATTCATTATTTCATGTTCTGAATTCAAACAAACTCAACTGATAGTATTAACATTATCTTTTATTAAAATTGGGTTTTTTTTATGTAGATTAATTAGAGTAAAAATAATTTTGGGATATTAATGAATTGGAACTACATGATAAAATTGTAAAAGAGAAAAGCTTCACAAAATAGTTAATTAAAAATATTTAATTAATAAATCAAATATTATTGTATAAAAATTGTTAATTAAATTATAATGAGATTGGCAAGATTCGGGATTCCAACTATTTTAAAACGATTACCATTAACTTAATTACCAAAATTTAGGCCAGCAATAGTAAAATCAGTTGCAATAGGAGCCTTATTTACAAGTCTAACATGGAGATAAGCTCTAAGATTAGATGAATTCTAAAGCACAGTAGTTTCTGATGTTAATGAATTTTGCTGTGTATTGGTACTAGAATTGACTGAAGGAGATGCAAATCTATAACATGATGCTTTAAATGCATTAAAAGAAGTTCCAAGACTCGTTTAAAAAAAGTCTAATGAAGATGGTATTAATGAATAAATAATATTAGATGAATTGGATCCAGTTACAGTAGGAGTTGGATTTTAAACAAAGTTTTGGGAAAAATTGACTAGAACACCATAGAATGATTATGAAGCTAGAGCTGGTACTTATGGATCTATGCCATATGGTAAAGGAAATGTGATTGTACATGTAAAAGCTTAAAATAGATCATTAGCATTCGAAACTATTTAAGTACATTTCTATATATAAATATATATTAGAAAGTAGTAAAAAGTTTACCAAAAGGATCTTATCGTGTTGTATCAGAAAGATATGGATATAAATATTAAGATGGAAGAGATATGAGTGGATTTTTAGATGGTACTATGAATCCTAGTCTAAAATAACAGAGATAAAAAGTAGCTGTAAATGAAAGAGGAGGTAGCTATATGATTCATTAAATATGGCATCATAAATTAGATTGGTTAGATAAAATTACTGAAGATGAATAAGAAAAAATGGTTGGAAGAAAGAAATCTAACTCATTTGAGTTAAGACCACTTCCTATTGATAGTCATGTTACTAGAACTAGAAGTGAAGATAATAAGAGATTGTTAATTGTAAGATAATCTCAACCTTTTGGTACAGTTACTGGAGATCATGGTTTACTCTTTATTGCTTATGCTAAAGACTTAAATAATTTTAATACAATGCTTGATAGAATGACTGGAAAAGGAGATGGAATCAATGATCAAATTATGAAAATGTCTATGTAATTATTCTTATTTATTATTTTAGTAATTCTTATGGCAATTATTTCTATATACCAAGTGTATAAGAACTACAAAAATTATGAGACAATATATATTAACATAATATCATTATTATTCAGTTACATTCATATTTATCAAAATATCTTCACATCTGTATTAATATTTTTTTATTATTTATAATTAAGATTTTATTTTTTAAGATATGTACACATAAGTCTTTAACTTAAAGATTATTTTTAATTATATTTCTCACTTCTAGATAACAAAATTCTTGGTGTTTTTGATTCTAAATTACTTAAACTATTTTTCTTTATATTTTCCAAATGACTTAAATTTGGTATATTATTAAGTATAGATTTTTTATTATTGTTTAAAGCAAAGTAATAATTAGAAGCTTCAGTTTTTATTCGAGTGTGCATATATTAATTATTTACTACTTCTTTTTTATTCTTAATCTCTATTTCCAAAACAGATTTTAATTTATTATGATCTTAATCCTTACTGGTAATCATCTTCTATTAAATTTTATTAAATAAGCTATCATTTTAAGTACTTATTTTTGTATCCTTTTCAAATCTACGAGTTACACTGATTTTCTTCATCAAATTTTAAGCTTTAATCAATTGTATTACTGGTAAAATGGAAACACGATTACTTTTTTTAATAGACTATTTAGATTGCTTTTCACATAAAAATAAATAAAAAATGATACTTAAATGTGCTGAAGATCCAATTAAACTTAAATCTCTATTAGATGGCCTCATATTTTATGGTTATATAGATAATTAAGGTGATGCTGGAAATTTTGATTTAATATTGGATTAAGGTGACTCAATTAATTCTTTCTTACAAATTATAATTTTCTTTTTAACCTTGCCTCCACAATCTAAACATTCACAACTAGAAATTAATTGTTAATTATCAAATTGATTTATTAATTGAAATGGAATTGTAAAATTCTTAAATAGACTTTTACATCCTTATAGTTTCTAATAGTTTGAAATAGTTTACTTTTAGTAAAGCATTTATCAAATCTATAGATTTTATAATTGTTTTAGTAATTTGAAATAGATATCCTTTTATGAAATAATTAATGAAACGTTTTCTGTAAATCTGATTGTGTTTAAATTTCAAATAAATCCATAATTTTTTATATCTTAATATTATTAATGTATTAATTGAATAATTAGAATAGGGAATATAAGTGATATAATTAAAGGATGAATAAAAGAGAATAATTTTAATAAATTTTTTTGTGTAATATGAATGTATTTATTTAGATCACCATTCTGGTTTAGGTCTTTATTTCTTTGCTATTTCTCCTCTAGCTAAATCTGGGAAGTTCTCTTCACATGATAATGGAACATCTTTGAAATAGTAATTACCATAAGTATTATTTTATCTCTCTCTTTCATATGACCATTATCTTTCTCCAAGTAAACAATGTTTATAAAACTTAACTGCAGTCATTTTAGAAACTTACCACCAAAGATAAGATGCTCCTAATAAATATAATCCATATCCTGCTAAACCTACATATCCAAAACTAATAATATTAATTACATTCAAATACTTATAAAAGAATGAAGTCTATCTTATACTAGTTATACCTCTTTAACCAATAGGTAAAAACATTTATCTCTAAGTTAAGGCAGCTTTATTATCACATCCTATAAATACCTTATAAAAAGAATCCTGTTGTACATATCCAAACTGGAAAGATTCGAACAAAGTTAAAGCATTTCAAATCTCTCTCTACAAAATCTTAAATGTTTCTTGATACATGAATTCTTTATACCATTCATATCATATATTACCTTTATAATTTATTTACAAAATATGTCCTTGGATCTATTTATTTACCCTCTTATGCGTTTTCTTACATTATTTCTATATATCTTTTATATGCTGGATTATCTCCGTGTTAATAAAATAACAATGGATCATATAATTTTTGAATTTCCTCTTTCAGATTTTTTGCATCTGTCTTTGACATTTTAATTATTTATTTATATAATATAATTATGATTTAATTAAATAATCATTTTCTTATAATATTTAATTGAAAGATTAGAGTTATTTTGAATCCATTTTATAATATCATAACTAAGTTAATTTCAAAATCAACTAACTAATAATTATTATACATACCACTAAATTCTCTAAATTGAAAATTTAGAATTGAAAAATATTTTGGAAATATTTTTCAAGTCGTTTTTCTAATCTTCTTCGAGCATTTCCTTCTAATACTTATATCAATTAAATTTCTGTTGCTTCACACATTTTAAACTATTTTCTAATTTATCTACTCTTATAAATAACACCAAAAAAGTATATTTTAGAAAATAAACACAATGAATTTGTTAATAATTAGAATTCAATTTAATATTATTTTAGATAAATTATAATTAAGAAGTATATGAAATAACTAATCATTGATATAAAATATTTTAATAATAATAGTCTATATTAGTTATTAAAAAGTAAATATTTCAGAGAAAATACACTAAATTTCAGCATCTATCTTTTCAGACAGGGATAACTATTAATCATCATGATAGCTTTATAATAAGAATAATTTAAATATATCGAAAAAATGAAGTATTTTATAATTATGGTTTAATATTATTTTTATTTATTTAATGTTTTCTAATTCAAGTGAGTATGATTTACGAGTGTTTTTATGTTCCTATTAAGATGCTCTACATTGTTTAAAATAATCAGCAGATAAATCAACATTAAGAAAAAATTATGAAAATATTGCTAATCGACTTACAATTTATGTGAAACAAAAGAAAGTATTTAATTTAAAATAATATAGATGTTTGGAGAAGCAAACTTATCTAAAAATGAAGAGAGAGACATCTTAGCATTTCAATATACACAGTAAAATATTAAAATATGTATAAAAATAGTTATATATTTTTAAAATATTTACCAGATTTCGACAATTTTAAAGGAAATTATGATTAATTGAAGACAATACTTAATAATTCATTTAATTCTCTATCTTCAGATTTTTAATAGTATTCATAATCATCATAGTAATAATAAACATAATGATTTAAAATAAGTATTTATATGGCAAAAATCATATGATAATATAATCATCATCTTCATCTCTTTATCCGGAATTGTGATTAGGATATTATGAATTTTCAGAGTTTTTCTTTTTCAAACATTTAGATTTCAATTATTCAAACCAATTTCCAACTATTTTTTGTGGTGGTAAAATAACCTTATCAGTTTTGATAAAAGATGACATTTTTTTGACTACATTAAACAAAAATGAATTTGATTCTTCCATTGAAGAAACAAAATTTTAAGTTATTGTTATTTCCTATTTCGATTTAATTTATGTTAGGGTTCTTCAAATAGAAAAAAACTGAATTACTTTTTTGTAAATTGATAAAGGGTCTTGAAACTATTGAATGTAGTTTTGGTTAGGGATAAATTGGATAATTATTAATACAATTACTATTTTGAATTTTTCTTCGAGTTGAGATTGTTAACTCTATCATATAATGTTACACTCTAATTTTTACGTGGATCCTCATCATTAAAAAAATCCTAATATTCTTGAAGGTCTGGTTGAGATTATGAAGTAGTATTAGGCGTTTTATTAACAATGAACATTATTATTAATTAATATTTAATTATGTAACAATAATTATTAAAGCCTTAATCTAAAGAACATGCTCTACAAATTTTACAATAAGGATTTTAAATGTATTAATAATAAGGACATGTCAGTTTTAATGAAAATGCTAATGTAATACAATAACCAGAAAGAATGAGTTTTAATGAATAGAAGTAGAAATCTCATCCAAAAGTTCACAATGTTTTTGATAATCAGAAGAGAATTAGAAATAATTAACATTAAGTTGAATAAAGTCTTGTTGGAAATAGATTTGAAATACCTATATTGCCTTCTGGAAAATATCTAAAATTTAATGTTCTTTCAAATTGGGGAGATAAATAACAAGTTGGTCTAAATGGAATAGAAGTCTTTGATTCATAGGGAGGTAATATAACAAGATATATTAAAATGCCTATGTAAGATGAATATATAGAAAAATTGAAGTTGATTGATGGTTATTAGGCAGTTAAAGATGATAAACATATTTGGAAAACTAAGAATTTAAAACCAGAAATCATTATAGATTTAACTGCAAATATTAAAATTTCATTAATTAGAATTTGGAATTATAATAAATCTAGAATTAGATCTTATAAAGGTGTAAGATTATTAAAAATTACTTTAGATGAAAGAATAGTAAACTATTTATGTAATATTTTAGTTAGATATTTTATGGACATATTTAGAAAGCAACAGGAGATCTAAAAAAGTTATAAGATAATTGTGAATACATTTTATTTACATAAGATTAAAAAATAATTAGTAGAATTGCTGAATTAGATTGGTTAAATAAAAGAGCTGAAGATTATTCTATTTAAATTTTATAATAGACTCTTAGTATTCAATAAATTAGGCCAGGTACTGGAACTAAGTTATAGTCATCAAATTCAAGATAGTAAAGTGATTAATCTCCTTCTTCAAAATTGTATTCATCTAGAATTTAATAAAAAATAAATAATGAATAAGAATAACTTTTGCAAATATAAAGATAATAATAATATTATCAATAGCAGTAATAATAAAATTATTAATAACAATAATATTAGATATAGAAACCTTAAAATAAATAAGAAAAAGTATTAACGTAATAACCTGAATACATATCAGTTAGTGATTTATTGTTAGAATTTAATAATGGATCAAAGAGATTCCTAGGATTGAATTGTATGATTTTGATTAATTAAAAAAACGAATAAATTCATTAAGATGAGATTTCAGATTCTAATTTAATTGATTATGAATTGCAACGACTATTTTATTCTAATAATCCAACATCAATTAGTTCATCTAACATGGTTTGGTTAAAATAAAAGAAAATATACATAAAATTTAAATAATAAACAAAACTATCAATGATCAAATTTTATAATTGCAATTAAATTGTAAGTGAATCAACATTTATAGGACCAGAAATTGTTAAAATTACATATAATGGAAGATTCAAAATATACAGTAATTATTTATTTTTATTTATAGATTTGAGACCTGCTCCTTGTGAAGAAATTAATTTTGTTTAAACAATTATTTTAACATAACCAAATAATAATTCTTATTCTAGTAATTTAACAAATAATTATGAACTATTTAATAACAATTATATTATAGCTTACCCTCCTTGTGGGATGCTTATAACTATTTATTTGCTTAATACTTGGGGAGACAGTAATTATATCGGTTTAAATGGGATTGAGATTTATGACAATTAAGGATCAGCTTTATTATAATAAAAAGTCATTCCTTATTCAATTCATTCAGTTCCACAAGTATTTTAAATTAAAATATAATTAAAGTTAGATGATGATCCAAGAGTTGTTTAAAATTTAGTAATTCCTCCTTATGATATCAATTGTTAACCATAGAAAAGCTTTTTAGCTCCATTTATTAATACTCCAATGGAAAAGTTAAAGAATAAGAATTCAATAATAATATAAAAGGCAAGGGATTTAGAGAGATAAGATATAAATAAGATTTATATATTGTTTGATAAATTTACAGCTTTTAGTGGCATAGACTTTTACAATTATACTAAAGATTGGTAAAGAGGAGTTAAAGAAGTTCATATTTATATTAATAATCGATTAATTTACTAAGTATATTATTAATATTTACATTTAGGGTAATATCAATTAAACCTTTTAAGATATTAAGAAGAATATATTTAACAAAACTACTATATTATTTTAAGATTCTAACTCTATAAAATAATAATTAAATCCATACTTTTATCAATTTCCAGATGAATAGGTTTCATTGATTGATGAGAATAAATAATTGACTTAAAGAGAATATTAATAGCATTTCCCATAATAATTGATTAGACCTAAAACAAGCGTTAAATTATGATTCAATATATTTTATTGCAAAAATTTCAGTTTTATTACAATGCTAATTTTATCATGTTAATAATGAATCAGTTTTCTAAATTATTTATTATACTTTATGAACATATTTGCAAATCAATATATAGATTGTAAGGATGATTGGGAAGAAAAAAGCACAAGCGCAGAAGAAAAAGATGATGAAACTTTTTTTGAAATCGAGTACAATTTATTTAAATAACTTAAGTGTAAAACCAAAAAGATAGATATTTGAAACAAAAGAATAAAAAAAACAGTTTATTGAAGAATATACAAAAAAAAAGAAAACTGAACTTTGTAAAAATTATGAAGCTTTAGGATATTGTAAATTTGGATTAGAAGTATGATAATATTCACTATTCATTTTTAGTGTTCCTTTGCACATGGACAAGTAGAATTATAACCTAAAATTCATTTACATTAAAAATATAGGACTAAACCTTGTACCAGATATTTTAATCAAGGATTTTGTCCTTATGGGATTCGTTGCCAATATTAACATAACAACATTATTAATCATTAAGAATTCGACAGATATTTATTAAATTGTTACAAACTTAATGGAATGAAACCTCCTATCTCTTAAAGTAAATTTTAATTCTATTTAGAATTTTTAAAAACTCAGGAAAGATTGGATGTTTAAAGATTTTAATAGATTTTTAATAACTTTTAAAAGCAAGGACTAACTATTCATATTTATTAGAGGTCTAAGTTCTTTAAAAAATTAGAAAACTAGTACAATTAAACTATCTCATAATGAATTAATTTAATTTATTTTGTAAATAATAATAATTATTATGTCAACTCTTTATCTTACATTTACACTATTTATTAATCTTTTAATGCCAATATTGTTAATAAAATAAATGATATTTATTAGGATATCCAAATTTTAATAATCAATACCAATTTAAAGTTTTCAAAGATTTTTTTAAATTAGCAAAATAGCTTTTATAAAGCTTTTAAATTGGTTAATTGAGTACATCTCTTCAAGTTTTAAAAATTTGCAATATAAGTTTGATTAATATGTTTCTTATTTTGAGAATAAAACAGAAGCAAAATAGTTATAGTATAGGTTGCTAAAATTTTAGATAAAATCTTAAATTCTAAATAAATTATACATTGATTTGAAACATCAAAACCAAGAGTTAATATAAAAAGTGTAGGATCTTAATGAACCTTTAAAAAGAAACTAAATCAAAGAAAAATATATATCTCTAATCAATAAGACAGTTGAAGAGTTTGTAAATATTAACTCTAAAGAATAAAAAATATATTAAATTGGTATTTTAAAAAATAATAAAAATTTAGATCAACTTTTGGAAAAATAAAAAAATTCAAGAATCAGATATTTGTAAAAGGATTCCAGTAAGAAGATCTTCAAATTCGAGATATAACAAAGCTAATACTTAGTATTATAAAAAACAAATCTATTAATATCCAGTTGATTAGACTAATGTATTTATTTTATGTATTAATATTTAAAGAGAGTTAAATAGAGAATACAAGAATAGTGGACTATATATATTTTCATTTTGATGTACATGATGCTATACATTTTAATACAAATATAAATAAAAAATTAAAAATAATAAATTTCTTCATTTTAATACTCGTAATAAAGAAGATAAATTAGATTATTATTTAAAGTTGAATAGAAATATTTGAAAAAAATCTTTAAAGCTTATTAAATCACATTTAAATTCTCTCAAATAAATTTAAAATTTAGTATTTTTGAAAATATAATTAGAAAACAATTAAAAAAATAATTTCTTATTTTAGCCATGATTAAAAATCAACAATATAAAAATTTTAAAAAAGGAGTATGTTACATTAACAGATGAAAATATTGCTAAAACTCCATAATATAAATAGAAAACAATAATTTAATAGGGAATATTATCGGCTATATTTATTGGAATCCTCTCTTTTTTACAGATTTTGAATAATAAATATGATATATCTAAAGAGAAAGAAAAAGGTCAATGATGATATGTGAAAATAACAGACAATTATTATAATCTAACCTGTACCTAGATTAATCAAGCCAATTTTTTGTAGACAACATATCTTCTAACATATATAACTTGACAAGCAGCAACAATTATGATTAATCCAAAAGTAATGCCAGCAAATCCAATAATTTTTGATTAAATATCTACAAAACTTCCTTTTCTCTTTTATTCTCTGTCAACAATTAATAACTATTCCCTTGAAATTTCTTATTACAATTATTCCATTTATTACAAAGTCTCATTAATATTTAGAACATGCTGTTTTTTAGCTAATTAGTCTTGATCATAAACTTCAGCTCCTTTGAATACAAATTATTTTTAATACCACTTTCATAAAATAAATTAATAGTTGCAATATCAGAGTAATCATCAACTTCAAAACACATAGAAATCTCTCCTGATTCTTACATAACATGATGAAATTATTAGATTACCTAACTTGAATATTCAGCAATAATATTTTCTATTTCTTGCTAATTGACTATCTATGAAAATTACAATATTTTTATACACTTAAAGTAAAAGTATAAAGTAAAGTAGAGGATTCAAATTATCCAAATATTAGAGTATTTTATGAAACATTATCTTTTATACATTGTTATTAACCTGGAGGAATCTTAAATTTTAAACTTATAGATTGCACTTCTGTAAATAGGAATATGAATTATAATATCATAAATTAATATAATATTTATATTATTATTCTTAAAAATTGTGTAAACACTTCTACTAATTATAAATAATATAGTAATTAAATATAGATTGAATAATTATTGATAAATCATTATTTATTTTATTTAAGTGTTTAAATTCCATTCCAAAATGATCCCAAACTTCCAATAAATCCATCATGTTTGATAAAATAAGGCTATATTAGATAGATGATATTACATGTCTATTTTATTAATCTAATTTTGAGAAGTAAGAAAAAGCTTCATTAATGCATTATAATGTTTCTTCATGGTTTCTAATAAAATGGCCAGAGAAAAATACTCTTTCAATATTATGTAATTTAGAATGCAAAAATGCAATTTGACTGATATTGTAGGTAGTCATATAAAGTAAAGATTTGACTAAATCTGATTAATTAATATTTGAATTCTACTTCAATTTTCCCATACTAACAGCAACATGTTTTTCATTTTTATTTCTAGTTGGAGATTAAAATCCTAAATGAACTTCATCCATTAATAAATCTGTAGCTGCATTTGAACCTTCTTTCGTCATACGTAATAATTCATCAAAATCATTAATGCCTGTAAATAAATGACTTAATCCTAAAAACATTCCTCCACCTAAAGATGTACCTGATATTCTTGCAAATTTATCTTCATTATCAAATTTTAAAATACTAACACCACTTCCTATATTCACTAATATAAATGGATATATTGATGCCTAACAAAATATTTATTTTTATTAAAAATACCGTCAATTACAAATACTCAATACCATTATTAAAAGTAAAATATGTATTTTTGTATTTGATGCTATCTAATAATTTGAATCCAAACTTTAAGGCATCAAATTCATTTATTCTTATTATATTTCCATAATTTGAAATTTAATCATAATACTTAAATGAACCTCCACCAGTAATATAAAAATTTTATATTTGCGATTTTCCATCCACTATAAACCCTATTTATTCTAATTTTTAAATTAACACATCTAATGAATTAGGATGAGATATAAAATGTATTTCATAATCTTCATTTTCATTTATTACTATTAAGAATAATCTCATGTCTCATACTTTTCAATTCTTCTTTCGTTTGACATTTTAAAGCCAAACCTTTCTTTATTGCAAATGTCAACTTAGTTAATGTTCCACCTATGTCTAAACAAACTATAGGTATTAAACTGGAAGAAAATGATGGATTATTTTACATCGAATTATTAATATTCCAAATAATTAAATATCATATATTTTGTTTATATATTAAAACAATTTTGTCATCATTAAATTCCATTACCATTAAATTGACAAATAAATATAGAAGTTTTTTTTTGAAGATTAAAATAATTAAGAATTATTTTAATCAATCTAACGTGAATTTAGGTATTTAATAAATATCTTTTGAAAGAAGATAAATTAGAAGTATAATGATCTTTTAACTTTGTAACTTTAATAATTTAAATATATAAATTGAATTATGTTAAGTAAATAGAAGTTAACTTAATAATTCTTGAATCTAAGTAAGACTATAATTGAATATTTAAAGATACTTATTTAATACCTGTAATTGTTTCATTATGATAGTAATGGTAAAAATAATTGATAAATAGTTAAATAATTAGGATATGATAAAAGGGTGTAATTTGTTAATAGTAAAATAGAAATATTAATATAAATGCTTTCAACATAAGTATTTAATTCTTTTGCTTAAAGATAAAGCAATGGAATAATAAAATTATTGGCATATGGTGTCTTCTTTGGAGGTGCTTATGGTTGTGTTTGGCATTAATGGAAAGGTGGACAATAAAAATAATTATATGAGAAAGTCGAGAATGAAATAACAGAATGGAAACCTGTGACAATAAATGGACTGAATGCAAGTAGATATCCTTGGGCTAGAAATCTTAATAATTGGGAGTATAAATTAGTGAAATTGTATGGATATTTTAGAGTAAGTAATTAGTAATATGAAAGGATGAAAGATTTTTCGTAAGAAGAGAAAGAGAAGGGAGAGATGGATTCCTTGTATTTGCTCCATTTGTAACAGCATTACAATTTAATGATACAGAATAGGATCCAGAATAAACAACAAAATCATAAGTGATGGTAAATTTGGGATGGGTGCCAAAAGATAACATAAGTGATATTTAGATGGGTTAAGAACCTATAGGAACAACAGTACATTGATTTGTATTCCATAAGACCTATGAAAATGTACCTCATAATGAAGATGATGATTAATTGACAGGATTCAATAGAAACATAGCCAATATGGAGGAAGATTATCAAATGCCATTCGTAGAATTTGTAGGTATGGTGAGAAGAGGAGAAGAAGAAGACATATTAAAAGGTAGAAGAAATTGGCCAAGAGAAGGAGTCTATAATTATATCGATTTATGGTTTATGTCTAGATTATACAGATCATTTAATTTAGTAAATATATTTAAATATAATCAATAGACTGATTCTTCAGCAGCATATATTGAAAGATTAGTATAAGAATATGATGAAGAATCTGCTAATTTATATCCTATTCCAGCAACTAAAGACAACTTTGATAAACCATTACCTACACCTTAGACTCATTAAGCATATTCATTGTTTTTTGGGTTATCTTCAATTATGTCATTAGCCTTATTGGCAATAAGAAGATGATTCTATCTATCAATCAAACAATAAATAATAAAATATTCATTACTTCTTTTTTATATTTTATATTAATACTTCATTTAAGAATTATTATTATTTTTAATCATATTCAAATCTTCACTTTCTTTAATTATTAAGGTTCATCAGTATTTTCTTATTCATTTATTTATTCTTCTATATTTTATACTTTTTATTCTTTCTTTTCCTCTTCTAAAAATTAATCAATTTCATTCAAAAAATCAAGTTCAACCTTTTCTTTAACTTTCTCTACTTATTTTCTTGCTTTATAATTTACCTTAGCCTATTATATTGAATTTTCAATAATCTTTTCATTTTATTAATTTCTTCGTATATAAACTTAATCTAATTTGATGTTACTCTCATTTGCTTTTAATGTTGCTTAAGTTAATTCAACTTAATCTCTTTCTTTCTTTATTTTATTTGGTTCATCTTTCTTATTCTAAAAATAATTTATTAAATTTATTGTATTCTTTGAATTAATAATTCTTCTACCATCTCTATCTCTAGATTAATCCCAATTTATAATCTTTCTTCTTGTCTAAGCTTAATTTTTCAATAATGATCCAAAACCTCCTTTACCACCTAATTTTATTTACATATTCATTACCTTATAATCCTAAAAATAAAGTTATTGTGCATAAATCACTCAATTAGCATACATTTGATAATACTTTTCCTCCTACATGATACTTTTATAAATCCTCTGGAATTCCCAATTCTTAATCTACAAATACCTTTATATCATTTATCTCTGATCCTTTAAAATGTAATTGATTGCCTTCTGGAGTCTAAATAAATATTGAATAAGTCATTAATTTATAATATATATATAAATACAATTTTCAAACCTTTTTATATTTAGATTCTTTTTCTAAAGAATTTAGTATCTTCTTTTTCATGCTCGTTAAAAAGTATTATGTTTTAGCATATATTCCTTAGTTCTTCTTAATAGACTAAAATTTATTAGATAATATATTATACATCTTATTAATGTTATTTCAACTTCCCTATATTCTCATCCTAAATCTATTGTAATTTTATCATTTGTTTTTGCATTTATTCATATTTCTCATTTGAAATATGCCAATGTGCTGAACTGCCCCTTCTATTCAATCTATTTTAAGAAAACTACTTTGCAATATCTAATACTCTTTATTTCATTCTACCAAATATTTAATTCTAAGATAAATTCTATTATTGATATTAATGCTACGAAACTTTCTAATTATGTATTAGAATATATTTTTACTTCTAAATTTTCAGCCCAATGAGGTACTTTTTTATTATTACAATATAGTCTCTTTTTTTTAGGAGTATGCTGATTTTTGTTTTCAATATTTTAAATGTTCGGATGAATATTTTAACTATTTACACAGAAATCTTCAGGAAATGGAAAATCAAATACTGAAGATTAAAATTGAAATCCACATTCCTATATAATATTATCATCCCCAAAATTGCTACTTCCCCATTTATAAGAATGATGATCCAAATTAGAAGATTCATTTGTATTATAAGAAGTAGCTCTATATTCTACCGAAGAACTTTCATACCAATCTGATTTATTTGAAGAATCCATCAATTATTATTCTTAGTCTTATTCATTTATAACAATTTATTATTTATCTGAATATACTAAAACATCCTTATGACTTGAAGTTTGTTTTTATTCATCATAAATTTCAATTGATTTTAATTTTGGAATTAATTCTTCAGGATCTACTGATTCTATTAGTTTCATTAATTCTCTCTATTCCTCTGCTTCTTTTTATTTATCTACCTTTATTTAAGAAAGTTATTATGACAATAAAGATGGTTTTCTTATCTATATTGGAGTTGAATTCTAATCATCATTTATATTGCATTTTGGATATTCTTCAAATTTAATATTATTTAATTTTGATATACTCTCTTCTCTCTATTAACTTGCCTATCTCAATATCATATTCTCATTTAATTTTTCTTTCGATTTTTTATTTTCCATCACTTCAACATTAAAACAATCAACCTACACAGTCTTCTAAAACTATTCATTTATTAACTCCTTTGTTTTTGAATCCTTCAAACTATCATCTTCTCGTTCCTCTGTTACTGCATCCAAATGAGACTGCTTCTAAGAGTACACCATCAAACAATTAATTATCTTCATTGTTTAATTAACTGTCTCTAATACACTGTTTGTAACTAAAGTCATTCTCTATTAAGTTTGAATTGTTATCTAAGAAGCCGCTGCTGCAACATGAATTGAAAGGGCTAATATTTCCTATGAAATCTCTTAATTCATTTAAATTTAAAATAATAAAATAACAAGCGCAAAATTAACCTATATTATTAATGAACAAAGTTAAAACCAAACATAGGAAATAAGCTGAAAATGATTTTGATTCTTCTCTAAGTGAAAATAGCAATCAAAGTTGTGATGATCATCAACCTATCACAATGAATTTTTTAGAAGAAATAAAAGGACATCTAGAAGGGGATATTAGTTTTGAAACTAATGAACATGATATTTATGACCCTGCTTTCTCATAAACCATAAGCCATAGAATTAAAGATCATTAAGACACAGCATTTCATAAATTAAAATTAAAATCTGATACTTAATCTATTAAGTCTTCAAATTCAATAAATATCATTTGTTCATTAGAAATATTTCAATAATAATTAGAATTTAAACATCCTTAGAGTCTTCCAGATCAATAAAATATGTTAAAAATATCTGATTCAAAAAAATAATAAATAAATTTTTTATGGGAAAAACTACGATAAAAAACTAAGGATTAAGAAAAATGATACCCTTAAAATATTCTATACATCATTTTATGGATAATAAAAAAGTTGTTATTTACAGATAATAAAATTAATAATTTTAATATTTAACTTAGATTGTCAATTCATTATTCATTTTTTAAATTCATATTTTGAATAAATTATTATTATTATTATTATTATTATTATTATTGTTATTAATATTATTATTAATATTATTATTAATATTGTTATTAATATTGTTATTATTGCCAAAATAGTATCATTTATTATTATTATTCTTAAGTCATTGCTCCATAATGAGGATAGCTTTTATCTTAATAATATAATTATGGCATTTATAATAATAACAACTATTGTTATTATTGATAAAACATCATCTATTACATCATAGCAGCTTAAAACTATTATTAAACTTATTATTATTATATGTTTTTTTAAGCATTTTCAAATTATAACTAATTATGTTGTATATTATTTAAATTTTGATTTGTATTCTAAGATTTTGGATTCTAAGTTTTCTATTTACTTAACATTTGTTTGTTCTTTTCAGTTGATACTATTTTTTAAGTATATTTTTTAACATTTTAATTTGCTAAAGCAAATTTGAGTACAATCTAACCATGGTTGTTTAATTAATTATTATCATGTAACTTATTTAATAGAGCCAAATATTCATTCCTTAATGGTTATTCTAAATATTCAAATAATCTTTAAATTGGATAATTAGCAAATTAATCATTAATCAATCTCTTAAATGAACTGGAATTATAATTATATAATTATACCTTTCTGAAATTGTTACTTCTTCCCATAACTTATTTCTCCATTAAGAACCTCCATAAACAATGGCTTTTTCTGCTACATTGCTACCATATTTGTCCATTGACATTGGTATAAAATCTTTAATGAGATATTAATCCATTAATAATCTCTTATGTACTTCTTAGCCTTTCTCCAAAATCGATTAAATTATATAATTGGCATATTGTCTACGAATAAGGCCAGAACTATTTTCTATTGCTCTTACAATGATGTCATTGCATAAAGTCTTAGTTTAAATGTCAAATTATTTAGGATATATATCAATAATCTTATTAACAATTAAACATCCATATTAATCTATTGATAATTCAAACTTTTCATTATTTTTATTTAATATCTATTATTAATATAAATATTTTACGTATTTAGATAAAACTTATAAAAGCTTAAATAAATGGTTACCTTCTAATACCTCAAGGCTTTTTTAAATAATTTGATTAGCAATTTTATCTACATATAGCTTTTTCATTTATGGAGTATCAGAATGAATAAAATTAAGGTAATTTTCTAATTAATAAGAAGAATCTTAAGGATTTTAGATCATCACTTCCAATCCTTTTTACATCACTTTACAAGCATAAAGATCTTTTATTAATTTATTAATTGATTAAAATATTCTATCAAGTATTATATTTTTGTGCTAAGGAGGACCTAAAGTTAATTTTATTTTAATATACCAACTTCCAGTATTTTTTCAAGTAAGAAATGCTTATACTTATCTAAACTTATATTTTCTATTTCATTTTTTACAAAAGTGTTGAAGACATATTCTTTTTCTTTTAAATTTGCGTTTTAATACTCTTGTTACATTTTTCGAGAATTTTTTGTTAATTTCTCATGGCTTAAATATGAAGACCTAAAAAAATTTAACAAATAATAGTACATATCAGCTTAAAAAGCAGAAATAAGAGAAGGTCTTTAAGAGTCATTAATCAGTACTTGATTTAATTATTAGTTAATTTCATCAAACAGATCATCTAATTAGATATAATAAAATATTAACAACCTTCTTGATATATTTAATCTTCAAAAAAAGCTGTACTAAATGTTTTTGGTGCATTCATATTCTCAAATAGAGTAGGAGTAGCAGTAGAACCACTCTAAGATGGATGACATTTGAATTCATCTTCTTCTTTATTAAATTCTTAAGGCACTTAAGGTTAAGACATGTTTTGAACTTTATAAAATATATATATTTATATACATTTTTTATAAATATCCAGCAAATAATATTAAATAATTATAAACAAATAAACCTATCAAAATCAATATCTCGAAAATATAATCATTTTTGAAAAAGTTTCAAGAATTTATAATTAAAAACTCCTTTTTTCAATCATTAGATGCATTACCACATAAGTTAAAATAATATAAATTATTTAAAAAAATATTAATTCACAAATTAAAAAGCTTTATATTCAAAATAATTTAATATATATTGAATCTTTGCAAGCATTCTCTTAAACCTATTCAAAACTATATTTCTAATTAGATAAAATAAAAGTAACATTAAATTTGAAAATTATAATATTAAAGCTGCATATCAATTTTTAATCTTTTTGATAAAAAATGAATATTTAAAACTGTTTTTAGGTGTATATTATTTTATTTAAAAATTATTCAATGCGCAATCTAACCCCTGATAAAGCATTCAGATTGAAAAAACAAAGTATATTTGAGCTGAACTTTAGTGAAGAGCCAAAATCAAAAAAAATTCAAAGCCGATAAACAAATCAACAACCCTTGGAAACTTTGTTCTAAATATACACAAAAAATAGAGTTATTAAATTAAAAGAAACCCATAATATGTATTGCAAAATATAATCTCTTAAATCAAAGCTAATTAAAATATTTAAAGATAATAGATAGTAATCACCTCATGATATGTTCACAGATTAAAAAGGAAAATAAATTTTAGATGAAGTAAAGGAATCTCATATTCTTAATTTGCAAGGGTTAAAAAGAATGGTAAATTCAAATGAAAAAAATCCATTAATCTTAAATCCTCGATACTCAACTGAACTTAAAAAATGTTATTTTAGATATCCTACTGATGCTTTTGAAAAAATAGATAGAACTACTACTATTTCTCCATAACCTTTTCTAAGAAAGTATTCACCATTACTCAAACCAAGAGTAAGATTTTCTGAATAATCGAATGAATTAAATGCTTGGAAAACTAAAGAAGAGTCTACGATAAATTTATTTTGACTTTAATTTTTTTACAATCTATAGAATACCTTTATAAAATATATATAAATAACGATTATAAAAATAATTTGATTTATATATTATTTTACGAAAATAAAGAATCATTTAAGAATATTAATCAACAGCTATTCTGCTTAGGAGAGTTCCTTAGTGCAAATTTGCTGTAGATTTAATTATTAATTAAAAATTGATATTGTTAATCGTTTCTCTGACATAAATGTTGGATTAGATTGTTGCATTCTTTATTAAAATAATTCCCATAGTTATGCAAATTATAATTCCTAATATTATCCAAGTTCAGGGATGTCATAAATTTAATAATTTTGTGATCCAATATCTTGTTTCTATTGACTAATGGCTATTTCCCTTTTATAAAATAGCTAAATCTTGTTAAAAATTTCTGTTTAATAATATCTAATATAATGATATAACTAATCATTATTTTTACTGCTTGAAAAAAAGGAACTGCAATTAGTAGATGCAAATGATATAGCCGATGCCTATAAACTATCTGCTTAAACAATTTCTTATGAAGAACAATTATCATCATTTTAATAAGAAATTGATTTGAATAAGGATTTTATTTAAAATTAGACATTGTATTACATAGATAAATGATAATTAAATCTTTGTATTTCATCATCTAAATTATTATTGCTAGAGAATAATTGTTAATCTTCAATGTTTTTCAAAGAAAATTTAGACATTTTTTGACTGTCTTATTAATACTCTTTTATTTATTATTTGAATTATTCAATTCTATAAGAGGATAACAATTCAAATATATGATAATCATAAATGTATTAGCCAAATATATAAATTAGAATCTTTTCATCAGTTTAATAATCAATTGTCAGTAATGGAGTTAAATCTACTGCCAAATTTATCAATTTATGTAATTCTTGACAGTATTCAAAATTATAATATCCATATTAATGAATATTTGTTTAATTTGTACTAATATCAATTAAATATTAGACATAGTCTCTCAATTCTTAAAATTTAATATTCTTATTTCTACTTTCAATCATTTTTAATCTAAATTCTTCTCTTAACATAACAATAACTTCTCCTTTATCTGATTTTTTTAACCATTAAATGACCATAAATTATCGAATAGTATAATTAGGTAGTATATTATGAGGGAAAGCAGTATTGATTATATTATTAAATTAATCAATTAAACTAGCTGTTTCTTATTCTAATATGCTTATCCATCCTTTATAATGATGCCAAATTTGGATAAATTATTACAAATTACATTTTAAAAATTTAATTTCCAGATATAGACTATATATTTTAATATAATCATGCAAAGTGTAAATTTACATAAGCAATTATGGCAATTATATATAGATTTCCATTCCTTATCTTAGTCTTAAGATCAAATCTTAATTTTTTACAGCAAATGATATTGAATCCTAATATTCATAATATGGACATGATAAATTATTAAAATTTGATTTATTTTTAAAATATAGAATGGCTTTCTAAAATCCACTATAATTAACTTTTTCTTCTATTGTAATTGGAAGCTCTTTTAACTACAACCGAACACTTTTAATTGCTCCACTGAAAGGTATCCCTTTAATCGGAATGAATACAAGGCTTTAGATGATTTTTTTCCAATTTTATGAAATAATTTAATCTCCCTAAATATTTAAAAGTCTGTGACATTCAATCTGAAAACAACCTGATGTTTGAATAAATAATTAATAGGTAACTTTTGAAGTTAATAATATGTTATGGTACTCTTATATACTCAAAAAACTAGTCAGAAATGATAATGTTTTCTACGATAATTTAGAAAAAATACTAAAATTTAAATCAATTAAATCATACATCTATTTTTTGTTATTGCTAAAGAGTAATTGTAAATGATCCTTCCTTTTTGATTTTCCTTCGTTTTAAGTTTAATTATTTCCCATCTCAAAGAATTATCAAAAATTTACTAATTTAATTATTTAAATGAGTTTTAACATCCATCTTTTTTTCTACAAGTATTTAAAGCTTTAGATGAGAATGATAATTTATCAATTTAATAAACAAATAAATTTATGTTTTACTTAAAATATTTATAATAATCATATTTTCTATGTATTTCTCTTTTTGTTTCTTTTTATAGAGATTCTTAACTCTAAATGGATCAATTTAGAAATTACAACAATTATTTTAATTTCAACAATCATATATTTACAAATTGAAAGTTTAATATGCTATTATAAGAATTTATGATATGAATATAGTGTTAATTCATAAATTAATTTGTAATACAATTTTCAAAGAAAGCATTATTTGTCAAAATAACAAAAGACAATATGAATCATAGTTCAATTTTTGTCTTAAATTCTTAAATTCAAAATTAAATTCATTGTAAATATACTAACATATTCATCATCAAAACCATTATTATTTAGTTTGATATTAACATTTAAAAGGAAGCTTTACAAGAGTATCTAAATATAATTTAACTCAAATTGTAAATCTAAGATGCTTGAAAAATAGAATTTCTAGAAAATTTAATTTTGTAATTTTATTATTTAAGGTTTGAAAATTATTTTAATAGTTTTATTTAATATATTTGAAACATTTTCTTTTTGTTTTAAACATTAATTAATATTATTAGATTTGCTACAATTCTAATTTATTAAATTAGGATTCTCTTTTTTATTGTTTCTCAGTAGCTTCAAATTTTGCTCCAAATAATTTTAGTTTATTTTATTTTATTTTCATCTTTGCAATATCGGATTTTTAATAATGTAAATAGATTAATTTTTTCAATTGAGATTTACATATTCTATTGTATAAATAAAATCATACTCAAAAATTTTAATGACTTAATTTTAATGAGCATTCATCATTTTGATTAGATTAATATAAAATAATATTGAAAATTAAATTATTTGAATTGTAAAAAATGTCAAAAAATGATAGATCATATCATTATTAAATTTATGGTTAGTTTTATGCTTATTAAAGCAATTCAAGATTAAAATCTTCATTTTCTTCTGAATTGATAATATTGTTATTATCTGTTCTTTTTTGAATACTTTCATCTTCTGGATCATCAACTTCTAAAATAAAACGAGTTATAGATAAATTTACATTAATATTTGTATCTTGGAATACTTGCAGTAGGTTTCATATAATTAGGTTCTTTATAATCTTCATAATCAACAACTTCAGGTTTATTAATAACACTTTTTAATTATTAATATGCTTTAGTTAAATCTAATACAGGTCTTCCAGAAGATGTTTAATTTTAATCATATTCTTTATTATCACCTAAAATTTCTTAGGCTAATTTTTTAAATTCTTCATAAGATTATGGTTTTTAATTATTATTTAATAATTAATATTGTTCTTATATTTTTTCTTTTTATTATTATTTAATTTATTAATTTTCAGTTACAAACATATTATCTTCCTAATTCTCATCAATTTAAGATTATTCTTCTTCATTTTATAATAAGAATCCATCTTTAGATTGTTCAATTACAGGTAATTTAAGTATATCATTTTCAACTCGTTTTAATTATTCAAATTTACAAGGGGGTCTTTTAATTTTAGGTTTTTTAAGATAAGATTTTTCAATTTCATCATTAATAAGAATTCCTCCAGTTCTTGCATGAATTTCCATTTCTAAACCTTAATGATCTTTAGTAATTCCAAATGGATTTCCTGTAATAATAATTTTTTTGAGATTAGTAAAATTACGTGCACAAATGAGATTATGTTAATTTTCAGCTATATTATAGGAGAAATCTAATGTTTCTAATTTATTGAAATATCCAACTACTAATCTTTCTGTATGAATTCCTCTTAAAAAATTCTTACTAATATTTAAAGTTTTTAATTCAGGTATCTAACCTAAGACTTCCCATAAGATTGATGCTGTTTAATTAGATTAAAATGCATTATCACTTATATCTAATAATTCTAATTTTGTAAATTCTGACATATCTGTTGGTAATTCAAGTAATTCATTTCTAACTAAATAAAGTTCTTTTAATTCTGTAATATGTTTTAATGAACTTATTGCTTCTTTACTTAAATAATTAAAAGATAAATCAAGATGCTATAACTATTCAAATGTATTCTTATGTGTAATTTCAATATTTTTAATGTTGTTAGCACTAATCTTTAAAATTTTTAATGATGGAAATGAAGTTAAATCTTCTAATTACAATTAATTTTCAGAAACATCTAAATCTTACAAATTTAAAAAATATTAGAAATCTTCAGGTTTACTACTTTATATACGAAGTCCTAAATAAGTTATGCAAATATAAAACTTGATAAATTTGCTCTAATAATCTCATGCGGATTATCATTATTAGTTACATTAATCATTAAGAACCCATCTAAACATTTTACTCTCATAACAGTATCATCAGGAATATAATAGATTTTTGTTTTAAATGGATTTTTAGTATGAGCCTTTCTTTTCTTTTTTCCAAGTAATGGTAATTAAAAATGATTCAATTTATTATAGGCTACAGGAAATGGAATTTAAGAATTAGCTTTATTTTTCATAATAAATGATTATTATTATATTACTAATTTTAAATAATGCAAAGATCAATAGGTTATATAAAGAATCGAACAAAAGAATTTCAATTAAAGAAATAGAAATACAAATCACCAGATCTTAATAGTAATAGAAGAATATATTAGTTACCTCCTAAATGGGTTGATAAAATGGAAGAAACTAGAGATACTATATAGAAAGTTGGAATTTTAAATTAAGAAATAGAAAATTTGAAATATTCAAAACAAGTAGGACCTAAAGCTTAATTTAATGAATAAATTATATAAGGAAAACTTGATTAAGCATTACAGGTTAAAATCTGAGTATAGTAGATGATTAGAGATATTGAAGAGAATTTATAAATTATGGAAAATGATGATTGTGAAAATGATCTTGAATATAAAATAAAATAAAATGCAAAAATGTGTTTAGGAATCTCATTAAAAGAAGTTACTCCATAATTAAGGAATTATTAAAATTAAATGATCTAATAAGTACAATTAGAAAGACCTACTTAAAACTTTAAAATTGATTTTGAATAAGAATATTTTGATACTTTAATTTTAGATAGAAATGATAGAATTAAATCTTTAGGTGAAAAATTAACAAAAATGAATGAATTATTTAAAGAAATGAATAGATTAGTAATTGAATAAGGTACTTTATTAGATAGAATTGATTTCAATATAGATTAAACTTTTACAAGAATTAAAAAAGGAAAATAATAATTAATCTAAGCAAATACAAAATAAGAAACTAGTGATAGAGCTTAAAAATGTATTTGTGTTTTAGTTGGATTAAATATTTTTATAGCATTTTTATTTGTAATTAAACATACATTATTATGAAATAATTATATAAATTAAAATAAATATATTCAGAAAACTAATTAATCTTCACATTATTTATATATATTTATAAAGATTATATATAATATCTAATTATTATTAGAATTATTAGTTATTTCCAGTTTATATCATGTAAATATATTTTTAAATTTTAACACTAAGTTGAAATATTTTTTATTCAATTTTTTTTAATAATAAAATATAATATAACCAAAAATAAAAATCAATCTTCTTTCGAGAAATTTAAAATAAATGGTTTAAATAATAAGAGTTTATTGTTTACTAATATTCCTAAATCTTAAGTTTTTCTCATTAATAATAGTCTATTAATGCGATGAATTTCAAATTTGATAATATTTTTTTATATAAATAAAAAATTTAATATTACTTTAATCAATAAATAAAACTAAGTTTGTCATTATACAGAGAAGTAATTTAAAAATTTATAAATATGAAGAACATATACACAATATAGGAAATCAGAAAGGAGACTTAAATTGAAAAGTTTCAACAGATTGAATTCTATATATAAATTAATATAATTACTTTAGTTATAGATTCTAGGCTTTATTGAAGTAGGAATGCTCTCTACATTAAACAACAGTATATCTATTCTCCTAAAAATCGAGCATTTTAAATAATAAGTGCTATGCCTTTTTGTCTTTGACATTTCTATAATCAATAGCAAATAAATTGTGTTTTGATAATCTAATTATCTATTATGTATTCATGTTTCTATCAAACATGGGATTCCCTGTTAAAAGTACATGAAATACTTGGGCTAAACTATAAATATCACATTTCTCATTATAATGTTTTCCATTTATAATTTCTGGAGCAAAGTACCCAATAGTTCCACATTTCTCACATAAGTAACTGAGATTTTCCTTAAAAGTTGAAAATCCGAAATCAATAATCCTTATACTCTTATGATCATAGATGTCTTCTAACATTATATTATCCATTTTGATATCTCTATGTATTATTCCTAGATTATGGATGTGATTCAATCCTGATAAAATTTGTTTCATTATTGATTTAACTTTTATCATATTAATGTCACTAGCATTAGAATTTACGTGTTAGTTTAATGTACCACCAGAGAAATAAGGATATATAAGTATTATTTAGTCATTTTCAAAATAATATTCGATTATACTAGCCACATTTTCATGTGGATGCTAAGCTATGTATAAATTTATTTAAAGTTCTCTATCTATCATAAAATGATTATTTCTTTGTATTTTTGCCACATAGATTTATTTATTTACTCTACTATGACATTTGATTATCTTTAAATTATATAGATATAATATACCTCTCCATTTTGTATTTATTTTATTGTTTCAAGTCTCTAGTAATTATTTGTAAAATTGCTTTAGGCAACTTTTGTTTTTAACACATCAAAACTTCTACTTCCACTTTCATTATCAATTAAATATTTTTCTTGAAAATTCTTTTTATACTCAAAAGTGACCTCATGAATACAGTCACTAAAAACTTAAATTTAAGAGTACAATTTAATCCAAGTCATTTTATAGATATCATCAATGTTAATTTTCAATATCTAATTGTATTAACTCTAATTTATTAAAAAAATCAGTTTACTTCATAAATTTCAATACAATTTCCCTTTACTATTAAATTTGATACTTGAAAGGGTGCAATTGCACTAGATATTTTATTTAATAATATTTAAGATTTTTCTTAAGACTCTAATTCTTTAATGGACATTAATAGTTTATTGTAAAATTAATTAATAAGAAACTTATTAACTTACATACTATAAATCCAGTTTTGGTGACGTTTTAAAAAATCAAAAAATTTAAAATTAATAACCCTACATATCATTGAGTAATAAAATTTGAAATGATCTTTAAAAAATAAATACCAAAAAAAAGAATTAAATATGAATTTCATTTATTCTGATCCTTTGAATATAGTATTGGTATCCTAAAAATTTTGTTAATCTTACTTATTTGTAATAGCATCACCAATTTGTTCATTTTGTCAATATTAAAATTACTTCAGTACACAAAAAATTAGCTTAAATTTTAAAAAATTGTTTTATTGTTATACCCTATTCTCTTAAATATATAAAAAAATCATATTGCTCATCTTAACAATATGATTTAGAAGTTCCTTTATAACATCTACAAATTTTTTAATTATTTTTATTTTTTCCTATTGAAGTTAATTAAAAAATAAATATTTTTTCTTATTACAGAAAAAGATGGAGTTTTTTATAAACTAATTAGGATTACCAATTTATTTATTTAAATTATTTGCTTATTTCTTTTAATTGTTTTTAATATGAAATCAATCTGATAAAAAATCAATTTAATAGAATACAAATAATTACAAATACATAAATCATATAATGATATAGATATAAAATAGAGTATATTTCGATTTAAAAAAATATTAAAAATAGGATAATTTAGTTCATCAAATTAGACAAATAATGAATATTTTTGAGAATGCAGAACAATATTTTATTTCTCATTATTTTTTTTAATGAAAATACAATTTTTGACTAATTTCAATTAATTTATGCTTAAACAAACTGTAAATAAAACTCTTTTAGTTATAACTAGGATAATATTAAAAATTAGAAATTAAGTATTTTGAATTATAATTATTTCATTTAAAAATGAATTGACATTCATTGCAAAATTAAGCTACATTAGATAATATTTAGATTTTCCCACAGTCTTGATTATATTTTAGCTAGTAATCCTGAATTACTTATAAAAATATATTGATAGCTTTAGTTCCATCATATGTTTTTAAATCCTCTTCATTTGTCAAGCATTATTAAAGAATACTATAAAACAATATTGTAATTGAAGAAAATCTTTTCTTTAGGAATGTTTCAACCAATCTAATTATATAAATAAACATACATTTAAAAAAATACTTAGTATAAAAGACATGATTGATTTTGTATCAAATTTAGAGGTTTAGAAATCAATAGAATATGATAAATATTTTAAAATTTCATTTTATAACCTTGCATTAAAAAGCTTTTACAATAATTGATATCATTCTTTTATTAGGAATTTTAAATTTTATATTGTAATTCATTTTTAAAAGATGATCCTGCTAATTCAATAATTCTTTTAGTAACTCCAGAATTAATATTATCAAGGTCAATTGGTCCAATTAAACAATCAGTTGGAGGAGCAAATTCTAATTTGGAATGAATAATTTATCTTAATTTTTCTTATTTAAAGATATTCTAAAATATTTCATCTATATTATCCACAACATCTGCTATTTGTATAGACATAGGTGTTTAAAATTTAAAATTAAGAAATGTTTAATGAAAGATTTATGCACATAAAAATAAAGGAAAACCATAAATTCCTGTAGACATAAGTGGTATTGCAATAGATTAGATATTTTTTTCCTGACATTTTTATAATCTAAGTTAATGAGTTAAAATAAATAATTACATATTGAAAAGGCATTTCTATAGCTATTCTATTGATTTCTCAGGATTTTTAGGATTAAATACTGGAGCAACTACATGTAATATATACTTTGGTCCATTTTCCTATTCTAAATTGTAACCTTTAGTGATAACTACTTCTGATGTTTCAATAGATTTTTCTCCAATCTTTTAAAAAATCATATTAATTTCATTTTTTACTTTATTATCACCTGCAACTCTAAAAATAGTTTCAAAACTATTATCTCCTTTAGAAAGGTCATTATTGACCGCATTTACAATTGCATCAACTTCTTTAATTTTTTTGATATCTTATTTAAAAATAGTAACAGATAAATTAGCAAAATTAAATTTCAAAGGATCTATATAGATTGATCACTTATATACCTTTCTTAACAACTCTTAAAATTTTATTATTAATTTATATATCTTCAAAACTAATTTGATCAGGAAACTTTTTAATAGCTTCAGAAAATGCTTTTTAAGGAACATCATTTTATAAATCATTTTAATTTACTATCAAACTATTATATATGTCCTACAAACATAGACAAATTTTATTAATTTTCAAACATTTTAAAGTATACAACAGTCTTTATTAATAAATAAAAAAATACATGTCATAAAAGCAATTTGATAATTAAATTTATCTTCCATCTGAATTTGATTCATTTGGACAAAACACTAATAAAACAAAATTGGATCCAAATATTGGAATCTTTGTTTTTATTGATTGTAAATAATATTCTTTATCAGCCTAAGCTAATTTTGCAATATCTTTAAGTACATTATCCAATTATTTATCTAAATTTATGTATGGAGGTAAACTCTTTTTAAATTACTCTTTATCAACAGGAATAACTACACAATCAACTTATACAATAAATGTATTTTATTCACTTTATTTAAGTTTCAAATTTTATTAAAATTCTTGCTATTACATCTTATTTGATATTGATTAACTTAAATCTTATCGAGGTTATTTTTGAATTAGCTCTCCAAATTAATCATCTTTTTCTTAATCATTTATGTTAAATTTTTGTTTATTCATGATATTCGCCTTCAATTACATTTATTTTTTCATTTATTGGATATTCTGTAAGTTATCATATAAATAAAATTTATTCATTACTTTTTAGTTTTACCACTCATTTTGTATTAATAATTCATCTTGTGAAAGAGATAATAAATAATCAAATATTTTATCAATTTATAGCCTATCTGAGGTTGATGAAGATATAAGTTTTTCTAATAGCTATTAAATTTGATTCATTTATTATTCTATTGTTATAATAAAATTTATTTACAATCTTCTTAATTTGCTTTAATGATATTTTGACTAACGCTTTTGAATAGCATTCCAATCGAATATGAATCATGAGTTTCTGATATATATTAGTTCTCTTCCATTTCTGGTGGACAAAATTATTACAAATCTAAAAGTCTAGTTGTTATAATGTAATATAATTTGTATCCATACTCGTTGTTAATTTATTTTAGATTTAATTCGTTTTTTAATAATTTTTAATGAAGTGCTTTGAGATCTTGACAAACTGCAAGCATGAATTAAATTAAATTCATCAAATTTTTTATTCCATCAAAAGAAACTCCAGCAGTGTCAATAAATAACGATATATAGTTTCTATCTACCTTTTTTAGAGATTATGATTGTGTAAGAAGTGGTTAATAAATATTCTCATTCTAATTTATTTTTTAATGAGAATTCGAATTAATATCTTAAAATTCCTATTTTAAAGATGACTTAAATTATTAATCATTCTATTACTCTTATTTTTAATATAATTGTTATTATTATTATTATTCTTGTTTTAATTTCTGTTATTATTATTATTATTGTTATTATTATTATTATTATTGCTGTTATTGTTATTAATTTATATCTTTTCTTTCATTATAAGTCTTATTTAGTTAAGTAACATCACTTCCCTTGAACTAGTTCTAGTTCTAATTGTCAATATATTTATTTTAGTAATTTTCTGTAATTTAGAGTCTCTTTACTGTTGAGGATTAGGAAATTTTCATAAGATTTGAGTTTATAAAATTATTATTATCATCAAATTATTCAAATTTCATTTTTGTTTTATCTTCTAATTTTGAATTAGAGCTTTATTGATACTATTAATTTGGTTTCATTAATAGAGAATTGTTTTTTTGTTAAGAAATAATTTCACTTTTCATAAGATCTTAGAGAAAATCAGTAACAAAATCATACTCATAAGTTTCAAAGGAAACTAAATTAAATTTTACATCATTTAGTTTTTCTCTCTTTTTTAGAAATACTTCTTTAAAGGCTCTTAATGATTCATCTATTGAATAATCAGCAATACCACAACCTAGTAATGGAATTAAAATTGATTTAATTTTTTTAATGTGAATTTCATTAAAACTAATTTTTAATAGATTTAATACATATTTTCGAATAGTTTGACTAACAATAAATATGACTGCTATTCATTTTTGTGATTATATTATGGTATAATACAATGAATAATATATTTGAATTTATTATGATTTATAGGTAGTGCTATGGCTTGGGCATATTATATTGATCCCTATTATTGCCTTTAATAATATTCATCGCATAATTTTTAAATATTGGGATAGCCAAAGAAATCATAAGCTTTTTCTCTTAAACCTGGAGAAATTTATAATTTCAATCCAGATGGTATTGCTATTGCTTCTGCTTCAAATTTAAAAATATCTCCCTAAATTAATGATAACATTTTTTTATATTTTATAATTATTTAATTAATGATTACCATCTCCAATGAATAATTGAATCCCTGTAGATTATATCTATTAAAAACTGATAAATTAATAATTAAAAATAAATAAGAAGAGGGATTGACATTTACATTTATTCAACAAAAGAGTAAGCCATTAAAATTAGAAGAATAATTTAAGTTTGATTGTAAGGTTGGAAATCATTACTTGATTTGTGAAAAACTTAATCTAAAGTCTGAAGTTTATGTTTTTAAAACTCATTATGATAGAGAAAAATATTAAGAATAAGAAGAAGAATTTAAAGCTACAAAATCAGAATAATAATATGATAGTGAAGATATATCAAATGAAAATGATGAAATTATGAGTGAAGAAATCGGAATCTTACCTTAAAGAAAGAAGAAATTGTTAAAATGGTCAACAGCTGAAACATCTTCGACTTATTATTCTAAAAAAGAGAATTAATCAACGACATCTGATATGAGTGAATAGTTATTCCCAGAAAAAAGAGGTAAACGTAAGGGATCTGATCCAGTTATATAGAAAACAGAATTTATTGTAAAACCAATAATATAAAGAACTAATTAAATTAATAATTTATTACAAATTTAATCATATGCTAAGATGAATTAAAAAAGATAAATAACAATCTCAGAAGAATAATTATTATCACTTAAATAAAATTGGAATATTTAAAAAATGATTAATGAATATCTTATTAATTAATATTCTTATTAATGAATCTCATCTCTTTCTATATTGATTAATATTCAGATCTAAAAAATATATTTTTACATTTTTTTATTTCTAATATCTTAATAGAGATAGAATTATGAAAATTTAAATGTTAAAATCATTTCAAATACAATTAAATAAAAATAAATAAGCATTTAATGAATAACGAAATAAGGCAATATATTAGACCTATTACAAGAAAACTTAAAAAGAAACCTCAAAATATAATAGTATGTTAAGATGATGAAGTTAAATTTGACTTTGGATACTTTGATAATGATTCTGATGATATTTAAACTTTAATAGAAGATTTCTAAGGAAAATGCATATTATTACCAAATACTTCAGAATCAGATAGTAATGAAGAAAAATAAAAGAAGAATAAGATTGGTGAGAATAAATTTTCTGATTTAAATCAAGTTTCATTAATAGAACCTACTTCTATTGAAAATAAATTATAAAAAATTTAGTAGAATTTAGATTAGGATGACAATTTATCAAATTTAGAGACATAATCAAATTTAACTGATGATGAAAATTTTGGCAGGAATGAATATAAATTGGGTTTATAAGGTGAAATCAATTATTTGGAAGGTTTACCTATAAATAATAAGACTAGATTTAAAAAAAAAAAAAATTTAGTACAATAAAATAAATAGAAAATTAATAAAAAATTATTGCTACAAAAAATTTAGTCAAAAAAAATTATAAAAAGCAATAAGAAAGAATGATTTTTATTTTTTTTACTCTTGTTAATAAATATATATATATAATACATTAAATAATTAAAATTTGAATGTCAAAGAGATATTTTATAAATAATTTGGATAGTCCATTAGGCTAAGAATTTTACTCATAATTAGTAAAGGAAGATAGTGAAGAAGGTGTTCATATGGCAACATACACAATTGATGATCCAAATAAGATGCCTCCAAAAGGTTTTAAGAAAATATTGAAACGGTATGAAAATTGAATATGTTAGATGTAAGCCAAAGTTATCTAGAAAAAAAATGCTTGAAGAGTGTGATGTTTATGTATATGATGTAGCATCAGCAACATAATAAGATTTAGATTTTGTATGCGATATATTTAGAAGTAGTAAAACAACATTAGAAGAATAGAAAGTATAAATATATGTTATAGATAGGTATTAATATTAGTATCATCTGTTTTAACATGGAGTGCAATGCCAGATAAAGTAAAACCGAAAGTAGAAAAAAAAGCAGATGAAGAATAAGAAGGAGAATAATAAGAATAAGCAGAATAATAATAAAAGAAAGAGGAAGCAGAAGAAAATTAAGAGCCAAAAGATGATGAAAATTAAGATTAAGAATAAGAATAAGAATAATAATAAATTTAGTAATAATAAATTATTGAAGTTCCTGAGGTCATAGAATATGTACCTTGGGAAGAAGGTGATTATAAATTAAGAAGTGCTTCTGCTTAATATTCATAATTGAAAGATTGGGAGGATATGATCTTATCTTTATAAAAAGAAAACCTTAAAATTATTGTTGTTTGTGCAGGCTTAATATATGGTAAAGGAGAATTGCTCTTTTAAAAATATTTTAAAGTAAAGTATTTAATATTATAAAAAGAAAGCTTGGTTATAATAACCTTATAAATTAAGTTATTAACCAGATGGTAATAATAAAGTACCAACAGTTCATATAACTGATTTAGTGAAAATGATTGTAAAGGTTTCTGAATCTATTCCAGAATCTAATTATATTTTTGCTGTTGATAACACTTAAGATAGATCTTAAAAAGCTATTATATAAGGTATAGCTACAGGTGTTGGAAGTGGTTGGATTGAACAAAATGATGATTTCTTTAAGGATTTTACTCCTGAAGAAATGGATTGCTTTAGATTACATTTAGATTGCAAACCATCATAAATGTTTGTAGGAAATGAAGAAACTCCATCTGATTTTGAATGGCATTGTGAAAAAGGAATTGCTGTAAATGCAAAAAAAATATTATAAGAATTTACTATAATTCATAAATTAAGACCAATAAAAATAATTATGGAATCTAAAGCAGAAAACATGAGATTTTCAGATATATTAACAATGATAAGTGATCATTATAGAATTCCAGTTATAAATTAACAATAAATATTTCTAGATGCATAAGATCCAAATTATGTATTTCCATAAGAAATGTTGGAAGATTTTACTGAATATTGGCCGACAATTTAAGAATATATTGATAATAAAACACCTGCATAATTATCAGAATAGTTAAAGATTTATTATAAAGTAATTAAATGGCGATTAAGTTAAAATGACTGTTAAAATAGAGGTTTTATTTTATAAAATTTTCCAAATTTCTTTGAAGAGGCTGATTTCATTTTTTATCCAAATAAATAAAAACTTAAGATGAAAAAGAAACCTAAGAAAAAACCAGTTGTTTCAGAAGAAGAAAAGAAATAACCTTAAGAACCTGTTGTTGATGAAAATGGAGATCCTATTGAATAAGAATAAGCAGAAGAACAATAATAAGAAGAATAACAATAAGAAGAAGTTTAAGAAGAAGAATAATAAGAAGAAGAATAATAAGAGGAAGAATAAGAAGGAGGACCAAAACCTGAAGATTTTTTCCCAGAATCTTACATTGTAATTAAACCATTAGGAAAAACTGATAATTTTGATTATAATAGAAAATTAATCCATTTTTTTGGTGAAAGAAATTTAGATGCATATTTTATAGATCCCAGAAAAAAAACAAATCATGATACTTTTGAAGATTTAAGAATTTATATTGAAAGAGTAAATATTAATTTTATTAAATTAGAATGGTAGACCATATAATTATTTATAAAATGAATAAGAATTAATAGTTTAATATTTCAATCTATAGAGAATAAAAGATTTAACAATAAAATATACTAGAAAGTAGGCAATATAGATATGGAAAGAGATAACAAAAGTTAAAAAGGATAAAAGATAAGGTTTGGTTACAAAATATACAAAATACATATAGGAGCAAGAATAAGAATTATAATAAGTGAAATAATTTCCTTTTAGAAACTATCTAATGGATTTTGTGGTACCAGTATTAAATGAAGGATTGGTAGAGGTAGCGCATATTCTACCAGATGATCCAGTAGAATTTTTGGTATAAAAATATTTAATAGAAATTAGGCGGAATATTTATATAAAAGAAGTTTAAATGTTGACAATGAATGATATTATAAATTATTAATATTAATACGTAATATAATAATGGAAATTGATAAAGTGAATATATGGTTAGATTGTGACGTAGGAAATGATGATGCAATGGCCATTATTTTGGGTTTGTTTGATCCAAAGTCTAATTTGTTAGGAATCTCAAGTTGTTTTGGAAATACAAGGTATTTGAAGTACATAACGATGTAGTCTCGAAAATTGTACAAACAATACACTAAGAATTCTAAGTTCTGTAGGTAGATCTGATATACCAGTATTCAAGGGAGCTGAATCTTCATTAAAATCTGTTCGAGTGACTACAACGGCACATGGGAAATAAGGTATTGATTTAATTAAAATAATAGGTTTATTTGAAGCCGATAGATTGATCAAAACTTTCGAACCTGTACAAAATATCTCTTTATATGATTTAATGAAAAAGACTGCGGGAGATAGAAAGGTATTAAAATGAATAAAATTTAAGTTCGTAATTGTAATAACTGGTCCTCAAACAAATATAGCAATATTGTTGAGAGATCATCCAGACATAATTCCTTAAATTTAAGAGATTATTTTTATGGGTGGAACATCAGGATTTGGTAATGCTACACCAAATGCAGAATATAATATATATTCAGATCCAGAAGCAGCATAATATGTAATTGACACTTGTAAAAAGCATAAACTAAAGCTAGTGATGATAGCGTTAGATTTAACTTATGTACTATCATAAAATAATTATTATATAGACTTGTTTAGTAGTAGAAGAATAATAAAAACGAATAAAGGAGATCAATACAAAATTTACCGATTGGTGTTTAGAAATGTTAAAAGAATTCTAGGAAGCCTATAAAGCTGAAGAATTTGATTATCCTCCACTTCATGATCGTATTTATTCAAATAATTTATGTAGCTGTTGCTTTATTTTATGCACTTCATCCTGAACTTTATGTTACAAAATCTATATTTGTTACTGTAGAATGTGAATCTAAACTATGTTATGGTAGAACTGTTGTTGACAAACATGGAATTCTTGAATTAGAACCTACTTTAGAATTCTGTAGAAGTGTAAATGTTGAAGAATTTTGGAATCATATGATCGAGGCAGTAAAATAAGCAGCAAAAAACTCAAAGATTGAGTGATTTGTTATTATTTTATGCAATATATATAAGATATTTAATCAATTTACATGGCACAAGAATTGGACAGCATAAAATAAATAATTTAAAGCTATATCTAGTAAACTTATATCTGGGATCTATTCGATTTTGAATAGGAACGAGTATCCAATTTTATACATTCTTATGACTAATACGTTGATGTATGACTTAGATAATGAACAAATTTTGATTTACTAAATTCTAATAACATAAAAATTAAAGACCTCTATTCTATTAGAAAGGAAAAGAATTTATGCTGTCTTAATTAAATTAGAATAAGGAGATTCAAGAAGACAATTATTTAATATCAAACCTTTGCTAAGCTAAAAAACAAAAGTTAAATTTCAATATCGAATTTTTAAGCGAATTCTTTATTAATATCAAATATTTAATCATTGAATAATATTTCGTTTTCTTCAATGTTTTTATAAATTGATATTTAATAAAAATATATCGACTTTCATCAGAATGCTTTTTTAATTTATCCAACTACTCAGTTTCCATTTCCAAACTTAAAAATGAAAACCAAACGACGGACTTTATATCTTAGTTATTTTTCATTTGAATTTCTTTACTCTAACAAAATTTTCTTTTATTTAACACAATTAGTTTATTAATAATTAATTCTTTGTCAATTTTTTTTTTTAATTTTACTGATAATTTAGAATTTATTGTATATTAACTTAATTTAATAGATTTTAAATCATTTCAGAGTGATATTATTTTATCATTTAATATAAATTTATATAATAAGAAAAGTCCTAACTTTATTCAAATTGAATGATTAATAGTATTTATAAAGATTCTTAAAATATTCATCAATAAATTGTGTAATAAAAAAAGCAAAAAAGAAATTGTATAATTATAGTTAAAATATTATCATTACCAAGAAACACTCTCTCTACTTTTCCCCACTTTATATTATATTTACCAAATAGTAAACACATATCTTTTAGTTGGGTCAATTGATTCTCTATGAAATTAATATAAATAATAACATACTACAAACTACTAATAATTTAAGTAAAATACTTTGTATAGGAATTACATATAAGTAAAGATTAAAACAAATCTTAATAAATTAACAGAATTCAATCCCCATTCTGGATTGTTTTGATCATCACTATACCACCATAACTAACTTATTAGATATTAATACATGATATTGTTTCATCCATAAAATATCATATAAAATTGAAGCAAGAAGTCCTATTCCTACAACCTTTATATGAAATGGCTCAAATCTATCCATTAATATAGTAAACATCAATCCGTGACAGACTAATACCTTAAAACAGTAGATTTTAGTCATACATCTAAAAATGAAGGTTTTGCAGAACACACAAATAAAGTAATCAACCCATATATTGTGAATATTATCACGCCATGTTAAAGAATTTCAGGTGCTTCTGGAGTTTGATCTTAAATTTCCAATTATTTTTCAGATTATAATAATGATAATATTTATTCTTTTTATTCGTAGGGTGTATTTAATTAATTTTATTATTATTAATCTAATTCATATATATTTTGATCTTATTAATTTTAAGATGTATGTAATTATTGATTAAAAATATTTGATGACAAGTATTTATTATTTAATTCCTTTTATTGTTACTTAGCTTTAAAAGGTCTTTCAATTATTTCTAAATTATGTTTATGTTCTATTAAATCATTATCTAAAGTAAACATTTTTTATTCAAATTTTTATAATTATGTCTCTAAATATTGATGCTGTTTTCTAATAGCATATTTCAATATTACCTTATTTAAAACAATTTGTGCTTCCATTTAAACAATCGACTCAAGTTCTCTACCAACAGGATCTAATAATTTGAGCATAACTTATTTAACCACTTAATCATCCAATTATTAAATCTTTAATTAAGCTTAGCCCCATAAAGTTGGTAAAGTATTTTCAGTTCTTATATAAAACTAAATAGAAAGAGAAGAAATTAGAGGTGGAATAGAACTAATATTAGCTTTGAATAATATTATAATTACAATTCGAAATCTTAATTGAAATCTGGATTGAATTTATCATATTATTGTTCTGGTTTAGCAATTTAATTTATTACCCCTAAAGTTAACTATACATGACAATTTGAATATTTTAACTTTTAAGGAATATTTTTTACACATGTTAATGTCAGAAATAAGTATCTAGTATCAGAATAAACAGCTATTTATAGATTTATAACAAACATGTTTCTGCTAATTGACTTTCGCAAATTGCTTTATTTTATTAAATTTATTTTAATTATAATTCTGCATTCTTTATTTTTTCTCCTAAAAGCTATGTTGCATCTACAATTGTTTAACCTATATCTACGAGTTTATAACATAATTTCAAATTTTATTAAGTTGGTTTGCATTGTTAAAATAATTATTCGGCAATATCTCTATCAAATTCCTTCTTTCCCATTATATCTAGTTTCCCCAAAATCTCATCTATCTTATAAAGACTTTCCTATTTTAATCCATTCTCTTCAAATCCTCTTAATATGGTTTATAAATTTAACATATTAAAATTTATTTATAATATATATTAGTCTTTTCATAAAAACAATTATTTACTAATGAAAAATTAAATTCGTATGCTTATTCATTTATTACATAGATTGATACTAAAAGTTATGAAGAATCAGTTTTTTATTCATTTTTTACATTAAGTTTATATATAGAAATATCTCGAAATTAAATTAACAAAATGAATAGTAATACTAAAATAACATTGACTATTGAATAATTAACAGAGCTACTGATGAATCCTTAATTACCGAATATATAAAGTAGTCTACAGTCATTATCTGAATTTGAAATAAGAAATAACAATGTAGATTTAATGAAAATAGTATCATTTGTTGATTAGGATGAGTTCCAAGCTGTTAGTACATCTAGTTCGAGTAAAAATAGTCATACATAATAAATGATTGATAAAATAAATGAATTAGAATTAGAAAATACACATCTTAAAAATTAATTAGAGTAGCAAATTGAGAAAGAAAACAATTTAAGATTATAAATGAACCAATGTTTATAAGAACTAACAAAATAAAAAACAGAAAATGAACATTTAAATAAACAGATGAATGAACTAGAAACATATATAAATTAGAATAAAGTCATATCAAATAGATTAGATCCTATCTCTAAATCTGTTCATTTGGATATAAAAAAAGCAATAATAGTAAAACCATTAACAATAACTCAACCTCTACGTAAATTTTCAGGGGTTAGTGGGATTGTGGCATAGAATCCTTTAAAAAATTCAAAAGACTTAATTAGAATAAAAACTGAAAGAAGTAATTGATGAGACAGCAAATTTTTTGATTTTTTTTCTACGTTAAATTACAAACATTTGTATTAAATTAAAGGATGCCTATACATCATATTTTTACTGGCATCAGAAATCTAATAAGGTGAAAAATGAGGATTTAAGATATTGAACTTTAATCTTAATTGATTAAAATTACTTCAATAAAAGAATAGCTTGATAAATATTTATTATTTATATTCATAAATATGTTATCAAAATTAATTTTGTCTATATTATTGGGAATAACTTTTTGTGGTTGGACAAGAACCCCTTAAATAAAAATAGACAAGTTTAATAAAACTGAATAGGCTATCTCAATTTCTACAGAGGATTTCAAACATTTAAAATATCCAAATGCTTTTGATTTAGAATTGTATTATCAAGAAGGACTAACCAATGAAAAAGATATTTAAAAATACTAAAAAATAAATGATATATAATTATATTAACAAGGATGCTCTTTTTTTGAAAGAAAAATAAAAGTAGAAGATTAAGTATAAATTCAATTACCTGATGAAGGTAAGTATACTTTTACTGATTTGATTGTTGTTGAAAGGTAGGCATTTGTGATTAGAAATGACAATAAAATATTTAGAGTTTAATTAGACTTTAATGGTAATGAATTAAAGGTAAATATATATGATTATTAAATTTAAGAAAATGAGTGTGTCATCTTAACATTTAGATTTCTCAAATAAAATTGTTATTAATCTCAAAAAGAAACCATAATTTTTGGTTTCAGATGATTAAATTTTTATTGTGACTGAAAAAGGAACAATTAGTTTTAATTATAAGGAATGGTAAAATGGGACATTACCTCAAGTGAATTTTCATAATTTAGAAGATGTGAACAATATTTATTATGTTCATTATGATGAATAATACAAAAGAGTGTTTATAGTTGCAGGTATATAAGGAGTTTTAGTGTATGAAATAAAAGATAAAGTGTTAAATCATATTTACACTATAAAATTAAATTTAAATATTATCAAAGTTTAAACTAAAGAAGATTAATTATTTATATTAGACGATAAAAAAGGTATCCATTTTTACACCTTAAGTGAAAATGAATATAAAGATAGTGGTATGTACAAAATATAATTTAGAATTCATGATTCCTTTAGAAAATCCAATATCATTTGTGTATAACAAAAATTCCTTTTTGGTCGTAGCTTAAACTGCTTAAGCATCAGATAAGATAATTTTTGGAATAGAAATCTTATTTCATTTCAAAAATTAAGAATTTTATTACAATAAATTTTATTTAGAAGATATGCAATTAAAAGATGTATAAAGTTGTGGTGAATTTCAATTTTTAATTGGTTATGATGTACACAAAATCATTCAAACTAATGTCTATAGAGGATTTGTTGATGAGGATTTCGATTATGATACTGATTTCATGATACCTTTGTTATTGAAAATTGAGGAAATAGAAGGAACAGATTATGAAAAAGCAAATTATCAATATCATTATTCCTTAGCTTTGACACCTCGCCATTTATATGGACTTATTATTAAGGACAGAAATCCTGAAATAGTTTGCTCTTCTTAAAAATAAATTGAACAATCCTATGCTGTATTAATAAATTCAACTTAATGTGAAAAAGCTGAAACAGATCCTTTTATAGTGTGCCATGAAGAACATTTTATTAATTTAGTTGTGAATGAAGTATTGTTAGATTCTTAATCGTAATGGTATGCTGAAATATTCCTTATTGTTGTTTTTGTTATATTTATTTTGTTATTGATTTGTGGATACAGAATGTGCACTAAATGGAAAACTATTATGTAAAAAGTGGAAGAATAATTGAAAAAGGAAGAAAATAAAAGAAAAAGATATGACAAATTAAATATCAATTGTTGAATTATAATATTATTTGAAGTATACAAATATTATCTCGAAATATTAAATTTTTTTTAATCTAAGGAATAATTATTATTCTTAAAAATAATTCACATTTCTTAAAATTATATATATTAAATTATAATAATACGTACCGTCATACAATCACTTTTTGATAAAATAAAGAAAATTTATATCAATAAAATTTGTTTAAATGTAATTATATCGTTTTTTAAACATAAAAAGTTAAGGGGTGATTTCATTTAATTCAGAAAATCTAATTTAATTTAAATCTTTTTATTTGTTTTTAACTAGTTTTTATCCAATAGAAATATTTATCTCTTTATATTACAATCACATTTATATCTTATGAAAACTATAATGAATCAATTCTAAAAATTCAATGAAACTTTTAAAGAATTTAACACTAGTTATGAATAATTAAATAATATGATTTTTTATTAATGTAAAAGAGGAATTCAGTTTTCATTTGCTCTTAAACTTCTCATTACTGCAAGTTTCTCTAATGACATTTATTTGATAATCATATCCTCGGTGAATATATTTACAATATTAATGATAATGATAAAGAAATTTACACCTTTTTGGAAATATTTACGAATAATTTTACTATTAGAATTATGCTTTAATGATTAACCTTTTGGACCTGTGATTATTGCATCAATTAATTACAATATTAAATATAAGATCGTAATCTTGTCTTATTACATATTAAGAGTAAGTTTAATATTTTTTAATACATTCAAGATTATTGATTGGGTTTACATAGGAATTCTTTTTATTGGATTCAATGCATACTTTTACTTTCATGTAATAATTCTTTTATTTTTAGAATAGAAAATAATCAGACAGTAAAATAAATTCTCAATCTTAAAGGAAATTAACATAATTTGACATACCATCTCAAAATGATTCCAATGATATGATTGATTTCTTTAATTATATCCCTTTAGGAATATGTTTATTAGATAACAATTATCATATAATTAATTCTAATCATAAAACAAAAAAATATTGTTAAAATATCAAAGAAGATAGCTTATAATAACAATTGTTTTTGATGATATAAAGGTAAAGTAATTTATAATATTCATATTTAGAGCATGGATTCAACAGTAATAAATTCCTAGTGCTTTACTATTCGAAAGGAAATCTATTTTCAATTCATCTGAGGATTATGGATCAGAATTTTAATTAAGAAGAATGTAGTCTTTCAGTTAAACGAGAAAAAAAGCAATTTCATTTACTTCATGCAAATAATATAATAATATTATTGATATTGATTAAATTATCAATAAATTCAAATCCAAAGGCATAACAGGAATTATCAATCTTAACTCTCTTAAGTACAAAGACTAAACCAGTTTTAAAACTTACGAGATCAAGATTATTGAAATTTCAAAAGGGTATTTAATCATGATTAAAAATATAACAAAAAAGGAAAAATAAATTGATATGAAAGATAGATATCATTTTCAATAAATGCTTATTAATTCATTTTCACATGAATTGCGTACCCCTTTAAATTGTTCTCTATCTCTCTTACAAACATTAGAATAATAAGTGAAATCAGATATTAATGATACATATTTAAAGCCTGCTATAATTTCAAATAAAAAATTGTTACATCAAATAAATGATATTTTGGATTTTGCAAACTTTGAAGTAAAAACTTTCAAATTAAGGCCTACAGTTTTTAAATTGTCTAATTTAATAAATACAATCGAAGATTATTTTAAGGCAGAATGTTAATAAAAGGAAATTAAATTTATTATATAAGCTTGTGATGATGCATAAATTAGAAGTGATTTAGATAGAATATTATAGATTTTAGTTAATTTATTAAACAATTCCGTAAAATTTACAAAGCATAAAGGTGTGATTTAATTGAATATTTAAAGAGTAGGATCATTGTATCAATTCGAAGTATATGATACAGGATGTGGTATTTCCCCTGAGAAACTATTTTTAATAAATAAAATACTCTAGAATTCAGAAGTGGATATTGCAAGAAGAGGAGAAGAAGATTATATTTAATATGTAGGTTTAGGATTGAAAGTTTCTAGTTAAATAGCGAGATAATTATGTGATAGAGGCGAATTGAGTATAACAAGTTAATTAAATTAATTTACAGTAAATAGATTTATTGTAAAGGATTTATAATCTTACGATTAAGTATTAACAATTCCAACAGATGAATGCATTTAAGAACCATATAAAAGCAAGATTAAAAATAAATGTAATTGCTTAAATGTATTAATTGTTGATGATATTCCTTTTAATCATTTAGCTTTTATCACTGTTTTAAAATACTTTAATGTTAGAAGTGACAGCGCATATGATGGATCAATGGCTATTGAAATGGTTAAAAGTCGATATAAAAATTGTTCATGTACATATAAAATAATTTTTATGGATATTGATATGCCTGGTATTGATGGCTATTAGACAACAAAAGAAATATAACAATTTTTATCATAGAATGATTTAAGTTCAACTATTATAATGTGCAGTGCATTTGATAGCAAAGAGAATATTGATTTCGCCTTTAAAAGTGGTATGAAAGATATCCTTCCAAAACCAATAGAAACTTGTCGTCTAAAAAAAATACTATAAAAATACTATTTCTGATTATAAATCTTATATTATAAATTGTATTATGATTATTTTCTTAAAAAGATAATTTATGATTAAAAGTTATCTGAGGAAAAAAACTTAAAATTTCAATATAATTATAATACAAATAAAAATGTCAATAATAATTGTGACATTGATTATTTAATCTACCATTTTGTCCATATATAATGGTGTTACATGTACTTAGCAAAATTACTTTTTACTATTTGATATCTTCTTACTTTTAGGACAATTTGGATAAAACTTTTCATTAATATTATTAATTGGCAGTATTTGTTTGTCAAACGAGTTACTAATTGCTGAAGAGAATGTAAATTTGATATTAATGTAGATCAAATGTTATTATTTGAGTATGCGTTTTATTCTTAGTGCACATGTGCTTATGTAAAAACAGAAATCTATCTACTTTTTATTTTGCTTATTTTATTTACTTTTCAGATCTAATTTATACTTATAACCATTATCCTATTTGTCTATCTTTGGCTATTTAATGATTTTGATATAATGTAATGTTTAAAATAAACTCAAAAGGTCAATGTCATAAACTATCGAATGGAAATTCTAAGAATTCTTAAACACAACAACTTTTCGATTTTTTTAGAGCTAGCTTACCTATTCCACTCTGTATAATTTAAAAGAATGGTATTTCATTTTGGTTATTTCTTAGAATTTTTGTTTAGAACTGATTAATTTATAACTGAATATGTAGAAATCACTCCTTATCTTATAAGTTAGATTTCTTCAGAAAAGAATAAAGAAAGCATTAATACTTATTTATCAGATAAAGGTTTAAATAATAAAAATAAATCATATATTTACGAAGGAAGTAAGATATTAGAAAATTGCAATGTTTTATAAAATAATAGTCAACTAGAATTCTATTTTAATGTTAGAAATTATTTTCCAGTTGATATTGAGGTTGCAGAAGTTATTTGGGAATAATAACCAGCTACAATGCTAATTTTTTAAACTTAATAATAGAGAAATGAAAAGAATTAGATTAAGGAATTATAATAGAGAGATTAATATAAAGATGAAATGTTGGCAAGTGTTTCACATGATTTCAAAACTCCAATTAATGGAATAGTGGCTATAGTGTAATTTTTAGAATCGTAAGAATTTTTCATTTAATTTAAGGATTGTTATTAACTAAATTGAACTTAATTATTTAATTATATTGAAGAAGTGGGCTTAATTATTGTTATATATGATTAGTGACATTTTAGACTTTTCGAGAATTTAAAATAATACTTTAAGGTTGACAAGTACTCCTTTTCTTATAAATGTAATTGTTTAAGAGATTATTGATTTGATATCTTTGTAAGCTAATTAGAAAGGAATAGTGGTTGAAAAATAAATAACTTTAGAAGAAGATATAAGTATGAATTCAGATCCAAATAGACTGAAATAGATTTTATTAAATTTATTAAGCAATTCCTTAAAATTTACTGAGAAAGGAAAAATAAAGATATAAGTTGATTATAAAAATGATGAATTAGATAATTAATTTAAAATTATCACAATAAGTGTTTAAGATACAGGAGTAGGTATTCCAGATGATATTAAACCAAAATTATTTTAAATGTATGGTACTTTTGATTTTACCAGTAATGGGTCAAATAAAAATGGTATAGGATTAGGATTATTTATATGTAAGAAATTGGTTGGATTACTTGGACCTTCTGATAAAATAAATTTAAAAAGTTAAGTTGGAATTGGATCAACATTTAGTTTTGATATTTATACTAATATTGATGAAAGAAATATAATATTTAAAGAATATCAAAAGGAGATGACCAATATTTATAAGTAAGATACTAAATAAAGTTTATGTGCTCATCATCATACTAATTTCATAACTTCTTAGTATACTATTTTCAATTAAACCAGTAATTTAACAACTATTCATTATAATTAAAAAGGACAAACAAAAAAGTTGAATAATAAAACAATATCAACTTAATAAGAAATTTATCATAGTAAATAATCTCATAAAACACAATAATTCAGAACTTTAAATCCTCAAAAATCATCAAACAAAAGAATGAATACTGATAATAATATATCTTTCAATTTAGAAGACTCTGATAATTCTAAAACAAGAAATATTGAATAATATTTAGAATATCATAATGATATTACTTAAGCTCCATATATTAATAAAAACTAAAGAAATGTTGAAATAAATAATAATAATCCTATGAATTCACTATTTTACTAAATTGAAAGTTCAGAATCTCCAGCTATGCATAATATGTAACGTAAACCATTATAATTTACTGAATCAATTGAGGATATGATGAGAATCTTATTTCCAGAACCAACCATAATTTTAGTTGTAGATGATTCACCAGTTAATGTCTTTGCATTTAGATTGATCATGCAAAAATATGCTTTTATCACTATAGAAGAAGCTTATAATGGAGAATAAGCATTATAAAAAATAAGAATGAGTAGAGAAAAAGATATAAAGTATCAATATATTTTCATGGACTTAACTATGCCAATTTTAAATGGATATGAAGCTACTGAATAAATTAGAATTATGGTATCATATTTATATTATTTTTTATTTGATTTTAGGAGAAGGACAACTTTATTGAAAAGAGTTTTATTATTGCTTTAACTGGATATGATGATCTTAAGGAGAAAGAGAAATGCCAACAAAAAGGATTTGATGCATTTCTTTCTAAGCCTATAAAAATTATTGACATTATCTCGGTAGTTAATGAAGTAAAAAGTATGAAAGATCCATTAATTTGATTTTATTATTTAACTTATTATATATATAATTTCATTTCATTACTTTAAGACAACAATTATTAATCTCATTCTTTAATCTATAAAATTTAAAAAAAAATAAGTTTTATTTATATTAAAATTAGTCAGTTCTAAAATTATTGAATTAAATCACATTATTATTTTTTTTTTATTAATAAATTTATTGAGCAGTTAATGTCCTTTACACCTCGCCAAATCAAATCATAAAACAAAGAATTATATCTAACTAGCATACCTTATAACAGTAAATTTTAGAGAACTTTTACAAATGAGGAAATGTCAAGTGTGTCTAAAAAATTAGATTTTGATTAATTTGATAATCAAGTGTTAAAACCTAACACTATTATGAAAATGAATTCTGTTCCAATTAAAGGAATCAGTCAAATAAGATGATCTAATTACTAAATACTGATTGTTAATTGTATATAGTTTACTCATACTTTATAAATATTTCACTTTTGAATTGTACCTTCTATTAAACTCAAATTAAATAGAGATTTTATTTTCATTATAATAAAACTCTCTTTATTTAAAATTGTCGGGTATCCATTTTGCTCACTTTCTATTATAAGAATTTATTTTATTGAATTTTATAAATATAATAATTAACAAATTATGGATCAAAAATCATTAAAGCAAATATTAAGTTCAAGTGATACTTATGGTGGCACCAAAATTTATATTTAAGCTGTGTAATAATAATAACCGTACACTATATGATTTATAATCAGGGATATTATAAAAATATGTTCAGAAGTAGTAATCAGCATATTATAAGATTAATAAGGACCTCATCTACCTAAATTTTATAGCTTAAAAGTATAGTATGACATTAATTAAGTTTATTAATGAACTATTAGAGTTATAAGAATATGATTGGATTGATTTAACTTAGAAAAAAATATTACCAATTTTAGAAGAGTTTGCAGTATTTAAAAAAGAAAGTCAAGATGATGAAAGAGGAAAACATCTATTTTTTCAAAATATATCATAAAAAAAGAAATATGAATAATTTAAAGAATTGGAATACACTGGAAGTATATTTTTTAGATACACACTTGAAAGTATATGGGTTTGGAGTAAATGGTTTCCTATTGATACTGCAGTAGGTAAGTTAAGTTTATTTAAAATTGCTTAAGAGAGACTTTCTATTTTAAAAGTTAAATTTCCTCTCATTTCTTATTTTAATAAAAATTAAGTTATAAATCATATACAAATCTAAAGGGTAAATTATCTATTAAATGTTAGCCTCCAAAAGAAATGTTAGAAGAATGCAGAGTTGTCATAAAAGAACATTTAGAAGATGATACAAATACTGATCTTAAAAATTTCTAGAATATATTAAATAAAGTTTATTTTACAGAGAAAAATCATTCATTACATAGCACTTAGACTTATCCATAAATATGGAAACAATCAGTTGAAATGATGAAATAAGGTAAAATGGGAGAAGATGTACAAATTAAATTAAGAACTGCTCAAATATCAATTATGTAAAAAAAATTCTTCTAGGCAACTTAGAATTTGAAAAAAAGCAAAGTTGCTTTATAATAATAAGTTATTAATTTTTCTACTGTTTTAAGTGAAAAAGAAAAATTATTGACAGAAATAAATAGTCATATTATGGAAAAGGATGCATTATAAAATTAAATATTTTAATTACAAAAAAAACAATAAGAATATTAGAAAGAAAATGAAGATTTAAGAATTTAAATTAATTAATTAAAACTTTAATCAGATACAACAGAAATTAAATAGATATCTCCAATAACTTCTAATAATTTTAATGAATAATTTTATAGATCTAAAGATATAGAACGACAATTATAAAAAAAAGATGTTGAGATTAAGAGATTATCTGAATAAGTCTAACATTATAAAGATTTTATTAATTAAATGAATGGAAATTTTGATCATTTATAAAAATAATAAGAAGAAACAGAAATGGAAAGATTTAAACTACATTAAGAAAACATTTAATCTCAATTGAAATAAGAAGAACTTCAAAATCAAATTGGATTATTAAAATAATCAAATGCCAGACTCAATGAAATAATTAAATAATTATAATCTTAAAATAATCAATAATACGAAGAACATTTACAAAGTTTAGAAAAGAATTCCATATATATTCAACAATTAATCTAAGAATAAACTGAAAGTGGAAATTAAACAAAAAATGTTTAATTTTAAGAAATGTAAGAAAAAATTTAAAGTTAAAATATAGAAATTGAAAATTTAAAGAAATTATTAGAAGAAAATTTCAAAATATAAGCAAATACTTCTACTAAATAATGTAAAAATATCAATAAAATTAGAATTTTATGGTAAAAAACTGGAGAAAGGATTTTATAATGATAGTATAAAGAATTCAACTTTGTAAAAGTCAGATTAAAATTAAGTAGAAGATTATGGATGGGGATACAATAAAAATTAATTAGGGCCATTATATAATTCATAACAACATTAAGAAAATAAAAAAATAATGGAAAATTTTTAATAAAAAAAAAATTGACAACAGATTAATTTTTGTTTACAAATATTTTTATATAAGAAATATATTGGACACTAATTTTATTTTTTATTATCATTGGTGCATCATTACTTACCATCACCTCCTTTCCCTTGATTCTCCTCATCTAAATGTTGTTTATCTTCTTTGATGTTGTTACTTTCTTACTTATCTCCTTCAACGCTAAACAGAATTCAACTTTAAAAGTACGAGCCGGAAGACTCTGAATTGTGTGAGTCTTATGAAGAGCCTCTTGATGAGGACTATGATTTCCTTTTTGAACTCTTTCGCTTCTTATTCAATTTCTTTTTCTTATCTCTAGAAGAACTACTTGATGAGGAATCTGAACTGGATGAACTCTTCTTTTTTTTATGTTTCTTTTTGTGTTTTTTTCTAGACTCACTAATATTTATTATTATCTATTCTTTACCTACTAGAGCTAGATGAACTAGAAGACGAAGATCTATGTCTACAATTCTTAGCACTAATAAATAGGTAAATGAATAGATATAAAATATATCGTATTCTATAATAAATAGTAAAGACTATATAAAATCTTACAAATGTCCAGAATGACCGCAAGAATAGCATAACCCATTATTTTTACTTGGCTTATTTCCACGAGCCATCTCAACCTATAAAACAGATCCTTTCACTTCTTCCTTATTCATTTTTTTTACAGCTTTCTCTGCATCTTCAGGATCTTTAAATTCCTATAATTAATTCATTATATCTACTATAAAACAATATTTTCCCTTCCAAGCAAACTCTTCAATTTTTCCAAATTTTTTGAATAACTTTTTTATATCATGTTGATCCTCTTTAAGAGAATAACCTGTCACGTATACTCTTTTCTTATTCTTTCTAGGTGACCGAGACCTTGATGAACTAGAAGAAGACATATAATTTTAATTAAGGATACTTTTTTTAATATAATTTTTATACTCATATTTTTTCTATCTCTTTCTATTCTCTTCTATTTTAATTACAAAATCAAACAATAAGGCACAATCTCCTCAAAAATTTTACATATCAAACATGAAAAAAAATAAACTTATTACCTAAATTTTTTAATAATGCTATTTATTATATTTTTTTTCACAACTAAATATTTAATTATATTGATAACTTTATTCATTAGATAAAATAAAGCTTCTATCTACTTAATAATATATAAGAATATTTTTATTATTATAAATTTGTATTAAATCACTAATTATATGATATCCTTATTTTTTTTTTAATTATAAATTTCTTAGAAATTGTTTTATCTTAAAATTATCAACTTCTACAGATAGATTAATTCATCCTATATTTTTTATTGGAACCCTCATTTCAATAAAATTAATGAATTTAATCAATTTGACATATTTATAACGAATAGTAAAATTCATTATGAAAAAATAACTAAAAGAAAAACTAAAACTATAAATACTTTTTTTTTAATTTGTATTTATTCTAATATTTAAAATAAGAAAAAAAATTGTGAATAAAATTTAAGTTATATATAAAATTTATATTATAAATATTCATTTATGTCAACTAAAAACATTAATAAGTTGAAACTAAATGCTCTTACATCACCTGCTTCTTCAAATATAAGAATCTCGAAAAATACTACTTTATAAATGTCATGTAATGGATTAAGTCCAAAAATATTATCTAAAAGCCCTAATTATTCTTAATACATACCACATTAATTATCTTAAATTTATTCTCCTCCTAAAGAAAAGCTATCATCTTTAATTAATATCTCATAATCAGAGAGATATGTTTATTCATTTAGAATTCCGACTTTAAGAATAAAAGAGAAATGCTTTTTTAAAAAGTAATAACAATAAAAATTGGGATAAAGTTCATTAGAAATTAATCTCAATACTAATACATCTTCTATTTTTATATTCAGAGGGTCAATTTAAGAAATTAGTTAATTAAAAGTAATCTAAATGACAAGAGCAGAACTACAAGCAAAATCTACTTCTATATATTAGGCTAGATAAAACTTACTGTAAAAGATACAAAAGAACCTAAATGTTCCGAAAAGTTATACTTTATTATCATTAGGAAATTATGAAGCAATCCAATTTATGGAAGAAATTCCAATAAATTGTAATATTTTATTTTTAAGTAAAACTGTAAATTAAGATTTTTGGAGTATAATCTTAAATTATCATAATTTTTAATTTACAACCTAAAAATTTATAAGAATCTTAACAATCATAAGTAAAATAAATGATTTAAATGATCTAATAAAATTTATTTATGACAAAGACGTTTTTTATACTTATATGGAGGTAAAAGAGATGGTCTTGAATGAAGATTTATTATTAATGAAAAGAAATTCAATAATTATGAAAGATTTCTATAAAAGTATAAATGTTTATGATCAAGAAAAATAATAATTAATAGATGAGCCAGTATCTTAAAATTATATAGAAAAAAAGGATTCTTAAAAAGATGAATAAGATAAAGAAATGAAAAAAGACTTTACTCTTTTAAATCTTAATCCTAACCCTAATGATTTTTAGCACATTTTAGAAAAAGAAGGATTATTAAATTCATCCATTAAAAGAGCTAAAAGTAGATGTAATCTTATTTATTATTGCTTAGATTTAAAGTTGCCTAATTTTAGGACTTAATATGGTGAAATCTTAAAATAATAGACAATCAAATAAAAACATCAGTATAATTATTTATTGATAAGAGAAATAAGTATACAAACATTCCAGACCATATAGCAAGAAATATATTACATATGACACATTATAATTTACCATAATTAATGAAAGAAACAGGTTTTGATAGATAAGAAATTTATGAAATATTTAGTAGATATAAAGCTTTACTTAGTTATGAATGCTCCTAAATTCCTGGATTAACAAAAGAGAGTAAAATATTTTAATTATTTATAGTGATACCAAGTGGTATCTCTAGAGAAGCTTTTAATGCTGGATTAGAAGAATTATCTATGGCTCCCCCAGGAGTTGTAGATTAAATTTTTAAATTTTTTGCAAAATAGAATTCTTTAGGTTTTGAAGGATTTTTAAAAGCTATAAATTTAATTAGAGCCAAAGGAAATGAAAATAAGATAGAACTTATTTTAAAAGTAAATTATATATTATATCAAAAGTTAATTGATGAAAATGAGAATGGTTTATTATCTTATGAAGAAATCAAAAATAGATGTAGTTTTATGATGGAAGAAATGCTTAAAGACTCAAAAGGAGAATTAAGTGTCAATAATATGATTGAATATGTAACTAGATCAATTTTTGATGTCTTTTATTTAATTTTAATTTAAAGGCAGTAAAGATGAATTACGACGAAGAAATTCCGATTGATAAGATTAGAAAACTGATAGAAAGTAAAACTCATGAAGCTCAAGTATTAATAATGATGTGTTGTGGAGATGTTGATTATCTAAAATGATTTATATTAATATAGCATATCTTATGAGATTTTAGAATTTTTATTTCCATTTATTCTATTTTAATATTAATCATCTAATTTTATATGATTAATTGTCTTTACTTATTAAATAAAAATTATTATATATTCTTTGAATTATTAAAAATTATAATTATATGCTAGTTAAAGATTTAGTTTTAAATATAACTTTAAATTAAATAATATATAAATATATCATTATAATTCAGATAAACAAACACAATAATGCAAAACAAAAAATTATTATTAACAGAATCAAGTAGATGATCCTTTTATTTTTTAAGAGTAATTTTTATAAGTTACTCGTTTTTATTTACTCAGGTGATTTAGATCTTTTTTATAGCTTGAATTTAATTTTCTATTATTGAATTTATAAGTATTACTCCTCATAATTATTCACTATGATATAAATATAAAGTACAATATTATTTTATCGATCTTGAAATTTTTCCACTTGATTTTATTTCAACTTTTCGTTAGTGAATTTAATTTTGTAAATTTTCTTATAATTCTAATTTTTAGTTTTCAATTTATGGTAATGATTCAATCACTTGAGATTATTATAAAGTTACAACTTAAGATACTTATTAACTGGCTGATAATTTTTATAAGCTAATACTACTTCTTAATGGTAAATCAGATAATTAATAGGAGTATTGAATCTTTCTAAGTTAATCAAAAGGTTATCTATAACAGTATCTTATAAAAAATTTATAAAGTTTAACTAATTTTAAAGATTCATCTTAAAGTTTAAAATGAACTTCTACTTTGTTCTTTTTTATTTTTTATTTTGTATTAGATGTAATTTGAATTGATAGAACTTTAAGAGAATAAAAGAAATAAAATTCATTGCTTAAAATCATTTTTTTAATTTTCAAATTAATTAATAGTAAGCCTGTTTCAAATTTTCTTGTTTGAATTGCTTTTAATTTTAAATGATTTAAAGCGTTTCTTAGAGTGAAGGTTTCAATAATAATCTTTATTTTTTCTAAATGTGATGACAATTTAATAGTCCATCTTAATTAATGAAAAGTATCCTTTAAAATTTAGATTTAAAATGAATATACAGCTTTACAAATTTCTTAGCCAGCTATTTATAATTATAGCTCCTAAATAATTTTAATTAATTGTTAATTTTGAATTTTCTTTTCCATTCTTTAATAAAATAAATTATTACCCAATATCTTTTGATACTATTCCAGGTGAATTGCATCTTTGAGGTGATTTAAAGAAACTGCTACAATTACTATAATCTATTGCAGCTAGTCGAAAAATTAATTAAAAAGCTTCTTATTTTTATGATTTTTAATAGTATTCTTACATTTTTTAGAGATGCAAGAATAATTTCTAAGTTGCCATTAATAAATGGATTTATTCAAATCTTAAAGATAATTTAGATTATTGATTATAAATTATATCTTCTTTCATTTCTGAAAATACTTTGAAAGAGGAACGTAAAAATTGATTTAGTAAATTCTAATGTATAAATTAAATTAATACAGGGGATGAGCTTAAGTAGGATTGAATTGAATTTTAGGATCTAACTAACGATATTGATGAATAAGGGGAGGGTTATTTGGATAGGTTATTTTGATTACTATTTTTCATTTTTATTTAATGTTATATTTTGGAATCAGTAATATGAATAGAGAATTTTAAAAAAATTAATAAGATTATAGGAACTGAATTATAGAGTATAATAACTTTAAAAATCTAGAGAGAAAATATAATGATTTGAAGAATTCAAAAGAATAAGTTATTGATTGATAATTAAATATAAATAATAATAATGAGTAGTGAATAATTTGATGAAATAAATTAAAGGAATATAATAATTGATACAAATTGATATGAATGAAAATATCTCAATTTTACTTATTATTATAATTGATATCGATTTTTGATTTTCTAAATTCTCCATTTGCAGCAGCAGATACAAAACTAACAAATAGAGGATTAGGTTTAAAATTTTTAGATGTAAATTCTGGATGATATTATACTCCTACATAAAAAGGATGTAAATTATTTGGTAATTCTAAAATCTTATAATAATAAATAAAAAAATACTTCCATTCGTTACCCAGTTTTTTTATCTTTTCCTGAGAATATTAATCCATTTTCAGTTAGATTTTAAATCTATTACGGATTTACTTCATATCGATGTCTATGTCTTTCCTCTACAACTTCAGAATCATATATTTAATATGCAATACTATCTTTGTTTCTAAAGTAATTTGAATATCTTACTCAATTAAAGTATAATGATTTCCTAATCTCATATTCCCTCCAAATAATTATGGATTGATTTCTGGCATAAATACAACATAATTAGATCCAATTTATTCATCTTTTAATTCTTCTGTTGTAGCATCCTTTACTCCTAAAACATTTCTTGCATATTCTATCACTGCTGCTTGAAAACCATAACAAATTCCTAAAAATGGTTTCTTATTTTCTCTAGCAAATTAACAACACTTTATTTTAAGGTTAAAACCATTATATCCAAATCCCCCAGGAACAAGTATAGCATCAAATTATTAACATTATTTTTCAAGTTCTTCCTCTCCATTTTATTATTTTGAAAATTCAATAAGATCAACATATGTTAATTATAAGTTTACTTTAATAGCATAACTGGCTTCCTTTAATGCTTTTATTAAAGACATATATGCATCCAAATTTTTCATATATTTTCCCATTATACCAATCTTAACTGGCTTTTATTATTCTAGATCACTCAGATATTGTCCAAATTATGTATATTATTGAATTTTTGGAATTTATTAATGTGGCAAATTGAATTTTTATAAAATACGTTCAGCTAGCTTTTATTTTTATAAAACTTCAGGAACATCATATATATGTTAAGAATTAGGAACAGAAAATATAGAATCCTTAGAAATATTTCCAAACATGGCAAGTTTATCTCTTTATGGAATTTATAATTCAGTTTCTGATCTACATATTATGAAATCAGCTATCAATCCTGTGTATCTAAGATCCTTAATACCATTCTAAGCAGGTTTCGTTTTCTATTCATTATTTAATGTTAAAATATATGTAAGCATAATCTACAATATACTTTAATATCATATTACCAAACCAACATTTTCCTTACCTTCTTCATTTATCATTTATCGAACTGCTTCATAATAGCATGTTGATTCCAGATCTCCAACTGTTCCTCCTACTTCTACCAATAAAATTTCTGGTTTCTCATTTGTATTTTGTTTCAATGGTACAGTCGTTAAGTTTCTAATCCAACTCTTTATTTCATCAACCACATGAGGAATTACTTATACTGTTTTACCCAAATAATGTCCTTCTCTTTCCTTTCTATTATTCTTACTTATTTTTATTACTGTAATATTTTTTAATATAATTTCCCAGTTGTTAAACTATGGTAAAAAGATAATTCAATATCCAAAAATCTTTCATAATTTCCAATATCTAAATCAACTTCTCCTCTAATGTTATTCTTAAAAACCTTACCCATCTCCTGTTACAAATACTTCCCCATGCTCATATGGATTCATTGTTCCAGCATCAATATTCTACTTTATTCATTAATCTTACTAAATATGGATCAATTTTCAAAAAGGAAACCTTATAACCATACTCTTTCAATAACATTCCGATACTGCTGTTTATTGTACCTTTTCCTATACCTGATGCTATTGCACCACAAATAAACAAATACTTACACTTTTTAATCATATTAATATTTTATGGATTAAGTTTTTAATCATTTAATAAAAAGGGCAACTCCCTAACCCATTATTAAAGTTGGAACACCTTGGTAATGCATTCCCATTAAAAATGATAAACAAGCAAGAGATACAACAGAAGTTCATATGGCCGATCAAGGATTTAATGAATTGTCACAATTTGATAAATTCATGAATCTTGAAGTGGTTTGGTTAAATGAAAATTAAGTACAAAATAAATGTTATATTATATCTAGTTAACCAGTATCAAAGGCATTGAGCAGAACTTTAGAATCAAACATCTATATTTACAAAAGAATAAAATTAGTACACTTGAAGGACTATAAAATTTGAAACATTTAGAAACATTGAGTTTATTTAACAATGAGCTAAGAGATTTAGAAAAAAATCTTTTGATTTTAAAAGAGTTTCCAGGACTTACTACTTTGGGTTTTAAAAATTGTTTTATATTGTCTTAGATCTTTTTAATAATCCAGTTGCAGAAGAACCTTATTATCGAAATAGAGTAATTTCTGCTCTTCCTTAATTATAATTACTGGATAGATCAATAATTACAGTTTAAGAAAAGATTAAAGTAGAAGCATGGTACAAGGATTTCAAAGCAGAAGTTAAAATAAAGAAAAAAGGATAGAAAAAATAAAAATTACTTCCTTCTTAAATATTTTCAGTAGGAGAAAAATTACTTTATAAGGAAGTTGATGAAATAAAAGCAAAGCGAGAATAAGATAAAGTTGATGAGATACAAAGAGAAAGAACTAGAATAAAATTAAAGGAAAAAACATTTGATCCGAATAAATTTCCAACAAATGAATTAAAAGAACAATTAAGATAGAGACTTCATGATAATCCAATGAGTTTAGTAAATGAATGGGAAAAAGGGAAATTAAAGAAGATATTTAAATAATATGATAAAGGTAATAAATAATAGATTTAAACTAGAAAAGAAAGGATCAATTACATAAGATAAATTATAAGGATTATATGGAGATTTAATGAATGATTTAGCAAATATAGGTAAGGTGCCAGCTGTGCCTTTTGATAAATTTAAAGAAGTTATGTCTGAAGATCCATTGCCTTGGGATTCTTTTTGTTTTTAATTGAATCATGTAGATTTTTAAAGGGCTCCTGAAGAAATTTTACAGAAGAAAATAGATGAGAAATATAAGGAATTTAATAGAAGATTAAATGCAGGAAAGAAGGGTGAAGCTAAAGAATTCATGATAGAAGCAGTTAGACTAGAAGCAGCTCGAGATAAGGATGAACATAAGTAAATAAAACTAATTAATATAAAAGACTACCAGAGATCATACCTGAAGATAATACCAAAATAAGGAGTGATTGTTTTGATTTTTCAAGATATAAATACAAGTAGAATTTCACAGATACTGCTAAATACCTTTTACAGTGAATTTAATATGATGATCAATATAATGATTATAATTACAAATATATTTAGAGTTGGAGTTAGAAAAATTGAAAATCTGAAAATCTTGTAATTCTCTTCTAATTTGATATTAAATTTAATCATAAAATTAATATCGATATATGCTAAGTTTTAAAGTTATTTTACCAGATTAATCGGAAGGTCAATATCAAATTACTAAAACCTCAAGTGTTAAATAATTTGTCTAATTCATAAAAGAATAGAATAATGATAAAGATTGGAATAAATATGAACTAGAGTTATATTTATTTGATCAATGCTTAAATGAAGATGGATAAGTAGATAAAATTATATGTAGTCCAGAAAATGATTACTTAACTTTGAAAGTAAAAAAAGGGGAAAGAATTAAAAGATTGCAAACATTTTTTGTTTCTGCTTTGTAGAAAATTTAGAAAAAAACTGAAGCAGATATGACAGGTCTTAAGAAGGCTTTGAAAAAAAGTTCAACAATATAAGAATTACCAAAATAAACAGAAAAAAAGAATGTAAAAAAGTTATTATCCTTTTTTGTAAATGCTTCTCATAAAATTGCTGAGATGTCTAGATAAAAAACTTTAAATTTTACTGAAAAAGTTTAATAAAATGAAAAAGCTAAACATATGACTTATAGTTAGGATCCTAGTAGAATAAATTAGGAAGAGGATCCATTAAAAAATAACAATGATACTGTATTGGGTTTATTGGATCATTTGGAAAAACCAAACAATTAAAATTTTTATTTAAAAAATAATGATACTTAAATAAAACCTAAATCATTAAGTCCAGAAGCAAGAAAATATTTAGAGAGAAAGAAGAAAGCAATAGAGAATTTGAATGATCCTATTTAATAAGCTAAAGCAAAATAATTAGTTGCTGAATTGAAGAGGTAAAGAAAAGAATTAGAAGAAAGAAAGACTAAATAATAACATAATGAATCTGATTAATTGGAAGAAAGTATTGAAAAATATAAAATGGAAAGAGAATAATATAAGGAACATCTTAATTAAGAAAAGAGAATAAAAATTAAAGAAAGATTGTAAGAAATGTAGAAACATTAAGAAATATAGCTATAAAAAAATTAAGAATAAAAAAATCTTATTTTAGAATTAAAAAATAAAGAAAGAGAAAAAAAGAAATAAATAGAAGAAAGAGAAGAACTATTAAAAAAATAGTATTATGAAGATGCAAAAGTAACTTATTTTTATATTATTCAAGCTAAAATTATAACAAAGAAAAAAATTAGCTATTCCTATTAGATTAGAAGAAATTAATAAACATGAGGAGGATTATTTAAATAAAAAGTAGTTGCTCAAGTTAGAAAAAGATCAAAAAAAAATAGAAAGAGAGATTGTGATTTAATAAGAAACAAAATAGATTTATAAAGCTAAGTAAATTTTATAAAAAGTCATGGATGTTGATTAGAAATTTAAAAACAAAGAAATTGTTGAAAAATAACAAAAAGCAGAAAAAATATTAAGAAAGTAGAAATATGCTGAAATAGTTAAAGAATATCATAAACCAAACATTAAAATTTAAACTGATATTCAATTTAGCAGAGCTGTACATAATAAGTCAGATAATTCACTTTAAGAGGAATACATTGAGTATAAAATTTTAATGATTTAATTAGTTTTTTAAAAGAAGGAGAAGGAAAATCAAGTTAAACAAAAGTAGATTCAATTCGAAATAAATTATATAGATAAGCATAATAAGGATCAGGTATTATTGTTAATGATAATAGAAAAGAATGTTCATAAAATTCAAAATGTTTTAAATCTTCAAAAGGTAAGCAAAACGAAAGTGACAGAATCCTTGTAAAAAGGTTTTGTACCAAGTCCTTCCCTTTATTATTAACCAAAGGGAATGAAAAGTGAAGTTTAAGTGGAAGAATAATAAAAGAAAAAGCCTATAAATTATCTAAAAGAATTAGAAGAGGAAAGAAAGAATTAATAATAAGGAAAAGTAGGATAGTTGAAAAGTCATAGTGTTCCAAGATTATAATAAGATTATAGATCAATTATGGAGAGAGGAAAAAGGTACGAAAAAGAAGCATAAAGAAAAGAACATGAGGCATTCTATTTAAATGATGATAAACTGAAAGAAGAAGCAGAAGATTTATTTTTGAAAAGTGTTTAAGAAAAGATAAGATTCTTAGAGAAGATTTGATAAAATATTTAAATTTAGCTATAAACTTGAAAATAGTTAATTATTTATATATTTACATTTTTGTTATCTCTTAATGATCGTATAATTGAAAACTGTTATTTTAGTTTGTTATTTTTAAATTAATTAAGATGTAATTTAAGAAGTGCATAAAAAATGTTAATGAAATTTTATATTATGATATCTATCGTATGTTATATCTTATCTCATAAAATTATTATTAATAAAATATAATATTAAATTAACTACAACAAATGGACCTTCCTCCTATAACAATTTTGAAAAACTAATAATAATTAGGAGTTGATAATTTAGTATCACAAACACATATATTCAATCCCTAAATACAAAATCCAGAAAGTACTAAACCACCAAAGTATTTTATTTTTGTTATAAAAGGCGAAACTTCAATTTAAAAGTTGGTGACATAATTTATTTAAAGTCTTATCTGACAGATGATTATAAAGGAGTTATTTCTGGAGATGGAATAGCAAGCAATAAATTAGAATGCATCTAAATTTTAGGAAGAAATCAACAATTTGTGGATCAATCTAATAAAAGCTTACAATATAAGGTTGGCAGCTTGACGTTTTAAAAAAGCTTATTTTAAGTTATTACAGGCAAAAAATATCATTATTAAAACTTTTTAGAATAAGAACGCTCTAGATCCATAGATGATATTAGAGAATAGGCAATAAACGAAGCTGTTGATTTAGATTAATGCTAATTTGATTATGAAAGAATTATAAACGAACTTGAAGAAAAGGCTAATGAAGAAATTATTGAAAACAAACGTTTTTATTAACTTGCATATGGATCAAATATAGTTTATGGCTAAGAGATTCAATTTAAACATATCTATTCAAAATGTATTCTTTCTTTTAATAGTAAAACTCTTGCTAAAGAAAATTGTTGCAGAGAGTTATCTTTGGAAGAAATACCCAATTTAAATTCAAATTTTAGAATTTTATCTATGAATCAAGTTAAAAACGCAGGAGAACCTATTTTATACGGTGATTAAATAATTATTCAAAATTCAAGTTAACATAAATGGTTTCTTAATATTTAAAAACCCACTTAGATATATGATAAAAAAGATGGTTTAGAAGTGAATTGTGCTTAAATAGGATTTCCTTTAAAAATTGCTAGTTATATAGATTATAAAACTGAATAAGATTTGAAAGAATAATCTATAAAATAAAAAATTCTTTTAAGTGGGGATGTTCTTACAATCAAAAATAGATATTTGGGTGGTTATCTTTCAATTCGAAGATAACTTAGGGTAACTGAAGGACTTGATAAAAAAGAAGTTTTTATACGAAATTATGAAACTAATATAACGTACATAAAAAATTAATTTTACTTTAATGTAGAGTAAGTGAGAAATGAAAAAATTGATTATATGTATTAATTGTTTGTTGATTCATCAGAAAATGCAGAAGAAAATTTAAATAATTTATGGTAAGTTTAACATGTTGATAGTTTAACCTTTTCAAAACCAAATTATGAAAGTGTTTTCTTAATAAAACATGTATGTACAGGATTATTTTTGGAAATTTCTCATCATGCTGTTGGTTTAACATATGATGGATTAAGATAAGAATGTTAGTTTCATTTGAGAGCTAAAAAGACATTAGAAGATTAAATTTTATTAAGTGAAGCTTATAAATTATAATCAGTTTTGAATATTTAAATGGATGGTTTTGTAACATAAGAAAATTTAATAATTGTTTGTTTAGATGATAGAGTAACAGCATAAAGGAAAAGCTAAAAATAAAATATAGAAAGAACATCATTTTTATTGAAATTAGCCTCACCAGAATCAACTAAAACGGCATTTAGAATTAATTCTTTATAAGAATATTTAATATAATTCTATATTTTTTTATAAGATTGGGGAGTAATTAAGACATCAACTTAAGGTTTAGATGATATCAGAACTTATGATTATTTCGAAGCCTTTAATAATTAGAAAATATTATATGATGAAATTTTATAATTATTTTAAACTTTGGAAAATTTAAAAATGTATTTAACTAACGATGGTTAGGCATAGACAACTGAATAAAAATAATTTAAACAAAAATCTTTAATGGATAATGATATTATTAACTTACTTTTTGCTATTCAACGATTATGCAATTTTATGATATTTGGAAGTTTGATTAATAATAACTCCTAAGTCATTGATAAAACACCTTAAAAAATTGCTAAAATGAAACTTGACCCTTCTCATTTATCATCATAAAGATTTAATTGTATTTAAGAAATATATGACGTTCTAACTTTGTGCGTTTAAAAAAATTCAGATACTAGTAATTATGTTTTGACATTAAATATGAATAAAGAAAGTATATTAGATTTTTTATTGTAATAATTAAAACATTAACGAAAACACATCTCAAATCTTATAAAAGAAAGTGTTAGATATACAGATATGAGTGAATCTAAAGAGAATATTAAAAAATGGGTTAATTAATTAGAAGATCTAACTTAAGATAATATTGAAGATTAGACTCTCTTTATAGAAATCTTAAGTCTAATTATGATAGACCCATATGAGAATCCTAATAAAATATGTTAAAATGCATGTAGAAGATTACTATTCGGAACAAAATCTCAATAAGAATAATAATCGCCTTTTCATAAAGCTTTAGTTGCTTTAGATATATAAGAAGATAATACTAATTATTATCCATTAATTTAATTTTATCCAAAAAGATAAAAAGGATTGTAAATGCAATAAGCAAATTAATTTGGATAGAATAATTAGATTTTTTGCTAACTTTATTTAAAATTTATTGATAAATAAGCTAAAATTGCTTAAAGATTTTAGAGTAAGAGACCAAATTTAATTGATGTGGTGATTGATTTTTTTACTATTGAAACACTCAAAGAAAATTAATTGGTTAAATAGGAAGATGTTAAATTAGTGATTCCAATATTTTAGAAATATGAAAATTATCTAATGAATGTTATGGGTTTATATTCTTCATTATGTAAAGGAAGAAATTTAAAAAATAGAAAATTTTTAATGAAAAATTGCTTTTTAAATGAAAAATTCTTAGAAATCTGTTTAAAGCGTTAATAAAATGTTAAGTCTGAACTTAGATTCGAAAAAACTTTAATAGAGTTATTTTGTAATTTATACTTAGATATTGATCCATTAATTAAAGTTTCTTAAAATTATGATCCATTTCAAAATAATACTTATAAAATGCAATTAAATGTTATTTAAGTGATGATATTGATTAATTTAACATAGAGAATCCTTCAGGATTTTATTTTTATGAAAACAATGCTTCAAAATCATTAAAAAGAAGTGATGATTATTAAAGTTTTCTTCATCAAAAAGAAGCTAAAGCAGAACATTAATAACTTAAACTTTATGCTACTAAAATGTTATCTAGGTAAAATGTAAATGATATCCGTTTGTATTATTTAGATCTATTTACAAATGAAGAATATCCAGAACATCTTATTTAAGAAGCAAGTTATGATATTTTTTAATCAAAAAAAGCTAGCTTGAATAAATCTAAATATGACTATTCTCGCCTTGCTTATTTATAATTACATTATTTTTTAGGATTACTGACTATAGTTAAAAACAGTATAAATTTAGGATATAATTAATTGGACGAAAATTAGAAGATATTTTCAATATTACCAAATATATTTGTTGCATTAATTTTATAACAAATTCCTGATATGAGAATTCATAGATTTTCAGAAAATGAATCATTTATATATAACTTAAACAATTTAAAATAATCTGTTAACAATAACATTTGGGTTGTTACATTCTTACCTACAGCTGAATAATTAATAGAGAAAAAAATGTCAAAATATAAAAATATTAATAAAGAATATAAAAGGATGAATCAATCATCAAAAATATATATGTAGTTTTAAAGAAATTGGATTCTATATTTGTTAATATGGACATAACAATACTGTAATGATGAAATATTAAAAACTTAAGTATATTTAGAAGCATTATCAATATTAAAAGTATTTGAAGAATTAAAATTAAATTTATAAATATTGCAATTTTTATTTAGTTCATCTTAATAGAATGAATCAAATCCTAGTTCTCCAAGTTTCAGAGATTTGGATTAATTTGATTTTGATGAAGTTGTACATTAAGAAGTATAAATAAAAAAATCAAAAACTAATGCATCTAAATCTATATATAATATATTCAAAGAGCCTGATGGAAACAGTATTTGTGGATTATTATTTACTTGTCTACTAACATTAGGAAAAAGAACAAAATTAAATGAAGAATTATTACAAAGGATAATCTAAAGTTTCCATTCACCAAAATATTCAATTTAAGAAATAAATTAAGTAGAAATCATTGATAATTAATAAGAATTGAGATATTTTTCAATTATTAATGGAAATTCTAATAGTGTATAATTGATTAGTCCGAAAGAAGCAATATAATTATCTAAAAGAGCATTAAAATTTATAACAACCTAGAGTGACAATAATATAATTTAAAAGAGAGTTTTATCCTTTGAAAAATTAAAAGTATATTCAACTAAAATAATTGAATAATTTGAAATGTTTTTTAAACCTAATACATAGGATTTACAATATTTAAAGTCATTTTAAAATATATTGAGAAATGCAAGCGTTCATTTAGTATTCTTGAAATTTTTAGTAGATCCTGAATAAGTTTAGAGTTCAAACGACATAGTTTATTTTTACAAGAGAATAGTACTCTTTTTGGAATATTTTATTATAGATAATGAGATAAATGTATAAATATTATAGGATAATGAGTATTTATTGAAAATTTTGGATATAATTTAAATACCTTAACCCTAAGCAGAAGACAAGTTTTATATTCCTATAAAGATCACAAGATTAATATTCAAATTGATTTCTTCAATCCCAGAAAACTAAGCTGATAACTTAATAATAAAAATATTTGAAAGAATTGACAAAATAGGAGATTAATTGATGCGTAGTTAAGAGTTTTATCTAAAGCAATATATTGTAGGAGAGAATGAGGAAGAGATAAAATTGATATAAAGAAAAGTAGATGTGAATGCTGTTGCAATTAGCAATTTAATTTAGTACTTTAAGATCTTGAAATCTTTAACAAAAACATTTGAAAAGCCCTAAAAGTAGGTTCCATTAAATAAGCATTTAATATTATCTAAAATTTTAAGAAATAAATTTTTAAAGATAGTTTTAGCTCCAGTTAATTATTATAAGAATATTTTGGTTCCAGAATTGGGAACTGAAGAGGGAGATATAAAAGATCCTTTACTTTATCATAGAATAAAGTTGCATTCAGAATTAATAATATTATTAACTGAATGTTGTTAATATTACAGATTAGGTATTTAAGAGATGTAAAGAATATTATTATATGAATAATTAAAGACTATATTATTAGCAGCAAATAGTGAATATATTGTAAAGAGAGCATATCTATAATGCATATTTGAATTGTATATTAATTAAGTGAAAGAAGGACAGTTTGTTAATGATTTAGTAGAAAGTGATGAAGTTAGAGATATATTATCAAGGATAATAATTCCTGAATTAGATTAAAAATAGATTTGTAAATATTTAGAAGGATTATCGAAATTAATGAATTAAGATAGAAATATGAAAGTTATTTAGAGAGATTTGAGAGATTCAATTAAAAGGTAGAAATAAACATATTTTGAGAAGAAACTTTCATTTGATTCACAATCTGTAAAAGAATTAGGAATTTTGAGAGATTCAAGTGAGTATTGGAAGTATTTGAGAAAAAATGGAATTTTTCATTTTTTAGTTTATACTTATGATGAGATGAAAGATAGAATAGATCTAGAAAATCCAGAAAATTCAAATTTGTCTGATGAATTTGCAATAATTAAATAAAATGTTTAAAAAATTAAAGATATATTTAATGTTCTTGAGAGAGATTTCAGAGTAAAAAAAGAAGATCTAGATTTGGATAATTATAGAGAATTAATAACTTAAATTGAAGAGGTTATTCCTTAAAGGAAAATAACAAAATTTGGTCAGAATTTTAGAATAGGTATAATTGAAGAAAAGAAAGCAAATAAATTAATTTTTGATTAATTTAATACTCTGAAAGAAGATTAAACAGGAGATAAGAAATTATAAGAATAAGAAAATGTATAAAGAATAGAAAATCTATTTAGGCGTAATTTTAAAGTATATCTAATTAGATATAAAGTTAATACTAATGAATTTAATGAATATATCGAAAATAAAGCACAAGAGTAAGATAGGTTATAATTGATTCTAGATACATGCAATAAATATAAAACATATATTTAATAGAATGATATTAAAGAAATTTATAGAGTAAATGTAGAATAATTAAAAAGATAAGAATAAGTGAATAATAAAAATAAAACTATTTCAGATTGGGATTTATTTAAGTAAGCTATGAATGATTTGTTTGAAATTAAAACAACCCAGAAATTCGCTATAAATTAATAAGTGTAAGCATATCAAAGATAACAAGAAGATTTAGAAAATCTTAAGTAACAATTTGAAATAGCTTATCGTAAGTAAATTGGAAAATAATATAAGAAATATGAAGGATAATTAGAAGGTTCTGAGGATTTATTATCAGATGATATTTAAATAGAATTATTAATCAAAACATTAGAGAAATAAAATACTAATTTATTAAATGAGACTAATGTTTAAGACTTCTTGGAAAAAATATAAGGAATATTTTTGAATAGAGAAATATATTTAATCAAATTATGTAAAATATTTTTGTAGTTGAAAAGACCAACTTAAGACGAAATTGATTCCCTTACTGAAGCAAAAGACGAAAAATTCAAAGAATATATTAGATAGAAATAGTAGATTTTTATAAAATATCAAAATGCTATGGTCAATAGTGATTTAGACATTTTAGCTTTAGGAATGTTGAATGAATCTGTTGATGATTAACATAAGATTGAAGCTTTATAATTCTTAATTTATTTACTGGATTANTAATTAAATAAAATGTTTAAAAAATTAAAGATATATTTAATGTTCTTGAGAGAGATTTCAGAGTAAAAAAAGAAGATCTAGATTTGGATAATTATAGAGAATTAATAACTTAAATTGAAGAGGTTATTCCTTAAAGGAAAATAACAAAATTTGGTCAGAATTTTAGAATAGGTATAATTGAAGAAAAGAAAGCAAATAAATTAATTTTTGATTAATTTAATACTCTGAAAGAAGATTAAACAGGAGATAAGAAATTATAAGAATAAGAAAATGTATAAAGAATAGAAAATCTATTTAGGCGTAATTTTAAAGTATATCTAATTAGATATAAAGTTAATACTAATGAATTTAATGAATATATCGAAAATAAAGCACAAGAGTAAGATAGGTTATAATTGATTCTAGATACATGCAATAAATATAAAACATATATTTAATAGAATGATATTAAAGAAATTTATAGAGTAAATGTAGAATAATTAAAAAGATAAGAATAAGTGAATAATAAAAATAAAACTATTTCAGATTGGGATTTATTTAAGTAAGCTATGAATGATTTGTTTGAAATTAAAACAACCCAGAAATTCGCTATAAATTAATAAGTGTAAGCATATCAAAGATAACAAGAAGATTTAGAAAATCTTAAGTAACAATTTGAAATAGCTTATCGTAAGTAAATTGGAAAATAATATAAGAAATATGAAGGATAATTAGAAGGTTCTGAGGATTTATTATCAGATGATATTTAAATAGAATTATTAATCAAAACATTAGAGAAATAAAATACTAATTTATTAAATGAGACTAATGTTTAAGACTTCTTGGAAAAAATATAAGGAATATTTTTGAATAGAGAAATATATTTAATCAAATTATGTAAAATATTTTTGTAGTTGAAAAGACCAACTTAAGACGAAATTGATTCCCTTACTGAAGCAAAAGACGAAAAATTCAAAGAATATATTAGATAGAAATAGTAGATTTTTATAAAATATCAAAATGCTATGGTCAATAGTGATTTAGACATTTTAGCTTTAGGAATGTTGAATGAATCTGTTGATGATTAACATAAGATTGAAGCTTTATAATTCTTAATTTATTTACTGGATTATGGAAATGACTATGTTTAGAAAAAGTTCTATATTATACTTAAAAAGGATTAAGTAATTAAATCTAAATTTTTTGTTTTTCTTAGAGGCTTCTTTTTAACTGATGTTAATTCATAAATTTTATAATTAGAATAATGTGAAGGTAATAATAGTGAATATAAAATACTTTGTTTAAAAGTCTTAAAACTATTATAAGCTTTATGCGAAAATGTTAATGTTGATTTCTAGAAGTTCATTGTTCATTAATATGATGATGACTCATATTAAGCCAATATTAATATTGTTAATGAAGTTTCCAGTTTATTATCAGATTTATTGGAAAAGGGATAGAGTGTATTTTATAAATTGTAGGAAATCTACAGACAAGCTTTAGAAAGTTTAGTTGAATTCTCAACAGGATTTGAAGAAAATAAAAAAGAATTATGTAAAAATACGCGTTTATTTTCCTTATTGAACTAGATTCTATTAAAAGAAGATTTCTTATAATTTAAATAATTGAATGAGGAAAATAAAAATATTATAAAAGATAATCTAATGAAATCACAGAATTAAGAAGAAGATCTTATTATAAATTTAAATTAAGATTAAATTGATTATCAAAACAGAAAATATAACTCATATTAAACTCTTCAATCTTTCATCAAATTATTGTTGTTAATTACATAAGGAAAATATGATAGAACTTGTTTGAAATTCATCTTAGAAACTGTTGATCTTACAATTCTTATAAGGATTTCAAGATCCATTTATTAAGATAGAATTAAACCAAAATAAAGAAATATTATATTAGATAATATTTGTGATGAATCTAAAACTGGAAAACATTAATATTGTACTAATAATCTATGCCATTTTGGATTAAGAACTGATGAAGATAATTTATTAATTTAAACAGGTTTTAATATTTTTATTATTTGTTTAAAATTATCTGAGCATTTTCCAAAAAATTCTTAATTAGAAATCTTCTTATTTGATGAAAAACAAGATGATTAAGATGACTTTGTTGATTTAAATGAACCATCATAGTAAGAAGATACATAATAAATTTATACTATTCCTTAATAAAAAATAGTACCAATATTTGTACAAAATCCAGAAGGAGAAGAAGAAAATGCTTTACTTAGTAAGGATTTAAAATTAACGCAGCAAAATGAATTTTAATAAATTCTTCAAAATGTATAAAATGATGAAAATTTTAAATTTACTAGAAAACAACCATTTTTTAAATTTTATAGGCAATTCACAGGAAGGATTGAAATATAAAATGAATAAGGAGAACTTGAAAAGATTTTCTTTTAAAAACCCTTTATTTGTAACTTTGTCACTCCTAACATAAAGTAACATTTAATTTACGAAATCAATAGAGAAACAGATGAAGACAGAATGTAAGGATTAATTGATTAAGCTGATTTCTATCAAGTTCAAATGATTCATTCGTAATAAATTAATAATAGTTTTATTATGCATTTTGGAGCAGTTTACTGGAGATTCTTAAAAGATTTATCATTTCTTTTATGTTTGGTTATTGTAATTCTCTTAATTTTCATGCATGATATAGTAGTAAATAGTAAATTAGGTTCAAATCAGATAGCCCCTGAATCTGAAACTAAAATGCCTGGAGAAAATTTTGTTCGTTATCTTAATAATGTAATTCTTATTCATGTATTTAGATAATAACAATTATATAACTAATTTTGAATCTTATCATCGTTTTTTTCTGTGCAATAGAGAGATATCCAATTTCAATTACATATAATAGAGGTGAAACAAATGCAAAAAGAGTTTAGATTTTAAAAAAAGAAGCTGGATTCTCAATATCATGGTTAACAATGAGATATTACAGTATTATTGGATATTTTGAATCTGAATTCTAAGGATAAAAGGTTAATGAAAGCGTAATTAAAAAGCTTATTCTCGTTACATTTTTAGATTTTGATAACTTTTACAATGTAAACTTGTTTTTTATTTAGATATGCATTTTTGGACTAACAGTGTATGCATTTTTTAATCCATATATATATGCTGTACTATTGTTAGACATCATAAAACGATCAGAAGATCTATAGAATATCATCAAATCTATAACATCTAATGGTCGAAACTTAGCAATATTCTCTTTTCTTGGTTTTATAGGCTTATTAATTTATGCTATAATCGCATTCTCAAACTTTGATTGGATGTTTAATGATGAAGATGGTGTTTATGGATAGACATTTATTTTAGCTGTTACATCAACAATTAATTTTGGTCTTCGTAGTGGCTTAGGAGATTCAATGAAAATATATCCAGAGCCATATGAAGATCCAACATTATATTGGGGGAGATACTTCTTTGACTTCTCGTTTTTCATAATATTTAATATTTTATTCATCTAAATAATTTTTGGTATTATTTTAGATACTTTTGGTGAATTAAGAGATGAAAGGTAAGCCTTAGTTAAAGAAATTGAGGGAAAATGTTTTGTTTGTAGTCTTGATAAAAATGATATTGAAACAAAGTAATTTCTAATCTTATATTTAGTGGAACAAAAGGATGGCATTAACATATATATTTAGAACATAGTGTCTATCATATGCTATACTATATCATATATATCAAAAATAAAGATCCAAATGATTGTAATGCCTTAGAAAAGTTTGTCAAAAAATCTATTGAAACTAAAGAAACTGCTTTTTTCCCATTTGGAAGAGCTTTATAAATTGAAAATTAAAATGAAGAAGACCAAGAAACACTTGAATAAAGTGAATCATGATAATACAACAAATTTAATTATAATTCCATTCAAAAAATAAATTATTAATTAACTCACAATTAACTAATTTTTAAAATGAATTTTGGATAAATATTTTTAAACAATATGATTATTCAGAAAATATACTTTATTCTTAATTTTTATCAAATCTATTTATAACAAATCTTATCTATTTTTAAATCTGAAAAAAAATCTCTCAAATCAATTAATTTACATTTAAATGAATAATTTACTTATTTTGTTGAATAAATTAAATTTCATTATATTCAATCTAATATAAAAAGTAATTAAACATTATAAGTAAATTAGAATTATATTAAAAATTCATTTATTAAATTTAATTATCCAAAATGAATTCACCTAACACACCTAATCAAATAATAAATAATTAATTTGCATTAAAGAAAAAATTATTAGCTGGATCATATGGTATCGTTTTTGAAGCTGAAGATTTATTCAAAAAATAGATGGTTGCCGTTAAAATTGAGAAAAAAGAAAAAAATACAACACTTGATCGTGAAATACATATTCTTACAAGATTATAAGGTACATAAGGAGTTCCAAAGTTAATATGGAGTGGAATAAATAATAATTCCACCAATGTTCTTGTTCAATAATTGCTAACAAAGGATATTGGTGTATATTTACAAGAATATCGAAAATTTTCATTAAAAACTGTTCTAATTATAACTGATTACTTATTACAAGTAATAAGAAGAATTCATAATAAATCAGTTGTTCATAGAGATTTAAAACCTGAAAATATCATGTATCATTAAAAACAAATCTATATTGTTGATTTTGGTATAAGCAAGCTCTATCGAGATAATAACTTAAAACATATGTAAAAATTTTGTATAAAAAAAATAGACAATTTAAAGAAGGTCGATCATTTGTAGGAACCACTAGATATGCTTCAATAGCAGCTCATAAAGGTTAGGAACTTGGAAGAAAGGACGATCTTGAATCTTTGATTTATATAGATATTCTATTGTTAAAAGGGTTATATCAACTTATTTATTTAGAATAAAGAACTTTGCCATGGTAGAATATGTTAGGTTAAAATAACAAAGAAAGATAAAAATAAGTTGGTGAAAAGAAAATGAAAATGACTCCTACAGAAATTTGCGGTGATTTACCAATTGAATTTTAAAAGGCTTTAGAGTAATCATATATAATAATTCAAAGTTATATTAGATCTTTGTAATACTAAAGTGATCCAGATTATGATTATTTAATTTAACTATTCAGAAAATTAGCATAATCTAGAAAAATTGAATATGACGATATTTATGACTGGACTTAATAGACAAAATAAACTACACCCGATAATTAACAATAAGAAATTGCTATTAAATAAATTGCTTCTTTATAATAATTCGAAAGATCTCCTAGAACTATGTAAAATAAATGGTATTTATATATGATAATATAGCCAATCACTCAAGGTTGCTTCAACCTAAGATGTTTTTTAAGATAGAAAAAAATCTCTTTAGAATAACTTATAATTAAATTTTTAATAAAATCAACTAAATAGATCAATTTAAAATACATATGTGCTTAGTTAAATTGCAAATGATTATGATTCAAAATAAGACTATTTTTCTTAAGATGATGTTAGCGATACTCTATTCTAAAGATACACTTAATTAAAATCTCAAATCTTATAAATGTATTTCTTAACCCATATTTAGACATCATTTGTAAAATATAGAGAATCAAAATCCAAATAATAAAATATGTGCCAGTTGATTTTATAATATATTAAATACTAATAATTTCTAAATATTAATAATTTTAATGTGTAATAATTATGATTATTAAAAGTTTCAATAAAAGATTGTTTGTTTTTAATAAGAACTATCTGATGATGGTAAGAATAAATTAAAATTCTGTTATGATAACTACAAACAATTAAAATCACTAATTATACAATCGTAAAAATATTTTTCAAAATTTTAATTCTTGATTGAATTTTATGATCTTTTAGAATAATTTTAGAGAGATAAACAAATTTAAGATTATATGTAGTAATATTATTACTTACTTCCAATTATTTTTAATAATCAGATATATTCAGGAATTTTAGAAACATTATCATACTCATAATAAGAAGTTTAGGAACTGTTAATGCTGACCAAAAAATTAAGTAAGTTAGATGAGAATTTAGAAACAAATAAAACTTTTATGGATCCATAAAATTTAAAACTAAAATCAATATTAAAAAGAATTTCAATAAATTCAAATAACTATTAAGAAATTAGTTAAATCCCATTTTAACTTTGTTATTAGTACTTTTATTTATTTTACCTTAAATTTTAATAAAATGGCTTTGAAGTCTATTATTAGAATTATAGTAAACTTAAATAATCCCTAAAAAAAATAAAAGAATTATTCAAATAAGAAAGAGTACTTTATAAACTAATGAATTTGAATATACAAAATTTAAGATCTTAGAAAATACCAAACTGGGAACCTATTGAATTAAATATAGATCATAATAAAATTTATTTAGGTTTCAAAGAAAAAATGGCAGAGTTGTAATTTGATAATTAAGAAATAGAATTTTTATCTTATTTTTCACTATTTTGTAAATCAATAACAAACCATAGTTTTGCAAAAAAGAATTATTTTTAATTACCACAAATATCTAATTCTAAGAACAATTAATTTTAAATAACTTCTTAAGGAGATGATTATTCAATTTCCTTCCAACTAAGAGACTTGATAAAAAATGAAATACTTTAATAATTTAAATAAAAGAATAGGGGTTTGATTGAAATTCAATTTTCAGAAAATTCTAAATATTACTTTGTACTTCAAACCTTCACTTTTTCAGTACATGAAGTAGTTATTAATTCTAATCTTTTAAATTTAGAAATTGACTTGAATTATTAAGAGGAAAGATATGTAAATGCAAAATTTTATTGTAATGATTAAAAGATTATTTTAATTTCTGATTTGCAAATCAAGCTACAAAGTTTAAATGGATCAAATTTTTAGATAGATAAAATATTCTTAATATACAATATTTGTTTGTAAAATGAGATTTTGATTAAAAATACAGCTAACATTGATAAAAAGATTGAAATAATAGGATAATTAAGCATGAAAAGGTCCATTTTTATCTAGATTGATGAAATAAGTGCTTAATTATTGTAATTTTACATATTGTGAATTATTTCTATATTATAAACTAAAATTAAATCAGTTTTAGTGGTTAATTTGATTTTATTTTACTTACTTAATAATATATAAATTATCATAGTATAATAGGATAAGATAAAATGCTAAATAGATTAACATTAAGTTTTAAATCCGACGCTATTGAAGAGGAATTTAGAGAAAACCAATCTGGAAAAGTAAAAGAAGAATTTAACTTATTCACTTTATAATGTTTGGTATAAATAACCTATAAATGGAGCTGTTCTTTCCTTTTTATTTATTGGCTTACTTTTAAACATAGTACTTTAATCTGACTAGTATTTTGATAATTTTAATTATCTTTGGTTTAATTCTGCTGTTCAAATTATTGATTGGTAATTATCCAAAAAGTGTGAACCTAATATTACCTATTTTATAAGTATTATTTGGAATTGTTTGGGGCATAGACAATATGTAATCATAGCCTTAACTAAATTAATATTCTTGGTTTTATGGATTTTAAGCTTTTTATTTTCATTATGGTATGTATTTTATGTACAATAGCAATTATGTAGCAAGGTTACTAAATTTTACCCTAAGGTATAAGCATTTTAGGATTATATGCATGGTTTATAATCTTGTTTGCGAATAATTCATTAGAATTCATCACATTAAGCCTTACATAATTTAGTGTTGTTTTGGGACTTATATTTTTAAAATATACAAATCTGAAGTTAAAAAGATTATAATTTATTGATAACAGAGAGAGGAACAAATGGATTAAAATTATAGAATAGATTGTAGATTATCAATTGATAGTAGTTTAGTTTGATAAAAGACAAGATCAAATAATAATCAAATAAATAAATGAAGAAACAAAAGAAAAATTTTTAATTAAAGATAATCAAGATTTAAGAAAAATTTTAAGAGATGTTTAAATATATTTTTATTATTTTAGATGCAAATCGTTAACAGTGGAAGTTCACAAAGTAAATTTAAGAAGGAATCTTTAGAAATGGCAATTAGAGATTAGTTTTGCCATAATTACCAGTAGTTAATACCATCCTATGAAGTTATTTCTAATATTTTAAAAAAAGAATTTAGAGTTAAATTAATTCAATATATACTTCAAGAAGTACAATGTGTAATATTAGCTTTTGACAGTTAATCAAGAGAAGAAATTAAATAAACAATATCGTATCAAAAAATTTCTGAAAATATTTTTATTCAGTACTCTTCAAAAATTCTCTCCAGCATTTGTAATCATAACAATAAATTACTTGTATTGCAATAAATAGTTAATTTACAATTTTATCGCATTTGGATAGATAATAAAATATTTCTTACTTAGAGAACTCAAATAAAATTACCTAATCTTATTTAATAATTATAAAATATAATATCTAGAAAAATTAAATTAAAATAGAGTTTTGAATATAATGAATCTTTTCTACTACATTTAAGACCATTAAAAATGATTTTAGTTGGATTAACATAATTTGTAGATTCAGATTTTGAGATAATAATTAAATTTAACAATAAACTTCTTTTTAAGCATTTAACATTTAGGATTGAAACAAAAAATATAATATTTTCTGCTCAAATCTTTAATTTAATAAAGAGATAGCTCAATTTCGAAGATAACAACTGGGTAAAGAATAAACAAAAAATTTTGGATTGCATTAAGATTTTATAAGAAAAATAAAAAAAGAATCAGAATACTTTTTTGTTTTCTTTAATAATGTGCCATTATTTTTTGTATTAAACCTTTAATTAGAGCACCTTAAGATTTTAAATAAAAAAAGATTCAAGATAAAAAGTGTCTTTTGAAGTAATTGTTTGATTTAAATGATTTAATCTTATTTTTGTAAACATACTTCTCCTAAATTTAATTTATCTTAAAACTAAATTTTCTACTAAAAATTCTAATAAGAAGAATTAGAATTAGAAACTGTTAAGGATTATTTATGTAGATTTGAATAATTATTCAAATGGTGTTATAATTTTTTTGATTCTTTGTAATATTCTTGCGCAAAGCCACAGAAATTATTTTCGAAATGCTTGTATCCAAATCTTCTTCTTGTGTATATTAAATAATTGATACCATCAAGGTCTTCTTAAAGGGAGCATGACATTAAGCTCTATAAATAATTCAGTCTTAAGAGTTCTATTGATGAGCAAAATTTAAATTGAGAGGCCAACAATTGATTAGCCCTATATAAATTTTAATATAATACAATCTAAATTAAACTTTAATTTATTGAGTTGGCTTAGTTTTTGAAGACTAATAGATAATTGTTTTAGCAAGGCTTAAGAATCCCCGCATATTAAAATTTAATTATATTTAATTTATAATCTCAAAAAGAATTAAAAAAAGGCAAATATTTTGATCTAATTAAATAATAAATGAAAAGTATTATTTAAGAAAGTGAATTAGATTCGATGTTATGAAAAATAAACATAATGAAACAAGTAAATGGCAAACAAAAAAATTTTATGATTATCATATTATGTCAGACTTCTTTATAATCAATTAATATTACGTAATTTTATAATTTTTTTCTTAATTTGTAATCATAATCATGTATCAGAGATACAATTTAGTACAAATATGAATAAAAATAATATCATTTGATTTCAGCTGTTTTTGTTTTTCTCAAAGTCATCATTTATTCCTGCATAACTATTTAAGGAATCTATGATCTTCTTCGATTTTTATCAACCTATATAAATTAATCTACAACTCTAAATTAAACCCACGCTTTTCCTTACATTAATTCATCCAGCTTTAAATAAATAAAGGATTTACTTCTTCATTAATTTCCTACTCAGTATAACCAGTTTTCTTTACAATTTTCCAAAATGTCAGCCACTCTTAAATGGTAATGTCACCTGAATTATCAAAATCTACTGCTTTAAATAAAGCTTCTGTATTAATTTTAGCGAAATTAGATTGCCTATCAGAATAATGAATACAAATACCAAAATTATTGTGTTGTTTTCTTATCAATTACTCCTTTATTTTCTTTATCAATTTTTTAGAATATTTGAAGAGCTTTCAATCGCAGAGATGCTGATAAATCAGTTTGATGATGCATAGATGAGCACAATCCCATAAATATTTTAATTTATATAATATGTTAATTTTATATATTGAAAGCCATATAATATAAAAGTTTTTTAAACTGAATTCAAATAGTGAATGATTTTGATTAAGCTTANACAGAAATTATTTTCGAAATGCTTGTATCCAAATCTTCTTCTTGTGTATATTAAATAATTGATACCATCAAGGTCTTCTTAAAGGGAGCATGACATTAAGCTCTATAAATAATTCAGTCTTAAGAGTTCTATTGATGAGCAAAATTTAAATTGAGAGGCCAACAATTGATTAGCCCTATATAAATTTTAATATAATACAATCTAAATTAAACTTTAATTTATTGAGTTGGCTTAGTTTTTGAAGACTAATAGATAATTGTTTTAGCAAGGCTTAAGAATCCCCGCATATTAAAATTTAATTATATTTAATTTATAATCTCAAAAAGAATTAAAAAAAGGCAAATATTTTGATCTAATTAAATAATAAATGAAAAGTATTATTTAAGAAAGTGAATTAGATTCGATGTTATGAAAAATAAACATAATGAAACAAGTAAATGGCAAACAAAAAAATTTTATGATTATCATATTATGTCAGACTTCTTTATAATCAATTAATATTACGTAATTTTATAATTTTTTTCTTAATTTGTAATCATAATCATGTATCAGAGATACAATTTAGTACAAATATGAATAAAAATAATATCATTTGATTTCAGCTGTTTTTGTTTTTCTCAAAGTCATCATTTATTCCTGCATAACTATTTAAGGAATCTATGATCTTCTTCGATTTTTATCAACCTATATAAATTAATCTACAACTCTAAATTAAACCCACGCTTTTCCTTACATTAATTCATCCAGCTTTAAATAAATAAAGGATTTACTTCTTCATTAATTTCCTACTCAGTATAACCAGTTTTCTTTACAATTTTCCAAAATGTCAGCCACTCTTAAATGGTAATGTCACCTGAATTATCAAAATCTACTGCTTTAAATAAAGCTTCTGTATTAATTTTAGCGAAATTAGATTGCCTATCAGAATAATGAATACAAATACCAAAATTATTGTGTTGTTTTCTTATCAATTACTCCTTTATTTTCTTTATCAATTTTTTAGAATATTTGAAGAGCTTTCAATCGCAGAGATGCTGATAAATCAGTTTGATGATGCATAGATGAGCACAATCCCATAAATATTTTAATTTATATAATATGTTAATTTTATATATTGAAAGCCATATAATATAAAAGTTTTTTAAACTGAATTCAAATAGTGAATGATTTTGATTAAGCTTATTTGTAATAAATATTTATTTTTAAATCATTTAAATTGAAATGGACATGAATTCAAAATATTTAAGGATGTTTATTATTATTGCATCTTCAATATTATTTTTTACTTAAACAAGGATGAGATATATATTATTTTTTGGTGTTTACATGTTTTTAAATGTAAAATATATTATTTTTTGGTGATTTTAATTAATTAATATAAATGAATAAATAAATAATAATAAGGAAAACTCATAATCAAGAAGAAAGTTTAAAAGAGATGTAGAAATTGAATATGCTTAAATATATCTTAAAAAAAACATGATAATATTTTCATTATTTAAATATTTATGAATTGGCATATGTAAATTTGTCAAAAGTACCTACTTTTAATGTATTAATAGGAGTATCATTTATTTCTTCTTATGTAAATATTGGATCAATATTTTATAAATCTAATTCATTTTTTAGTTTGGGTATAAATTATGGTTTAATGGTTTTGTTATATACATCATCCCAAGATAGTGATCCAAAAAAAGGATGGGATTTAATTTATTGAATAGTTATTCTTTTATTTGGATCATTAATTAATAATCCAGTAAGAAGATTGGAAACATTTTCAGAAAACCATGGTTTCATCTCAATTTATTTCTCAAGTCTGTCTCTAAACATTATCCCTTTTTCTTTTGAATAAAATGGTGGAGCTCCTGCAATCATTTCATACATTAATGCACCAAGACTCCACCAATCTGCTGATTAATCATGTCCTTAGCCTAATAAAATTTCAGGGGCTAAGTATTCAGGTGTACCACAAAAAGTATAAGTTCTTTCTCCTTCTTTTAAATTAATTCTAGATAAACCAAAATCTGTTAATTTAATATGACCATCAGCTCCTATCAAAATATTTTCTGGTTTTAAATCTCTATAAATAATTCCTTTTTAATGAAGATAATCAAGTGCCAAAATTAATTCTGCAGCATACAATTTCATTCTATCTTCAGAAAACTTTTTAGATTTTCTTAAATGGTAGAACAATTCGCCTATAATTTTCAATTAAGTATTACCCCCAACAAGAAAATCTGTAACTAAATATAGTTTTTCTGGAGTTTAGAATGCATAATGTAATTAAACGATAAATGGATGTTAAGCCACTTCTAAAATTTATCTTTCATTCATTGTGTGAACTTATTATCCCTTTTCCTATATTATATCCTTTCTAAGTATTTTCATTGCATAGTTTTTTTTTGTCATTTTATGTTAAACTAACATTACCTTTCCAAATGATCCTCTACCAACAACCTTTTTACTATTAAATATATTAATTAACCTTTGTAAATATAAAATCTTCCAAACATACCATATTCAATTAATCATTGAGTTTTATTTATTTAGCATCTCCTGGAATTTGATTACTTGAATCAGTTTTCGAATCTTCAATTTAATTTGATTTATTGTCATTCTCTTTCTGTAAACAAATACCCATTATATTAAAATAAATTCAATTAAATAATTGAGAATATTATGAAAATATAGTAAATAATTATCTTTAAAAACAGGCTCCATTTTTTCTATAATGTATGTCTTCTTTATTTTAGTGGTTAAGTATCACCTTATTTCTTAATCCAAATTGATGTGTCCTATTTGTATTCCTTAATTGTTCACGTAATTTTGCATTAATATCCTGCTGAATATATGGATACTAAATACGATTGTTCACTTAAACTTCATAAGGCAATTTATAAATAGAAGTATCATTTAAATCATATATTCTCCTTTCTTTAGAATATGCTGATAATGAGGATTTTACAACTCTGAATTCTTCTCCTTTTTTCATATTTTAATTTCTAACTAACTTTTAATACTTAGGAGTATTTATCTAATGTTAAAACTCTTCATTTTTCTATAATATAATTTCTATCTATTCTGTCGCCTAGTAGATAACTTACTTTTTCACTTAAACTCCTCTTATAGAATTTGGATTTCTACTAAGTAATTCATTTCTACTTAAAATTGGTAAATTCATAAAATTTAACAATTATGGACAAAGAGTCTTTATTTCAAAACAATTCTTTTTTAATTCCTCTCTTAAAGACTCACAGCTAAACTGTTTTATAGGCGAATCATCAGATTCAAAAATGCCTAATAAACCTCTTTAGTGAAAATAATATTATTCCTCACTTTATCCTAAGTAATAATAATTTAGAGCTAGTTTTTCATATATTTTTAGTTCATATTCATTACTTAACCAAGCATATTGCAACGCTTTTTTCAATAATTTTAAGGCCTCTCTATTCATTTTAACTTCTTATGCACAATTAGCCAAGCCAATCAATGCTTTTGCTTTTTCAGCATGATTTTTAGTTATTGTATTCAAAACTCTCTCAAATTATATAAGTTCAATACATATTAATTGTAATAATAACAAGCATTGTTAAAATCTTTGATTTTCAGTAAAATGTCTGCTGTCATACAAATTATGGCTCCAAATTATTATAAGTTTCCACAGTCAACAATATAACTTAATTGTATTTTGAATTCTTAAATAGATCAAATGTTATTACAATTCATATAAAGTTCTGATTATCTCCACATCAATTATTCAACTATTTGTTTTGTAAATAATTAACCAAAATTAACATTCTATTACTATTATGAGGTTATATGCACACTTTTTCGTTATAATTTTTATTTCTCTAATAGATCTTTTTGACTAGGTTAAGTTTTGTTATCTAATGATTTAGTTTAAATTGAACGAGATCTTAATTTATACTATGTCAAACTGAAACTAGTGCATTTGGTTGTCAAAAATGAATCTGCATACATTTTAATTTTCCACAAATTTTATTTTATATATATTTATAAAAGATATTATTTTTCATCATTATTCATCTTTTTACTTCACTTAACTAATTATTCATAACTTAAACTCTAATTCTTGGATGATCTTTTTTTCAAAGATAGTTTAAATTCATTATTTAACTATTTATATTATTTGATTCTATAGTTTTGTTTTCTAGGTATTTTAATGTTAGAAATTATTCAAAATCATTCATCTTTAATATCTATGATGTAAAATCATAATAGATATCTATATTTGAAAAAAAACTTACAAAAAAAAATTATATAATAACGTTAAAAAATTATTAAATATGAATTAATATGAACAAATTAGACCTATAGTATTTTAAAAAGCTCCTGAAGTAAAATAGATTAGATCTAATTCATTAGCTATTCGTTCATCTCCTTTCAAATAATAATTTGATTAGCCTTTAGATTTTTAAGTAAATTCAACTTCAAATCAGAATAACCCACATTTTAAAGAAAGAAATAATTAGAAAAAGCTATAAGTGAGTGAATCATGTTCAAGTAATAACAAAGAAAACTAATTTTCTGCAAAAAAAATCTCCTTTTTAGTTGATGAAACTTCATTTTTAAAATAAAGAATTAAACAACTTGAAAATCAAAATACAAATTATATGACTGAAAACAAAAAATTGGCTCATGTATTAGATTAACAAATTTAATTAAATTAATCACTTTAAGAACAATAAAAGTCTAAAGATTAAATAATAAAAAAATTGGAAGATGTATAAAAAATGAATAAAAATTAATTGTAAAATAATACTGAAATAAAACAAATAAATGATTAATTAGTAATACAGAAAAAAGTAATAAATGATTTAGAAGACTAATTACAAATTATTATAAAAGAAAAATAGAAATTGAGTGAAGAAAATGACAAATATTAATTTCAAGATTAACAAATGAAAATAAATTTGGAAAAGTATAGAAGTAGATGTTCAATTTTAGAAAGCAAAGTAAAATAGATACAGTAATAAAAATAAGTATTTTTAGAGATGAATCAAAATGTTCAGAATTGCAAAGAAAAATTAAAAAGTAAAATGATCAAATAGAGTAATTGTAGAAAGAAAACTATGATATTAAATAACAATTGAATTTAAATAAAAATTTTACTTAAATTCAACCAGAAGATATATTATCATCTTAAAATATGTAATAAAATTTATTATATTATAGAGAGAAATTTAAGGAAAACATATTAGAATTAGAATGTGAAAATAAATATTTATAATAAGTCATAGAGATTGATTAGTAAAAAATGAATAATCTAGAAGAAAAACTTAATTTATTAAAAAAAGAAAATTAAAGATTGACAGAGATTGTGAAAAATCGCCACAAATAATGATTTAAAAATAGCTCTTTTATTTTATTGTTATTTTTTATTTAAAAATTGCATTAATCGAATATATGATTGTAAAATCAATATCTGTAAACTGATCCATATCCAAAAGTTGGAGCTGCATAACTGTAAGCAGGAGCATATCCATAACCACCATAACCATAAGTTGGTGCAACAACACTTGTCCTCAAAGGAGCTACAGGAGCTACAGGAGCAACATAGCTGTAAGAAAGAGGGGAAGCATAAGAGACTGGAGCTGGAGGAGCTCTTCTTACCTAGAAAAAATATTGAATAAATAATATACTTCTCTTTCATATTCTAAATAATCAACTCTTGGGACATTCTTTTCAACTGGAACGTAATCAATTTATTTCTCATAAGAAACTTATGGGACATATTCCTTTTAATATTCTACTGGGTAATAATCTGTAACCCACTTTTATCTTGGTACCTAAAATTATATCGTATTTACATACTTAAACAGTTCTGACTTCCTCTTCTAATTCAACGACTGGTTTTTGATATGGGACATATTCAACTCTAGATTCTCCTCTGATTGGTGAATATTGAGGTTGTGCATAAGAAACTGGAGCAGCATATGAGATTGGAGCTGCATATGATACTGGAGCAGCATATGACAATGGAGCTGCATATCCGACTAAAATGTATTAATTTCCATGAATTCATACCTGGAACTGGTCTAGCTATTGATGTTTATAAAGGAGAAGCATAAGAAACACCTAATGAGGGATATGGGTACATCTTGTTATAATTATTAAAGTAAATAAAATTTATTTTTCTTTAATTTAAATGTCAAAATTTCACCATATAATTTATTTCTTTCTCTCAAATAAATAATTGTTATTATATAAATAATCAAGATAAAGTAAATAAATTATACTTTTTTTTTTTATTTTATTTATATTGATTGTGCAATTTCTCACTAACTTATAAAAAGCAAACTTAATTATATATCAAATTTTAAATGATAAGCATTTTAGAATATAATTGTTATTTAAAAAATCTATATTTTTATAATAAACTATTTTAAGACAATGTCAGAATATTTTAGAAAGTATATAAAAAAAGAACATTACTCAATTCATTAGTAATAATTATGATCTAAGCTTTTAGTTCCAATTTAAAATTTAAAACTTCATTTAGAAATTGTATTTTAGAGGTATACTTAAAAAATAATTTAAGGCATTAAAAAGACGATAATGGAAAGAAGTAGAAGGTGATGATTGGGATTTAATGTGGGCTGAAAAAGAATGGATTCATGAAGTTATGGATCACACTCATCTGTAGCCTAATCAAAAAATCAATCATTTTAGAAATCATTACGAAGTATTTATAAACTCATTTAAGTTAACTAGAAAGGATTTGATGATTAAGAATTTAAAAAGATATAAAAAAAATTTAGAAAGAGAAGGTAAAACAGAAGATGCTAATAAGTAATCTATTTTTATTATATATTTTAAGTTATAATTTCTTTCCACAAACATTTCATCTTCCAAGTGAATATCCATTATTTTACGAAGAGTTCAAAAAACAATCTTAGAATGGCGAATCAAAAACCCCATGGATTATGAAACCTGTATTTTAAATTAATAAATTAGATTGGTAAATCTTAAGGTAAAGGAATTTTTATTATTAATAAAATTTAATCAATATCTCAATGGAAAAACACACTTCGTTTTAATTAAGAAGCCTAATAAGCAGAGGCTTATATAGTTTAAAAATATATTGCCGATCCTCTATTAATAGGAGGGAAAAAATTTGATATGAGAATATATTTATTGTGTACTTCTTACTAGCCATTAACTTTATATTTATATAGAACTGGATTTGCAAGATTCACTCATCATCGTTATGATAATGAAGATATCTCGAATACGTGTATAGATTTTATAATTTTTAAGATGTTCATTTAACTAATGTAGCGATATAAAAAACATCTGAAAATTATGATGAAAGGTTAGGAGGTAAATGGAATCTACAAACTTTAAAATTGTTTTTGATGACTAAATTTGGGTAAGAAAAAGTTGCTGAAACTTTCTATAATATTTAAATGTTGATGATAAGGTCTCTATAAGCTGTATAAAAAATTATAATAAATGATAAACATTGTTTTGAATTATATGGATTTGATATTTTACTTGATGCATAGTTAAAACCATGGCTTCTAGAAGTTAATGCCAGGTATTTAATTATTTCTATGTTTTAGTCCATCAATGACCTCTAACACTCCAATTGATTTTGAATTGAAATGTGGACTCTTAGATGATGTTTTTACTATAATTGATTTAGAAAAGGTTTTGACTGGAAATGAAGAATAAATTGGAGGCTTTGATTTAGTTTGTAGAGGAACTCCTATTAAATTACCTACTAATAGCACTTTTACTACATATTTAGGTTCCTTTAATAATAGATAGTAACTATTAAAAAAAATAGCCAAATCAACTGCCATCAAATTAGCACAAATATTTCAAGAAACTTAAATAAAAGTATTGGGTGATGGTTTGAAAAATTCTAAAGAAAAAGAGGAAAAAGAAAAATAATAGAGAAGCTTATCAAAAGGTCCTTAGTCTATACAAGTAATTTCAAATAATATTTTAGAATGGGATTAATAATAAAATAGGAATTTTGCCAAAATAAAATTCGGTTATCAAAAGAAATGGTACTAACTTGCCAGCTTTAGGTACTATTTAGTTTAAAAGTAATGGCAAAAGATAACCTTTTTAGAATGCAGCATAAATTCAACCAACTTAATTATAACAATTAAATAGCAATAAGAAGTATATAATTTATTATAATAATAGAATAAATTCTAGTGAAGAACAAACTTTGACTGCTAATTAAAAACTTTAGCAGCTTACACCAGACAATAAGTTATCTTCTTTCCAACCTTACAAACAGCAATTCAAATATAATGATGTAATTGGAATTACTAATAGAAACTAGTAAAAAAATGAAGAATGAAATATTCAAATTTGCTAATTATTAACTAATAATTAACCAATTTCTTGATTTATATTTTTTATAACAAAAAGCCAAATAAGCAGTATAATTTTTAAAACAGAAATAGCGATCAATTAAATCTATTTTATTTATCTTTTTTATTTAATTCAAAAAAGTTAAAAAAGAAAGAATAAAAGCAATTTAGAAATAAAATTTACTAAAATATCTCGTTCAATTTATGATACTGTAATTTAGTTGTTGATTCTTTCGAGATAGTATTCTTTTTGAGTGATAATATTAACTAATTATTTCCAAGTTTTGCGTTATTTGAAGGATTTCATATTATTTTTTTCATATATATAAAATTTATAAAATCTTGAAGAATTCAGCAAATTAATATAAATATCAAAAATATATAAATTTTTTGTTTCTTAAAATACTCAAAAGAAGGTGGTTGATAAAAATTTTTTGAAGGATTATCATATATGATAGTTAAAATACAAGAGGTTTTATAATAGTTAAATACCATGACTATCACCATTATCAATAATTAGATCAATAACAAAGGAAAAAAGGATAAACATTATATATATCAATTAATTTGAAATTATTTTAGAATTTATTGACTAGCAATTTTTATCTATGTTTTGTAATTGAAAAATAATCAAAATCTTTTACTTTAATTCCATAAATCATCTAATTCTCTACTTTTTTATTCTAATAGTAATCTTAAGCTTCTATTTTCTTTTTCTACTTATTCTAATAATGTTTCATAGTATCTCTTAATATGTAAAGATTCTTTTTTTTTCTAATCTTCATACATAAAGTCGTCTTAATCTTTCTATTTCTAAAATAACAATAAAGTCGATTTTAAACTTTCATTCTCTATTAATAGATGTTGATTCGTGGATGAAAGCTAAAAAATTAAATATATATATTTACATCATTGATTTTAAGTGTAATTTATTGTTTAAATTATAATAATTACTCTATCTCACTTAAATTTGACTCTTAACTTCTTTTATATTATGCAATAGCTTCTTCCATTTATTTAATTTATTGTTAAGTTGATATTTAATATGTTATTTATGAATCTTTAAATTCTTTATTTTTAAGTTCAACAAGTAATTTATTATGATTATTCAATTCAATTATTTGTTCATTTTTTAAGTTTAATTCATTCACCAACAATTAATTTTCTTCTGTTCTATAATTTAAAATCTATAAAATTGAATTATAAAATTACTTATTCCATATCAGCCAATTTCTTCGTCAAATGAAATTTTTCTTATTAGCTATCACTTGTATCATTTTTATATAATATTTGTAAATCTTCTAATTTAGCTTAATATTATCGATGTAACTCCTCTTCCTTTAACTTTGATCTTCTCTAAATATTTAAATTTCATATACATTTATAGATTCTATTTCCCTCTTAAATTTTAAAATTTGATTGTCTTTATCAAGTATTTCTTATTCCAATCTCTAAATTATGAATTCTTTTTCTTTGATGTCTTGATCATCAAACATCCTATTAGAAAATGTTTTATCAGGAATATCTATATTTTGCAATCTCTCTTTTAATCTGCTATTCTCAATAACTAATTATTAATTTTCCATAATCTTTTTCTCTAAATTAATTCTCATGTCATCTGTTTCATCCATTAATTATTATAATTCCTAAATTAATAGATTTTTTACTTTAAAACCACTTTCTAATTTCAAAGCTCGTTCCTTCCATTTTTAAACCTCACTTTCTGTATCAGAAGTCTTGCTGTTGTGATTATTGAAATGCATTTAATTAAAACAAAATTTAAAAAGCTGTTAAATAAATTATTTAATAATAGGTTCTTAGAAGAATTAGTTAAACAACAATATAAAATTTAAAACTTTATATATTGTAATTTCCCAGTATAATTATTCTTCCCATAAATTAAATAATATAGATAATAATAGTAATTATTGATCTAAAATAAAACATTTATCTTTTATCAATATAAAAATCAAGCATACTTAAAATTTTAACTATTATAATTTATATAAATAATTTTAAATAAAATTATTATAATTGATTGAGAATAATGAATCATCAATTTTAAAATCCATTTTCAATTATATAATATATTAAATGCAGAGATTCCATCAGAAAATTGCCTAAATATATCATATTGAAAGAATCTCCTTATCGTAATTCTAACATCATCTGATTACAAAATTTTTTCAGTCAAAAAATTAAGCAATTTTAGTAATTCTGTATCTTATGTATCATCAATAAAAGGAGCTATTGGTATACCATTATACGGTTAAGCCCTTAAAAAATTAAATTAAATAGATTACATATAAAAAATTGGACTATTATCAATTATTACAATTTTCTAAAAATCATTTGATAGAATTCCTAAATGCTTTAATTATATTCTGCTTTATAGAGAAATGCAGTGATTTCGGCAAAAATGACCTTTAAAATATGTATTTTCTGGATCAATGAGATTAATTATCTAAATTAAAGAATAATATGGTACTGTCTTTGCATATTTTTAATTAGCGGAAGTAAAAATAAACAAATCAGCCAATATGCTTAATTCTTTAAGTATATGATGGCAATATGGTCTAATAAACACTCCAAATTCATTATTTTGAAAATCATAAACTTTATCCTTTTGTACTTCTTCTGCATGAATTAGAGTTTCATCGAGATCAAAGGCTATTTTATACTATTTTTATGATTTCCCTTAATATAATAGAGAAACTTCAGGAATAAATTCTTAGTATGTAATCATCATATGTATTTGGTTAAGTGCATCTCTACTCATTTTTTTTAAAGGGGAATTATCATTAAGACTGCTCATTAAAATTTCTTGGATTTTTTCAAAAAAATAGTTTCCATGATGTACCTTTTTTAATTGTAAAGGATTTATCAAGTTATGTTTTCTAGTAAATTATGCTGATCTACTTGTTATGATCAATTTTTATTTTGCTTTTTCATCATTCTAATTTGAGGAATCATTGTTAGAATCGTTTTTTATTGATTCTAATTTTATTCTGGAAATAGATTGATTCCCAACTTTTATTTGCTTAGATGTTGAAACATTTGATTATGTTCTATTTCTGTTTAATTATTAAGCTAGTTTAAGTAACTAGGGCTAAAGATAAATTTAAAACATATAATACATCTCTTTGTAATTGTTTAAGTTGTTCTAAATTAACTCTATTCTTTTAAAAACAAAAGGTTTTTGTATTCATTTATTTTGGTTCTGAAATTCTAAATATTTGATTAATAAATAAAAAACAGCTTTTGGTAATCTCAAATACTATTCAGTAAATAATAATCGTTACCTACAAAATTTATCTTATTATGTATTTTCCAAATAATTTTCATGAATTGTAGAATATTATTCTCATTTGAATAAATATAAATTGAAATTAAAAAGTATTTATCATTATCAAAAGTAAATTCTTAGAATGAGCTGACTGGAATTTTTACTTAATGAATTTTATATTACAATTTAATTATAAAATATATTTTTTCAGATATTTCATAAAAGCAAATTAGGAAAAGGTTATTCTGCAAATTTATTTATTTCTTCTTCAATTTTACTTAAAGATATTGCAGAAGATTATAAATAAATTACTCGTTTATCACCTACTTTTATTCCAAAAAACCACATACCAGCACTATTTATAATTAAATAAATACTTTCTAATTACATATTGATTAGATTTGTTTAAATTTTCGTAGACTTATTATAGAATTCTAAAATTTTCTGATGATAATTTTTAAATATTCAATAATGTTGAAATTTTTGAGGCTAGATTGATTCCATTAAAATATATATATTTTATACTTTCTTATTTTTAATTAATTTCAATAGACATTTCTAATTTATTTGATATTTTTTCAACATTTTTAGACAAAGCAATATTAACTTTCGTCATATTTGAAAAATCTTCAATTATATCAGTTGTTATAAAAACAAACATTTGTTTTTCTAAAAATGTAAAGAAATGTTTCTTTTATTAGTTTAAGTAAATAATTTAAGGATTGAAATTAGTATCTTTTGTTAAATATTTAAGATTATTAAAATTTAGATATGCCAATTATGATTATTCATATGATAGAAATAATTTTTAGGCTACTTTTTATTCTGAGGTTGACCAAGATAATCCATTACCATAATATTGTTCCTTTATTAATAATGCAATTTTATGAGGTATTGTTGAATATATAAAATATCCATTTTAAAATACTAAAAAATCTGTTATTAAAGGTTCTATTTATCTTAACATTGTTAACAGATATTAAAGTAATAATAGATTGTTTGCATCATAAGCATATTTATAAGATTGAGTTTAAAAATAAAATAAATTTAGATAAGAACTTGTTCTTGCATTACATTGAATCCATCTCCATGTATATTAATCTAATTATGATAAATCTAATCCATAAAACAATGAAAAATTATTGATATAATTTTCAGCTACATTTGTATATAAATGTTTTGATAAACTATAATGAAATTTATTGCATTCGCTAAAAAAGTAATCATCAGGAATAACTTTAACTTTTGGTATTTTTAAATGAGCTAATGTCATAAAGAGAAAAAGATCATTTCTCATTTAACATATAATGTGTGTCTGAGATTCTAAGTGAATTGTCTAAAATTTCATTTCACATTCTTTAAAATCTGATTCCAATTACTATTGCATCATTTATTAATAGAACTAAATTATTTGAAGAAGACAAATATCCCTTCAGCCATTCCAGTTTATAGTCTTTTTTCTTCGATATTTGCATTTTACGGAAAATAGGAAATTAATTTTGCATCTTATTGATCGTTTTTATATTTTTATTTAGATTACTTATTCAGATGGTTTTTGAACTTTAGGAACTGCCAAAAGATTAAACATAAATAAAGCTTTCAATTAGAAATCGAATATAGTTGATCCTAATTCATCTATTTAATAATTAATCAATCAAATAATATAAAAAAAATGGATATCATTTTATTAACATATTGCATACAGGACAGATAAAAGAATGCTAAATATGATTTATTAAGCATTCGTAATGAAATGAATGTTCAATATTACATTCTAATTAAATCATGCATTCTTTTTTCTAAATAGGATATTAACATAATTAACATTTGTTATTAATTTAATCAGAAATCTTTTACTTTTTGTATAATAACTTTTTGAGTCGATGCCTTTGAAATCTCTTAGTTAATTTCCCTATTGATATTAATATTATGATTATAGGATATAAAATTGGTGTGATTAATATGTATGAATATTTTATTATATACTTAATATTTCTTTTTATTGAAAATCCCATAAACGTAATCATTAATATTAATTCATCAATCTAAAAATAGTTTTAATAACAATTAATTATCAATAAGAAAATAACTGAAAGCAAAAGAATAAATTCTAATAAATGTTCGATTGTTTGCATTATTAATTGACTAAATTCTAACTTAGTCAGTATTTCTGGAAATAATGTTTATTCATTTATGTTGTTGATCTCATTTATTTAAGTATAATTCTCAATTCCAGTCAAATCTTAAAGTTCTTAGTCTTTTTCTAAATTTTATGTAACATTTTTCCATAGAGCAATGATAATATAGTTTTAATTGATTAAGTTAATTTATGAATAGATTTAGATAGCTTTGAGTAAGTGTAAAAGGAATAAAGAAATTATCCATATATCATAGTAAAAATTTAATTTTAAATGGTTTTACTCTAAATCATCAAAATTTCCAAGAAATATTACAAGAATTATAAAACAAAATAGGCAAGAAAACTTGAATTATTTATTGATCTAAATTTTGAAATGAAGTATTTTCTCTTAAAATTGCTAATTCGAGTCTTGTTTTATCAAATTTAAGGTTGCTAAATCATTTTACATGATAAAAATTAATAATTAATTAATTTCTTATATTGAATACCTTTGAAAGATTTGGAGTGATATTCAATAGCATTGAACTTTATGAAAATTTACCTTAATCTACATAGATTTCTATTAATTCATTTTCATTATTATATTATCGATAATTAAACATTTAAGATTGCCTTTTTGTTTACTCTATAGATTCAATATAAGTCTGAATAATAAATTATGAAATATGAATTTACTTAAAGTATGATAGTATTATAACATTTTAACATCTCTTTAAAGTATTTTACTATATAAAGTCTCTAGAAATTAATTATTAATATTTGTTTTATCTAAGTATTGTAACTATAATAAAAAAGATCATAAATGAGAAGAGTTTAATCAGCTGCCCCAAATTTAGGTAAAATAAATAATGATATTTTAGAGTTTTCTATGGAGGATATGTTTAAAATAGCTACAAAATAAACATCTGCTTTTGGAATAGAAGGATATGAAGTTGCTAAAAAGTATGTAGACCCATTAAAATAAATGGAAGAAAGAAAGTTTTCTGCTTAAAAGAAAGGTTATATATTTGTAAATTCTTATTTTAGGTTAAAAAAATTTAGGTTATGTGACAAGAAGAGGACATTATTTAGAAGATCAAAAGAAAATTTATGAAAAATTACCAGCTCCTAATAAATATGATATTGTTAAACCTTGGGTTATTTAAGCTCAAACAACTCGTTCTAGATCAGCTCCACCAAAAAGGTTGTTTTATTATTAATTATTAGAACAACTTTTATTGATTAAATATTTAAAGAAGCAAAATTAAGAGGAGTTCCAGGATCTGGGAAATATAATATTGAAAAACCATTAGATGAAGTATTAAAATAAGTAGAAGAAGAAAAAAAGAAAAAAATTGAGTATCATAATTATAATGAATTATAAGAGCATTTGAAAGACCAACTTATTTAAATGAAATATAACATTTAGCAGTTATCAATCCTGGACCAGGAAATTATAATCCAAGAGTATTATTATATTTTAATTTTTATTAAGCCAATATCAAAAAAATTAAAGAAAAATGAAACTAAACCAGCTGATTTTATAACAAAGCATAAAGAGTAGGCAAAAAAAAGAGGAAAATCAGCATTACCTGATGTTGGTTCATATAATCCAGAACCTCTTTCATTTACTACATTTAATAAATTATAAGTAAATTCTAAGAAAAAAGAAAAAGTAGATAAACATGTAAATTATTAAAAATTAAGTTAGACTTTTGGAACTGATACAAGATTCAAAGATCCAAAAAAGAGTAAATCAAAATAAATTTTGTTACCTGGACCTGGTCAATATCCTATGATTGTATAATGGCAAGGCAAAGAACAAGATAAATCAAAAGCAAAGATCAAAAATTATATGCAATCAACTACAAAGGGAATACAGAGATCTATATATTATTGATATTAAGATTATAATTTTTATATATTTTTTAAATCTTAATTGAAATTATTAAGTGTGTTTATATTTAACAATTATACTAGAATCATATTTCAAGCTTTTTAAGAGCACTATGAAAATCTTTTATAAAATAAGCTAAAGTGCAAGTTAATGCATCTATATCCTCATATTTGTCAGGATTAATGACATCAAGGTTTTTATTGATTAATTATAAAATTTAATTTAGATATGATTTCTTGAATGATCTTGTTTTAGTAGTTTACAAAAATAAAGCTAATATAAAATTTAAATATTTACGAAATTATTTTTCATTATCCTGCAAAAACTTAGATGCTTTATCCCAAAAATTTTAATCTTCGATTTAATATTTTTTGAAATCTTCAACTATAACTAGAAAAACATAAATAACATGTTTTATTGATTCAGGAATTTCATTTTGTTGAATTAGATCACTCACAAAATTCATTTCAATAATCTCAAATGAATCTATAGTCATAGTTTTAAATTCTATAGGTAAAATAATTTCTTCATCTATTATTTCTATTTCTTATTAATTTTCAAATTATTAAGAATCAATTCTTTAAATTTAAGTATCAAAATTTTAAGAATATGCCTCACTTTCATCAATATGTTATAATGAAACTTATTATTAATCTTTAATAGGTGATGTTTGTATTGATTAATAGTTTTCAGATTGAGTTTCTTCAGCATTATTTAATGAATTTTATTATGAAATTCCTTCTGATTTTTATCCATAAAATTATGATTTTTAACAATTTTTGGGACTAGAAGCTGCTTTTATTTATTAATCACTAACCAAAGTTAAAGATTATGATGGACTTTTTTTTAATCCAATAAGATCTTTTGATGAAGAAGAACGAGATTTTTGTTAACTGTTCAATTTAATAGGTTAAGTATGATTGAGTTATTTTTAAGATTCTTAAATTTGAGTTTTTAACTTTTTTGGATCAGGTAAAGCTTTCATTGCTTCTTAATGTTTAATCTAATTATTTTTATTATTTAAAGATTTATCATTAGATTAAGTAATATTTTATTAACTATTCTATGATTAAAATTTTGGTTTAGATGTAGATAACTATTTATGATCTTAGATTTTATCTCTATCTTATTCTAATTTCTTCATTTAACTTTTTATTATAGTAGCATCTGGTTTCTATGCCTAAATTTAATTCTATTACGATGAATACTAAATTGGATTAGTTGTTTAATGTTTCTAATCTTTTCTGAAGCATTTTTGTTATTCTGATCCAAATATCTTAGATTCTAATTATTAAATTCTTTCTTATTATTATTCAACTAATTTTTCTAACCTTTCAATTTTTTCAGACTATTCTTGAACAATTGATAAAATTGTTGCCTCTATCACTTCCTTTATTTATAACTTAATATCACTATCAGACATTTATATTAGTTATTAAAATATAAATTATTAACTTTGATAAATTTTATAATATTCTAATATTTGTTTTATATATGATAATCTTATAATATGAATCTTGATTTCAAAGTTTAATAATTTTATGTGTAATTATAAAAATCAAGCAGCTGTATAATTTCCTACTTAATGCTCAAGTTCTGCTACTTTTTATGTAGCTGCTATAATCAATTATTAGATTTGACTTTTTTCTTTTTTTATTTCTGTGATTTAACTTTACAATTTAGAATTCTCATCTTTTTATGTATTAATTGCCTAGTTTAATAGATCAATTACTTATCTCAAATCCCTAAGCATTGCATCAAGAGTTGGTTAAGTAGTATTCTTAATTTCTTCATTGTTATTTGTTATTCTTTATTTCATCAGATGTAACTCCTATTTTAATTGATCAATCTCATGCTTGTAACTTTATAACAATTCATTAGATAACTCTGTAACATTCTTTTTATTAATAAAATTATTTACATTAACTAGTAGCAAATGATTTTTAGCATTAGTGGCAGCTTCTTAATCTAATTTAGAACTATGGGGCTATTGTTATTAAATTTCAGACATTTTATTAAAATTATATTGAAAAAAATATTTAATCTCAATATACCCATCCACTTAAAAGTAAATAAAGGAAGTTGTTTTCCTTTTTTTAAAAAAAATCCATTATATAATATAAATTTTGTTTTAAATATTATTTCATTTCACAAGCATATTTAGAACGTTTCAAGTTATTTTTTGCTAGATTATTCCCTTTTGTCTTTTTTTTCTTTCAAATCTTTAAATTCACTTTAATCTTTTGCTTAATGATTTCTCTAAGATTTACTTTTTAATTTTTATTTGATTCTTCTATATTTAACTCCATATCTATGTTTTTTGTATTATTTTTCAGTTTAATAAACTTTATCACAATGATCACATTTTAATGAAACCTTCATCTTTACTGATTTCTAAATGGATTTTCCAATTTTCTATACAATTTTTTCTTAATTTGATTTTTGTTCTTCAATAATATTATTTTCTTATGGTATTATCTCAATTTAAAGTTGAGTATTCTTTTTTTCAGGAACTTTAGAAATGGGTTCTTAAATAATTGGAAGTTATTATTCAACTTCTACATTTTCAATTTATCCATTATTATTTGATATTTATGATTGAAGTGAATCTATTTATGAGGAAAGATCTGCACATTTTTCATATAACATCGCTACTGTTTAGAAATGTTAGGTTAATGTAATGTATTTCATTTTATTACAATATTTTAGATGGAATATGATGGCAAAATTTTTATACTACTTTTTCCTTAAAATAATTTTCAATATAATTTTAATTGGAATTTGTAAGAGTTAAAATATGATATATAGAAAAGAGAAAATTGTTTAAAAAGGAAAATCAATTATTAAAAGCTTTTATATATATAAATAATAAAAATGAGATAATAAAAAATATATAAATAATATTTAAAGTTAAAAATTTCAAGGATTATAATTAGGAGAATAAGTCATTTAATTATTTTAAGTTATGATTATACTTCTTTAATTTTAGTAAATTCTGCCTAAACTCTTTTCTTCCATAGATCTTCATTCATTTCTAAGAGTAATAATTTCTAATCAACTTCATCTTTTAATTTCTCTTCTTTTTCAACTTTGAGCTCTTTAAAAGAGATGAGTTTTTCTTTAATTTAAAGTTATTATTCTTTTTCTTTTAATTAATTTGATTTTTCTTACTATACATTAACAATTTTTTTTTCTTAATAAGTAATTCTATTTTTGAGAGATTGAATATTTTCAACCTCAATTTATAATTATTCTTATAGTATAAGTAATTAAGATTATCTTTCTTTAAGAAGAAGTTTATCTTTTTCAAGTTTTTACCAATCATTTAACAGCTAATTAAATAAAAAGAGAATATTTACTTATTTTTCTTTTTGTTTGATTTCATTTTCATATGATCTAATATTTTACATAGCTTCTCTTGCTTCTTTTAAATCAAAAATCATTTAATTTTGTGATTTCTCTAATCTTTAGATTTCTTCATTTAATGAATCTATCTTTTTTAATTTAAATGCTAATTCTTCTTGAATATCATCTCTTTCTCTTACAACCTTTTTTAATTAATATTTTAATTCTTCATTTTATTCAATAATTTTGATAAGATCTGATTTAATTCCTTAATTATCTTACAATAATAAATTCAATTCATTTGATCGTTTATCTAATAAACTTTTAGTAATTTTGAGTTCTTCTCTTAACAATTTGAGATTAGTATTTTCTTGTATACTAAAATAATCAGATGTAGATGTTTCATTTAAATGACTTTATTATTTATGAAATGAATCTCTACTTCTTCTAACAACTTCTGTTTATGATGTTTCTAAATAAGAGGAACTCCTTTTAGGTTCAGTAATTAATTTTTTTTGATGAGTAGATATCATTTTTTTAATGAAGCCTATTCGATCCATAATCTAATAAGAGTGTACCATATTCTGTTTCATAATAATTATATTAAATAAGCATATGTATGTGATTATTTGAAATTAAATAAAATCTTTTTTTATTATTCATGGGTATTTCAAGAGATAGTAGACACAAAAGAAGACTTACAGGTGGTCGTATGCCAATCCATAAGAAGAAACGAGCATTTGAAAAAGGAAGATAAGCAGCTATGACTAAATTGGTATCTGGAGAAAAAAGAGTTAGAAGATTAAGAGTTAGAGGTGGAAACTTTAAATTTAGAGCTCTTCGTTTATCAGATGGAAATATCTCTTGGGGTAGTGAAGGTGTTGCAAAAAAATCAAAGATTGTTGAAGTTGTTTATCATCCATCAAATAATGAATTAGTCAGAACTAAAACACTTACTAGAGGTGTTATTGTTTAAGTTGATGCTACTCCATTTAAATAATATTATTTAAAAAAATACAATATCGATTTAGGAGCAAAAAAGACTTAAAAAAAAGTATTTTTTATTCATTTAATTATATAGGATTAACCACCACCTTAAGACGTTAAAAAATCTAATTCATTAAAAAAAAAACTTGATGCTAGATTGAAAGAAAGAATTATTGATAATTTAGTTGCTGAATAATTCTAAAATCAAAGACTTTTAGTCAGAATTACATCAAGACCAGGATAATCAGGTAGAGCTGATGGATATATTCTTGAAGGAAAAGAATTAGAATTTTATATTAAAAAGGTCGAATAAAAGAAAAAATGAGTTTTTCTCTATTCATAGTACATTAGTAATCATGTAATATTTCTTATTTTCCTACAATATATTTAATAATTAATATCCCTATTGCTCATCTTTTTTTTTTATCCTATATTTTCATCTCTTTTTTTATATTTAATTCTCTTTATTGCAAATATATTACATCTTCCATAAAACTCCTATCATTTTTCCAAGTCACTATTTTTTTATATATAATTAGCCTTATTTCATATTAGATAATTTTAAATATTAATTAAATAAATCTAAAAATTCATAATTTACTTTATTGATATTTATTTATTTTTTAACAAAAATGAATTATATATTAAATCAACAATATTAAAAATTCTAGTTGTTTTTATTTATTATAGTGGTCTTATATCTCAAATTATTAGAAATAATCCAAGTGCTATTAAAAACCATTCTATTTAACTCTTTAAAATATTAGGTTTGATTCGTTAAATATATGGGGTAATTATATATTCTATAATAAAATAGACTGACCATTCAAGAAATTCCTATGACTAAATATACTAATATGGATTTTTACCTTAAATGATTATTTAATAAGAATGATAAATTTGGTATTGCATCAATTAGAATTCTACCAATTCAATTATATTAGAAGATGGTTTAGAATCCTCAAAATATAAACCATTATAAATCATACTTAAAAATTCCCTTCTAATAAAATTTTATTTTAACCATTTGTTCTTAATATATATATTCATAGATAAATTATAAATTAATTTTATTAAATTCTGATTAAATAAAGTTATTTGATTATTTACCTAAACATAACTTAATTTTGCATATAATGGTAAGCACAAATGAATATTGTTCAATATTTATACCTGAATAATCAGATTTAGAAGCTTGGAAAGCATTTTAATATTTATTGGATTAAAAAGATACCAAAATTAGTAATAAGTTTTTGATGAAGATTTGGTTACTTTATTTAAATTATAATTAAATAAGGAGAGGTTAATAGATCTTGAAAGAAAATAGGCTAATGCAGTATAATAGTTGATATTAATGAATGCAAAAGAGAAAGAGAAAAGTGGTAAGAAAAAATAGAATAAGGTTCAAATAATTCTGATTATTCAGGTACTTAAAAGGGAATTATTATAAAAATAAATAATCAAATGATTGAATCTAAATAAGATTTGAATGATTCTTAGCTTTATATTAATTTTTTGATATTTTCTTTAACTTATTATGATTAGTGTTATAAATTTAGTTTTTGTTCTAAAGTGATATTATTTTTCTTTATAATTTAGTATTGTTTTAATAAAATTGGATATTGCGGAAATGAGTTTGAATTTTCTGAAATCAAATTCATACATTTATTAATTAATCTTAATATTTATTCATTTGTATTTTATTAAAGTTTTTTCTATTTATTAATAAGGTACTTAAGTGTTTTTGTAGTAATATTTTGAGTTTTATTTTAACATGATATTGAATAGAATTGAGTAGTTTATATATTTGAGGATGAGATAGAATTAGATTTATGAATAGCATTATAGCAACCAGAATCAGTATGAAATTTTTATTATTTTTTTGATGTACAAATTTAACTTACTGATTTAGTTTTAGATTATCTATGCATTTTAATATATTCTATAAGATTACGTGTTTATTGGTTTCTATGAATTCGAGCATCAATTTAGCTAGATTTAAGAGAAGTTGAATATTTTTGAATAAATTCTAATTTAGAAATAACAAATTCTCTACTTACCATTGACAATTCTTAAGCCATAGTTTGAATGATGGGAATGAAAATATGAAATTCTTGATCAAAAGCAGCACATTAAGTTAATATTGACTGCATATTATTTAACGAACAAATAATAATGAAAGTATGAAACTCACGATTGCGTCATTATTATAATAATGAAATATTTAGGTTTAGTTTTACTATTAGCAACAGCTTTTTGTTAGAGTAGATTAACAGTAGATGTATATACAGAATCTTTATGTCCTGATTGTATGGAGTTTTTATTGAATTCTTTAACAGAGGCAGTTGATACTCAAGATATTGAATAGATGGTACATATGAGAGTAGTACCATATGGAAATGTTAAGAGGGTATTTAATTAAGCCACTGGAAGATGGTAATTCACATGTTAACATGGAGCTGTAGAATGCTATGGAAATTATATCTAATTATGTGGTTAGAGTATACTGGCATAGAAATACCCTACAAATAATGAGATTCTTTAAGTTTAATGGGCTATTTGTATTGATAAAAGAATATTTAAGCCATATACAAATACTCGTTTTGATGAAGCAGCAAGTCTTTGTGCAGCTGATTTCGGTATTTCAGGAACTGCTATTAAGGAATGTGCTAATGTATTATTAATTAATATTTTTAGAATGATTAAGGTTATAAATTACATTTAGCAGCAGCTGAAGAAACAGATGGACTTTAACCAGCACATTAATATGTTCCATGGATAACGACAAATAAGAAACATAGTGTGACTGATGAAAATCTTATTTTAGAAGATTTAGTTACTTGGGCATGCAATAATTACAAAGGTGTAAAAATTGATGCTTGCACTACTAGAAGTGCATGATTAATATAAATAACAAATTAATCATATAATGAAATTTTAGTCTGGTTTTTTTATCTTGTGTTTAGACCTAATCTCTCAATTCTTATATATTACAATAGATTTTTAAAACATTCTTTTAACTAATCAGTTGTATATGGTAAAACGTCATACATCTTTGGAGTATATTCCTTAATTTGAAACATACAGGGTTTTATCACCACTTATTATTATTATTACTACCCCAATTCTGGAAGTCTAATCTTTAATGGGTTGATAGATGATCTAGATATTTCAGTTAAAGATCTTTTAGTCTTATCACATTTGGTTATAATAGCTTTACGTGAATTAGGTTCAACAGAACTATAATTAATATCATAATCAGGTAATGTAGGTAATTGCTTTCCTTTAAGTTTCTCTTAAGATGATCCAAAAGCTATTGGAGATTTCAATTTCTTTTTGGTTTTTCTCTATAACCATAAACGACTATAATCTTAAGGTTATCTAACCACAAAAGAATTAAACCTAAATTTAACATTAGTGAATTCAGAGTTTTGCATAATTAATAAATATAAGTATATATTTTCATTTCTTTTTTTTCCCTTTCTTTGTAGATTTTTTTGGTTTTACTTTATCAACATTCTTTTCAATTTATTCTAATTATTATTTTTCAATTTCAACCTTCTCCTCTGCTATTACCTATTATTACTATTAAATCTACTATTCCTTTTCAACCTAATTATTTTATTCAAATTATTATTTCTATAATTTCATTAATTCATCTCTTAATTATACTGTCTATTTCTCAATCTCTTCCCCTTTCATTTTCTTTTCTGCTATTCCATCTTCCAATTTTTATTATTCATCCTTAAATTTTTACTCTTAAGTATCTAATTCCTTTTATAATCTCTCAAATTCCTATTCTAATTCCTTTCTTTTCTAATATACAACCTAATAATCATTTCTTTAAGTTTCTAACTCCTATTATTTTAATTATTTTGATCTCTCAAAATCAGCTTACTTGTCTTCTATATTCTTTTTCTTCTTCTCTATCTAATTTAATAAATCAGTAATTCTCTCTTATAATCCAGCTCTTTTACCTTACTCCTACTATTTAATTCTCTCCATCTCCACTATTACTTATTATTTCTTATCTTCTATCTACAATATTTCCTTCTCTAATGATGATAATTTATCTTTTGCTATCTATATTTTCTTCTATTCATATTTTAATCTGTATATCTCAGTTCTAATCTTACTTGGCTCCTTCTCTTCTAATATCTTTTAATTTCTCAATAATATTTTTTATATCCTATTCAAACAACATAATGATAATCTATTTCCAGTTACTTATAAATCTATTATCACTTAATTCTTCTCTACTATCTCCAATATTAATTTCTCTACTTTCTCACTTATATAATTATCATTTGCCTTCAAATGAGTAAAATTTGTAGATTCTCCTATAAATGTTAAAAATGTCATAAACTAATTTATTCTATTTTATATTATATACCCCTTAATCTGCAACTCTACTTGATGATACATCCAGTTTCTCCATTATTCTATTATTACATAACATTATCATTGATTCATCTCCTAATAAATTCTTTGATAAATTTAAAATCTTTATCTAACTATTCGGTAATACATCTGCCAAATATCTTATCCCATCAGGTGTTATATCATTCAAAGATAAATCTAATTCTGATAAAGATTCACTTTCATATATTGCAGCTGACAAAACCTATAATCCTTCATCTCTTATTTGATTCCCTCTCAAATTTAATGAAACCAATCCAGATTATTATTATATTATACCATTTGCCAAAAATTCTACTCCTTTTGGACCTAAATCATTAAATTCCAAATTTAATCTCTTTAATGTCCTATTATTCATCAAATAATCCTAAAACTTAATTGTTGGACGTATATTATTCTTAGATAAATCCAAAGACTCTAAATTTTATCCATTCATTAAAATTGTTTCTATTCCTGCTATTTTTAAATCATTTTCTGCTATCTTTAAATGCTTTATGCTCTAATTAGTTTTCAAAGCTTATCCAATAAATTCTCCACCAGCTGTTGTTATTACATTATCCTACAATTTTAATGTTTCAATCTTTTTATTTGACAATAACAATTAAGCTATATGTTTTGCCCCTTCAAACCCTAATGCATTTTTCCTTATACTCCCTTCCAACACTCCTAAATCTAAAGATTTCAATGTTTAATTCTTGCATAGATCATCTATTATTTATCCTAACCCAATGTGACTTATCATATTCGAAGCTAAATTCAAATTCTTTATTTATGAATTAGCCAATAAAGTTTTTATTGAATGAACTGCATAATCCCCTAATGTATTATCTGCTAAATTTATTGTTGTTTAAATAGGCTTTTAATTTGCTAAGGCTATCAAAGTTGTAACTCCTAATCTCATTGAATATAAATTCAATACATCTGGAAACTTTTTAGAATTGATCTTATTGAATTCCTCTTTGAATATTTTTGCCTAAATATTATTTATTCATACTCTTTCTATTGATACTGTCTCACCTGTATCATGACATCTTGCATTAAATAATTCTGCTTGCAATTCATCCAAAACCAAAAATGCAGGATTTTTCTAAAATATCTAAGGCAAATTCGATGGATCACCACCATATGCTATCACCTTTTATTATTTTAAAAACTCAATTTCTTTCGTATACTCATTTGTTGCCAATTTTGGCTTTGCTGTTTAAGGTCTCATTAATTTTTAATTATAATAAACATTTTTATAATATTTTAAGAATCAATATTACTAGTCTCATATATCTATTATATTCCTCATAAACTTTAATTCTTTCTCATATTTTTAATTATTCTATTACTGCCAATATTCCTAATTTTATAATTGATCAAATCATATACTCATTGTGTTTATATATATGAAATAAATTTTAAATCTATCTTTATATATAGTATAAATCCAACTTTCTTTTTAAATTCACTTAAATAATTTAATTTTGTATAATATTAATTTTCTGGAAGAATAATAATCATTAATTTATTATTAATTCACAAATTTGTTTAACTAAAAATTGTATAAAAAATTTCTTATTAGGTATCATTAAAGTTAAGTGTTAAGAAAGATTTAATTAACAAATCTAATAAATAAAATATTTAATAAATTTTAAATAAAAAATAAAAGAATTTTATATTGTTTTTTATTCTAGTCACTTTAATGGATAAGGATAGATGATTTGGATTGATTATAAAGATTTATAATGTTAAGGTTAAATGATAAAATTAATTATATAATATTTATTTCAATAATAATTGTAAAATCACCAATCCATTTGTTGTTTGTCTTCAATTTTAGTTTGGAGCTGATTCTTTTTAGTAGAAATTTTTTCTCTATCCCTACTATTACTTCTATCTCTTCTAGAATTAATTAATTTAGGGCAAAATTTTTTGATATGTCCATTTTATTAACAATTATGACATTCCACTAAGAAAATTAATAGAATTAAAATTTACTTTTAGAGTCTCTTCCTGTTGTTCTGGATTAGTCTCTAGTTTATTTACATTCATTTGCATTATGTCCACGCTTATTACATTTGGAACAATTAATATTATCTAAAAAAATAATAATAAGAAATATAAATTACAGGAAGAATCTTCATTTTTGACTTTTTCTTCTTTAGTTTTTTCTTTTTTGACTTCCCATTAGTAATTTAATTGTTTTATTCTATCATTAGCCTCTGGAATTGGTGGTTTAGTTCTTTTAACATAATCTTTATATTCTTATGTTCTAAAGTTTTTTTTAAACCATAAGATTAAATCTTTGAGATTATTTTACATAACAGAATGAAAACTAAGACCTTCAGGTTTAACTTTGATATATTCTTTTTCAACTTTATGTTTTTATTTCATGTACATAAGTACAATATATTATGGTGCTTTATCAGTAACACAAAATCCATAAGGTATAATTTCTTCATCTCTTTCTTTGTCTTCTCTAAGTTTTTTTTCTAATTAATCCATTTTAAAATTATAGAATTTTTTATTATTAACAACAGCTTCCATATGTAGATTACAAGGTGTAATATAGTTTTCATAGATTTCATCAAAAGATTCATAAGTTTTGCCATTCAAAACAAGTTAAGGTCTATAACTTTAAGCAGATTTCAATTCTTAAACATAGAGATGAGCAATAACACCTTCATGGAATTTCCAGGTAATAGTTAAATGATCTCTAAGTCTTTGATTAGGTCTAATAATATATTCTCCAATAGGTTAACTTTCAATATATTCGAGAGCACCTTTAAGTAATACTTATTTAAACTTAGGATGATTAATATTTCTAAGAATTAATTTTTATTATTGTTTTTATTTATTTGGCATTTAATCTAACGGTATAGTAGATTAATCAAATTCTTTAAATTTACTTTAATCAAATGTTTATATAACTTTGTTACAATAATCATCATAACAAATATTTGTATAAGGCCAAGGATCATATTTAGGTGGTTTAAGATATTCTTAATCCCATCTTTGCCAATCCGCTTTTAAGGATAATTCAATTATTAGTATATTTATACTCTCATTTTTATTATTATTTTCTGTTGCAGGTATTCTTTTTACAAATGCTTTAATAATTTATCCAATACCAAATTCTTATTATAACATATCTTCTTTTCGAAGAGTACCACATAAACCATTATCTGAAAGTTTTATTAACAATTTATCACTGTCCTTACTCTTATCTTTACTTTCAAGTTTTTTAGTTATTTAACCTTAAACTATACTATTCTTACGGAATGTATATGGTGATTCTTAAGTTATAGCATAAAATATTTCAGAATTACTCATTTCTTTGTTGGCAGTATCAAATTTATATAAAAAGGGATTTGTTAATTCTTCTTTCATAAATTAAGCTACTAAAGTGAATTTTTCAGTTCCATCTTTTTATTCTCTTTATTTAGCCCAATCTTCTAATTGAAGATCTTCCATTTTTTAAGGTTAACTCATTAATTATCTTACAATAGTATTTTATTTATCATCTCTTCCACCAACTTCTAATGCACATTTAGCTATATGAACAGCATCTGAATACATTTTAATTTATAATCTTGTTATATCCAAAGGTTGAATACCTCTCTATATTTTAATAAATCCTTAAACATTTTTAAATACTACTTTTTTAAGAATCTAAGTCTTAAGAATATCCTATCTTTAGATTTAAATATATTCCTTTTAATCTTATTCTAATTTTTAATAAATGAGTCTTTCATCTTCGTAATTATTATTAAATAAACTCTTACTCAATAAACCTTTAACCATACTCAATAAATGTTATGCTTATCTTCTTCCAAGGCCATTAACAAATTAAATTTGATCTGCTAAATGTTTATGCAAAGCACAATCAACTAAATCAACTCCAACTTAATTTACAATTTCAGTAGCGGTCTATTTAAGTGCATCTAATAAAGACTATTAACTCACCATTGATTATAAAGGATGTAAATTTAAATGTAAACATCCATTTTTATCAATAGAATCACTCCACAAATTAAGAACTTCAGCCATTGGATTAAGTTTATATCTTGCTAAAGATATAGCTTCCTTAAGTATGGGCGGAATATCTGGTAATTAAGAATTACTCTTTTCACTCATACTGTAAATTCTAGAGATTTATGAATCTGCTAATGTTATCCAAACAGATGATGTTTATTAATATTTTTTACGTAAATCAACTCTTAATCTTAAACAATCAGAATGATTTGCTGATATAACAACAAGATCTGGTTTATATTTTTCAAAGAAATTATCAAGTAATGCTTATTCTTTTCTAATTTATTCTATCATATCAGATCTTCTTTCATCTTATGCTAAATAATTAAATATTTATAAAGTTTATTATTCTCCTTTATAATCAATAATTGACATTCCAATATATTTTTTTTAGATTGAACAATCTTGAGAATAAGCTTTAAGTACTTTAACATCAGTTTATTCTAAACCAATAACAAGGGACATAATTTTAACATCTGGATTATTAGTTGATTAGATTTATTAATTATTTGCAACTTCATTATTATGAGGTTATTTATTAATTAGTTATTTAAATTTCTATTAACACATTTTAATAATATGTTTAGAAGAGACTAATTATAATTTATATTTAATTTATCCTTCTAGAATAGGATACCATATTTCTTATAAGATACCTCTAAGAATGAGATCTCTAATTCTCATAATACTTTCTGGTTCTTTATCATCAATTTTAACAAATTTATCATATAACAATACCATAATATCATCTCTTGGGAATTTCTCTTTTTTATGATCTTTCTCTTTAGAAATAGTAAAATTAATTTAAATATATCCTAATTATTCTGCTCTAAGACATTACATCCAAGTTTAATCTTCCATATATTTATATTATCTATATTTAATTCTTTTAACAGGATAGAAATAACTTACAGCAGTAATTTCCCTATTACCTAATTAAGTTGGTTCAGTAGATATAAGGAGATGTTCTCTATAAATTTGACTAATAAAGTTTCTGATAAATGGATGATGATACAATTCCATCATCAAATATTTTTATAATAACTTGATATATTCAGTACTAGAATTATAAAATTTAGATTCTGAATTATCTTATTAGTGATTCAATAACTCTTCTTTATCTTAAATAATCTTTCTATCCAATTAAACACTCCTTCCTTATAATTTAATAAAGAATTCATCTGATGTGTAACAAAATTTCAATGCTGTTTCATCTACTTTCTATCTAATATATTCCAAAATTGCCTTCTCTTTTGAATGAGGTTTCTTCCTTGTATTCAAACTTAAATTCTATAATTCTTACTACATATTATTAATCTTTATATTCAATAATTCTTATTCCTACTCTATTGATTAACCAGAATTCATTCTCTATTGTAATTTCTAATTCTCTCTCAATAATTCCTATTCTAAAAACACTCTTTTTTTGCAATTATCTTTCAACATTATATAATCTATGTAATCTTTTAAATCCTATAATTCTTCAATCTCTTTTGCTTTCTATAAGTAAATATTAGCTGTATCTTTTTATATTTAATAATCTCCAGATATTTGATCTATTAATTTAGATATTCTATTCTTAAAATTACTAAAATTTTCCCATTCATAATCCAGTTCTCTGATTTTCCAGTAATGTTCTAATTAAAATGCTTATGTTATTAAATGGCGTTTATATGTATATATATACATTATGTCTAAATTCTCCTTTCTATAAAAATCTAAAATCAGTTTAATTCCAACCAAAATATCTGGTAAGTTTTTTAAATCAAACTATGAATACATTCTCTCTCCTATCCATTTCAATTATTATTCTGATGCTTCCTCTCTTGCATTCTATAATATTTATCCATTTGTCATTTTCATATATGATAATTATATTGATTCTGGCACATCTTATTTTAATATCTCTTCATCAATTTAATTCAAAAATGCCAACTCTCTCTAACTAGGATCAAACAATTTATTTATTAATTCATTCTATTCATTTTCATCTATTCCCTCTACTGAAAAAGCCTCTTACTGTTGATCTCCTTGTTCCTCTTCCTATTCCACTTCCTCATCATCGTTTTATATTCTCTATAATCTTCCTAATTTTGATTCCCTTTAATTCTCATTTATTAACATTATATCATCATCTGATAATTCTGCATCATATGATTCATCAGCCCTTTAACTATTTACATTATACTTACACTTCTTATCCTTCCTCATCAATATCTTCATCAGAATCAACTACAAAACCATCTTTCTAATAATCACTTACTTCTTCCTCTTCAGATGATTCTACTTTTTATTTCCCTTTTCCCATTTTTAATAAATTAATGCTTTTTTTATAAATGCTACTTCAATTTATATTACTAAACTTTTACACTCATATTAATTTATTTTTTATCCAAAAAAAACAACATCTAACATCTATTCTTATCTAAAAGTATCTCATATATTAATCATTCTCTAATCCTCTTTCAAAAAACACTCTAAAACTTATTATATTTATTTATTCATTTTATTACTAATTATTACTATATATATTTAATTTTTCAACTCTAGAACATTATATTCATTAAACTTATTATCAATTCAAACAATCCAATCATCATAAGAAATACTTCAAGTATATCATTTATAAAGACTCATTCATTCAGGTAGATACCTTAAATGCTTGTATTAATTGAATCTTCAAATTCAGACATTACATTTAATTTATTCATTCATTAATCTATTCCTCTAAAAAATGCTATCAAACTTAGGAATTCAGAAAAAATTCATTGTAATCCAATTTTTTCATAATTATAAAAATAAACTTTCAATCAATGAATAATGAAGAAATCTTTTAACTTAAATAATTATTTCCTTATTGCAAAAAAATATTCATGATTTACTATCAAATATATGTAACAAAAATTAAGAACTAACTTAAATAAAAAAGTTTTTATCATTTATCATCCTAATTATTAAATTTAAGAAATTCAATAAGATCAAGAATATTGCAATATCAATAAAACTAAATTTATCTAAAGTTAATTAGATATTTGGAGAAAAATAACGATTCATATGAATTATGTGAAAAATCTGATCATAGTTGAAACTATTTAAGTGATATACTTTTCAAGTTGAAGAGTAAATGTTACTAAAACTGATAATAATAAAATAAGCTCTACTACGATAAAATCCTTAGATGCATAAGACAGATTATCGAAGACAAATCGCGTGTCTTATTATTGAAATAATAATTAATTAGATATTCTGTTGTTTAATTTAGGCAAGTCTTTTTCATTTAATTAATACAATAAATATTTTCTTTTATGATTCCAAATAATAATACTAAATAATCTTTCCAAGACTTGACAAAAAAGATTATATTAGCTACCAATATTCTCGTTAATAAGATTGAAATTAAGGCGCACGAATATTAGACTTTTTGGGAATTACTTAATGAAGGTTAGGATAATGCTTCTATTTATGTTCTTGAATTATTAAAAATTATTGATTAAACTGAATATAAAAGAAAAAAAGAACCATATAGTTTAGAAAGCTTACTAGCTACTTTGTTAACTATTAGTATGTTTAAAAATGTTGAAAATGTTAAAAAATAAAAAGATTTTAAGGAAGTAAAATAAAACTGGGATCATCATATTGTTAGCGCTCATAAAAAATAATAATTAATGAATCCTTATTCTATATCAATAGTGTGTAATTTACACTTTATTTTTGAATCTTAATAATAAGAAGATACAAATTTTACAGGTTTCTTAATAGGTGCAGTTGCATTTATGCCTGATTTATTTAAAGTTGCGAAGCCAGAAAATATTGAACTAATGTATGATTCTTTGAAATAGCATTATTAATTGGTTGAGTAATATGGTAAAACAGTAAGAGTTAAAAATGATTCTTTTTATAATTTATTATTGGATGAAAGATTTGATCTACAAGAAACTGGAGAATTTATGTTTTGCTATGAATATTTAATTAAACAAATAAGAACTAAATATAAAAAATCAAGCAGAGTTTATTATGATTCACTATTAAAATATTTTAAGATGATTCCATTCATAGCTTAAGATTTTCCAGAATAAGCTGAAAAATCTGCATTATCATTATTACATATGACAAAATAATTGATTACGTTTTATTGTTGTGAAAGTGTTGATCTTTTGAAATCACTTCTTAATTAAATAGAAATATTTAGAAGATGGCCATTTCCAGTAGGAGTAATGGCAAATGAATTAGTTTAGATATTATATTAAGAATAAAAATCAAGAGGAAATGGATATAGAATGAAGATTAGAGAAGAAATTCCATAAGTTGATTTTTTAGATGATGATTAATTTTAAGATATTCAAGAATAAAGTAGTTTAGAATAATAGATTCCTATATCAGGATTGGCTTAACCAAAATAAGAATAATAAATATTATCTGTCTATGTGTTTTATGAAAATAGATAAAATAATGCAAATAATGTATTATAATATGCACAATTTGTTTTAAGAAATAAGAATCCAAATAATTCTTAATTATATACTGCAAATAGTCTAAGATGTTATATTTGTGCTTAAATATTGCAATTTTATCAAAAAAAAAATGTATGATTATTCATAATTAGTTCAGTAAGGGAAAAATCCTAGTCCTCAATTATCAGCATTTAAAGAAGTAGATATATTTAATTTATATTGTAAATTGCTGACAATAGTTGAGAAATGTGACAATTTGGATTCTATAGCTGACATAGAATTAATATATGAAAATGCTTTTGATGAAATAACCAAAGAATTGATAAAGCATAGTTAAGAACCAAATATGAATTAAAAAGAAGTTTAGGCAATAATGAATAATTAAGTAATTAATTTGTATTTAATTTTTAGTTATCAATTCCTGATTTTCCTTTGTTTTATTTTCATAATGTAATGTAAAAAAGTTTTAGTTTTACTGCTCCAAAGCAATCTTTTTTAAAATTAGATTAAGGATAGTTCATGGCTCCAAATTAATTAATTAAAGAATTTATTTAAAGAGCTTATGATAATTATATGCCTCTTCATACAGAACCATTAAGATTATTAGTAGTAGGATCAGATGCAGAATTATTTGAAGTATGTATGTTACTAGGAGAAATATATTTAAAGGATCCATTTTTATTGAGAACTTTGGATATTAGAGTTTTTATTGTTCCAACTAAAGATTGTGCTTTAGCATAGTTTCTTGCAATAAAAGATCCATGGTATTAAAGATATCTTTATTTACCATTTATGGAAGATATTCTGATTCCGAAATTAGAATCTATTAAAGAAGATAATAATAAATATATTTAAGAAGGCAATAAAGTACTAGGTTAATTGCCTTTAGAATAAAAAGCTTGGTGTTTAAATACATATTTAAGAGAAGGGAATAGAGCATATAATGTGAGAGTTTATAAATTAAAGATCTTTTAAAAAAACTTAAGTTATGGAGGAATAGCAATGACAGAGTAAATTTAAGGTTTAAATGCAAAACCTTCAAATTCAAATGATGGAATTATGAAAAGTACTCTATTCTTTTGTTCTTATGTAATGTTTGGTGCTATAGCAGAATTTGAATTACAAAAAGAGAAATCAAAAGATGAAAAATTATAGAAATTGTCATTTTATGATTTTAAAGAAAAAAATCTATGCAAATTTTAATATTTAAATATCAATATGTAAACAGAGTAAACTGATATGCTGGGAAATATTACTGCTAGTATTAATAAAGATGACAAGATTTAAGTCTAATTACATAATTGCAAAATTAATAATGTTTATACAGATTTTTTTGAGGGTAATATGCCTATGCCTCATACTGATTGGTTAGAGTTATCTTATATTACTTATGAGAATTCTAAACTCTTTGATAGTGGATTAAGATAAAAGAATATTTTTAAGAAACATTCTTAAGGTATTAATATTAATAATTAATTAAGAATCTATATAAAATGCATTTAAATCTTTATTTACTAATATTTCAATAACAAAGATTAATGTAGAGGAAGCAACAAAAAAACCTTTTTCAATAATTGTTGATGGAAATATTTACACCGATGTAGTTTAATTTAAGATTTGTAATACTCATATGAAAAAAGCAAAAATTGCATAAACTTAAAAAAAGAAGGAAAATCCAGTTGATTTAAGTTCAATAAAACATTTGAATTTGCCAGTGATGAGTTTTTTACCATTTAAAGTTTGAATAATTAATCTATATAAATAATTGTCATAAATTAAGAATTTAATTATAAAAATGAAATTACCAAGTATTAATAAACCAACATCAGCATAATCAGCAAATCGATAATTACCACCAAGGTAGAGTAATAATGCAATAAGCAATTTAGAAAAGAATTTATTTAATAAACTTAATGAATATGATGATTTAAATAAGATTGATAATAAAAAGGTATAGGTATCAGAGGTGAAATCTAATAAGAAAATAGAGAATTATAATGATGAAATGGAATTATTTGGTAAAAGATCAAATACATTTAAAAATTATAGTTAAACAGAAAAGATCAAAGATTCAAAATAAACATAATAAAAACAATAATAACAATAATAAGACACTGTGTTTCTGACTCATAATTAATAAGCTAAATCAGAGGAATCTAATAATGATTAAAATGATAGTAACTCTGATAGTAGTATTGAGGATTTATTATAGAGAAGTAAAACATTGGATAAATAAAAGAAAGTTATGTTAAATTATGAAGATGATAGTGAGGTTGGATAATTAAATAAGATGTTATTTTAAAGTAAAATTTAAAAAATTTAAAATTGATAGCTGATATTGATTTAGACGAATAGTTTTAAAGTATGTGTATATTGAAAAGAACTATATCATAGATGTAACAATCAATGAAATCTTTGGGATATGGAATTAATGAATAGTTGATGGATGATTTAAATTTAAAATATGAAGAAATGATTAAGCTGCAAAGGGAATCCTAAGTAGCTTAGTGAAATTAATTAGGCAATTGAAGAATATTAAATGAAAGAGAGCAATTAAAAAAATAAAATGCCTGCATTACGTTCAAACAGTGTAAATTAATAAAAAAATAAGAAAAAATGATGAATTATCATAGATCTTTAAAATTATTTTCTAATTATCTAATTAATCATTATATATTATATAATTATAACATTTTTATTTTATAAATAAAAATGTAAAATCCTAATATTCCACAATATGAGTTTGATATTACAATTTATAAGGATTATTTAAAGAATAAGATTATTGCATTACTTGAAACAATGCCAGGAAATAAACAATTAATATTAAGTTAGAGAGTGCTGCAATTATTGAAATTAAGCATAGAAAATAAATTGTTATAGGAGAGTGGAATAAAAAAGATTTTGACAATAGAGAACATAAATTAAATAGAAAATGATATTACTTAGATATTTATTATAATTCCACCTTAATTAGATGTAACAAGAAAAATTGCAAAGATGATAAAAGCTGCAAATGGACCTAACAATACTTATAAATTAGTATTTTGGCCATAGAGAACAATTTTAGCTAAGGAATTATTAGAATAAGAAGGAGTTTTAAGTAGTGTTGAAATTAAGGATTTTTCATTTGATTTGATTCCACTTGATTTGGATATATTGAGTTTAGAAATGCCTGATGCTTTTAGAGATATGATGATAGATTAAGATTTGTCAATTTATAATTATGTTGCAGATAGTATCAACAGAATATAGATTGTAATGGGAAATATTCCTAATATATATTGTAAAGGAGAGGGAGCGAAAATGGTTTATGATATTATAAAAGTAGAAAATTAGTAATCTGATTAAAATTAAGATTCATAAGAAGTGGAATCACTAATTATTTATGATAGAAGTATTGATTTAGTGACTCCAATGTTGACTTAGTTAGTTTATGAAGGATTAATAGATGAATAATTTGGAATAAATGGTAATTTAATTAGTTTACAAAAGAAGGTATTTGGAAAAGATGGTTAAGAAGGAGAAGAATATTAGACATTATAATTGAATTCTGAAAAAGATCCTTTGATTTATAAAGTAAGAGGATTATAAGTGGCATCATTAGCTAAATATTTATTTGAGTAAGCTAAACAATAGGAAATGGAGAAGAGTGAGTTTTAAAAAGAAAAACAGGCACAATTAAATGAGAAGATTGTATAATAGGCAAAGAAGATTAAACTAGAGTAGGAATCAAATTCAAGGCGTATTAAATTAAATGTATCTAGATCTAAACATAAGTGGAAAAATAGCTGAGAACATTAAAACAATTTCATTCTATAAATTATTGAGTTTAGAATAAGGAATAATTAATGGAGATAAAACAGAAAGAACATTAGATTATATAGAAGCCATGATTTAATTAGAAATGGATTTAAATAAAGTTGTTAGATTGTTAACTTTAAGAACATTAGTTGATGGAGGATTGAAACAAAAACCATATGATTATATGAGAAGAGAAATTATTCATGTTTATGGATTTAAAACTATTGCATTTCTAAATAATTTATCTAAAGCAGGATTAGTATATAAATCTGAGACTAAATAATTATTCTAAAAGTTATAAGATCAATTTAAATTACTTAATATAGATATCAGATCTGATGATATAGATCCAAAAGATCCTGCTTATACTTATAGTGGTCATTGTCCTCTTATGTATTTTTAATCTTATTTTATTTAGGGCACGTTTAACTGAAAAGATTTTTGAAAAAGGATCATGGAAACCTTTTAAAACTTAAATGCAATTAATTAATGGTTTTTAATTTGAACCTGAAAGACCTATCAAATTAAATATTCCTGGCAAAAAACCTATTGTAATTATATATATTCTTGGTGGTGTTACATATGGAGAAATTGCTTCTTTACGTTTACTTGGAAAACAATTTAATAAAGAAATAATTATTTGTACTACTAATATGACTAATGGTACAAAACTTATTTAATCATTAAGAGAAAGGATTTGATAATTATATTGATAAATATAGAATTAAGCTGTTGTTTTTTACAATTATTATATTTATTAATGTAAACTCAATAATTATTTTTTGATTCTTCTAATACTAATGAAAAGAAATAATGGGTCAAACTTGACCTTATCAAACGTCCTATTTCCACTATTAGATTATTTGAAGGAACTTTATTTATTAAGAGTAAAAAACAAGATTACTTCAAACCTAAATTTTTTAAGTTATTTTCTGATAGATTAAACATTTATAAAGTATATAATATCTTTGAATTTATTTTTAGAATGGAAGAGAATAAAAAGAAATTGCTGCACTTTTTTTAACTAATATTTATTTAGACTTAAGAATTTTACTTTAATCTGATAAAGACAAATTTCCTATAATTTTGCTAAATGGAAATCGAAAGGTGATTTTGAATGCTCGCTCTTAGGAAAGTCAAATTAAATGGATTGAATAATTCAAAAAAACTTGTATACTGAATAATTATAAAGACGTTTATACAAATATTAAAGTTTTAGGAAAAGGTACATTTGCAAAGGTAATTAAATTCATTAATAAGGTTATATTAGCCTAAAAAATGGAAAATAAATCCAAATTTGCAGTGAAGACTTTTTAAAAGTCAGCTTTAATGGATAAAAATAATACTTAAAGGGTATATCTAAATAAAATATTATATTAGTAAGGATTATTAAATGAAATAAATTTATTAAGATCTTGTGATCACCCAAATATCATAAAACTTTATGAAATTTATGAAAGTGGAGATTATATTTATTTAGTTATGGAATTCTCAGAAGGTGGAGAATTATTTGATTTAATACTTGAGACTGCTCTTTTTACAGAATCTAAAATTGCGTTAATCATGTTCAAAATATTTGATGCTTTAGAATATCTCCATACAAAAGTAATATTATTTAATTCTTAATAAAGAATATTATGCATAGAGATATTAAACCAGAAAATATATTATTAAAAGACAAATCAGAAAATTTTGATTTAAAAATAGCTGATTTTGGTTTAGCATCCTATACTGAAAGTGAAACAGTAATTAAAAGATGTGGAACTCCTGGGTATGTAGCTCCAGAAATTCTAGATGATTAAAAATATAATGAAAAAGTTGATGTCTTTAGTGCAGGAATTATTCTCTATATATTGTAAAATGTTCAATAATAATAGATTAACTGGATAAGCTCCATTTTATGGAAATAGTTTAGATGATGTGATTGAAAAAAATAGAGCTTGCTAAATCAATTTTAAAGACTTAAAAATATCTCAAGATGCTTTAGATTTATTACACAAAACCTTAGAAATAAATCCTAAATATAGAATATCATCTTTAGAAGCATTGTCACATCCATTTATATCTAGATTATATAAAAGACAAATTAATAATATGGATGATATTCCATTAGATGAATTACCAAATGATAATTATAGTGCATTTGAAAATATGAAGAAATTCTGTCAAAATGATATTAGATTTAAAGTGTCCAAATTAAAAAAAAATGAATTGGTTCAATAAACCCCTTTTATGGGTGCTAGAGAATATGATCCAGTAAAAGCAACTTAAGATAGTTGGCTCAATGAAAAATCAGTTGATTCAAAATAAATGTTTCGCTCTCCTTATTAACAATAATAATCATCTGACTCTGATATTTCAATCTTAAGTACTCCTGAATCAAAAAAAGAAACCTAAAAGTATTTATAAATTAATGCTTTGTAATAAATTGCTTATAAGTATTCACCAAATCAATCTATATATTCCCCTAACAATTAATAAAAAGAGCAAATATAAATGAATTTCAAGAAAGCTAGTCAAGTAAGAGATCAATTAAAAAAATTAGGATCTTGATTAATTTAAATAAATGTTTTTTTAGTTATGGTGTTGCTAATAAGATTTTTAATTCATAATATTTATTTTTTATGTCATGATTAACTTATAAAATAAAACAATTTAAATCATATTGATTTAATCCATTTGTGTTCTTCACCACCAGTCTAATATTAATATTAAATTTACTTATATTTTTGTTAAAATATCAAATAATTCATGTGAAAGTTCTCCAGCATTTAATTTTGAATCATATTAAACTTCATAGATTTTATCATTAAATCCAATTGCTTCTATTGGTTAAATACTAACAGCTGTACCAGATCCAAACATTTCAATCATCTTAAAAATATTTAATTTTATTACTCTTCCATCCTCAATTGCTTCTACGACCTCTTAAATGTATAGTTTCTTTTCAATAACTTTAAATTTTCCCATACTTCTTGTAAGTTCCTATCTATTATACCATTTTATACCAAAATAGAATCTCTTAAAATTCCTGGTAGAATTGTACCATCTAATATTGGTGTAACTAGTTCTCTTTCTCCTTATTTGTTTTTCCAAAAGAAGAATAAATTGCAAACTCCCATTTCTTATACTAATCCATCTGGTAACATCCATAAATTTTAATGGAATCCAATTTTTTATACTTCTTTCAAAGGTAAAACAGTAGGAGCATAATTACCAGCAACTTTATATCCTCCTACTCCTCCTGGTGCTGAACGAATCTATTGTTTACAAGCATTTTTACTGTTGATATATTACAAAATACACGAACAGGTTTTAAACCAGATGGAAAATATGGACCTACAGGACATAATGCAACAAATAATTTAGCTCTACTTGATGCTCTAACTCCCAAAGCTTCTTCTGTTGCCATCAATGTTGGTCTAATATAACAACTAAAACCTTGTCTATCAGGAATCCAATCTCTATCCACTTTTAATAATTATTCAATGCATCTTTCTAATTCTGCACCATCAAAATCTGGTAATGATAATCTCTTTGCAGATTGTTTCATTCTATACATATTACAATTCAATCTAAATGTTCTTATTGAATTATTAGGTCCTCTATATGCCTATATTTATAATATATAAATCAATTACTTTAGCACCTTCAAAACATTCTATTGCATAATGTAAACATGCTGAAAATGGATGAATACTAAAACTTTTAAATGGTACAATTTAAGGTCGACTCCATCTAATTCAATAATTTATTCAATCTTCTACCCCATCTTCTCAGACCAATCAATCTCTAATAAATGATCTGTATGAAAAGCTCCAAATGTCATTATTTTTGGATCACAAGGAGGTTTTGTAATATAATGCATTGTATGAGTCGTTGTAAGGTCTCTAGCCTATCAATGTATATCTATTTTAATGTACTTAAAAAGATGGATAAGGACAACTTAAATCTAAGTTAGCATAATATGAAAAAGAAAAGGCTGGGGATCTCCAAAGACTTCTTAGCATCATTTCTATTTTATTTTTTATTTCAAAATTTGATTTCATCATTATTTAATACGTAATATATAAATAATATGACTCAAAAATAAATCTTTAAATTATTTATAATTCTTAGTTTGTCGTATTATTGTATTCTCTTACTTTGAATTATTTGTATTAATTATTAAATATAAATCTAAATCAACTAAAATAATTTTTATATGATTTCAATTATATCAATATTGTAAAAACTAACTCGTTTTCTTCTACTATTTTCAATCTTAAACCTTAATCCTATTCTATACTATGAAATGCTTATAAGAACCATTATTTTTTTTAAATGAGAATGATATATACTGTAGGCATAAAAACTCATTAATAATCTATAAAAAGATAAAAATATTTCAGGCAATGATTTTTAGTTCTATTTTATTAATGACCTATTTTTAGATTGGAAATAGTGAATGATTATTCTATTAATTTTCTACCTATGTCATATATATATAATCAATATATTCAGAAGCAAATATTTTTCGAGAGGGCTTTATGCTTTATCCCTTTGCTTATCTAATTAATCATTTTCTTACTTAAGTCATGCAGACATATTAAAAATACAAATTAATGATTAGGCAATATCAAGATTGTCATTTTAAAAATTCAATAATAACTACTCATTCTACAGCCAAAAGCATATTTCTAGATTCAAGAGTCTTCTAAGCTATTCATTTTAATCCATAACTGCTTTGATTTCTAAAAATTTTTTTTAAAAGGCCTGATAGTTTTTGGATCCTTCTGATTGGCTTGCATTAATTTCAAATTAAAAAACTTTAATTTTTTACAAATCAATTGAAGGAATTATCATAAGCTTGATAGTGATACAAAATATT